TCTTTGCACAGGTAAACAGCACATTTCTTCTTCTACGCTTGCATTATTGGCAGAGCAGACGCTGAATGCGCACTTTCATCTGGTTTGGTCTGCCGGCTTCCGTAGCGTCGTGAACGCGAGGGGGCGCGCTTTCAGGAAATCCTATACACTACTGTTTATGCTCTAAAAACGTTCTAAATGACTTCGTTTCGAGTAAATTCTGGATGCTACCCACTGAGGACACTTGTAATACATTGGACGAGCAGTATGGAGGAATATTGACACGTTTTTTGTGGACTTTTATGGACCTTTCTGACTCAGTCACCATAGACCTCCATTATTTGAATGTCAGCAGACAGCAAGAAGCCTCCCAGATCACCAGATGCATTTGAGATATCAAAAAAGTACTCCAGGGTGTTGTTCAGCATGGGGGTGAGAAAATAAAGTAGAAAATGAAGGCTAATCATGTATTGGGTGTACTATTCCTTTAAGTCTGACATGTACTCTGTGTTACCTGATATGAATGTGGGCTTTCTGTATGGAAGTGAATCTCTGAGTACCTGGAACCAAGCACCTGTAATTGTAACTCTTTCAGTATTAACATAACACCAGCAGTGAGATAAGCACACGGTTAAAGATAAAACCTAAGTTCAAAAATGTCATTCAAAATTGGTAAGCTTTCCATGATCACAAATTAACACTTCGCTAGAAATTGGTAGAGATGTGTGAAGGAAATAGCAAAAGACAGAAAATGTGCAGATATTATATATGATTTATACATTTGTTTTTGTTTAGTTGTGTTGAAATATATCTATTTGTCAGGTTGTGTTGAAGTTTTTAGAGGACTAAAATACAGAGACGGAAGCTGAGGGGAATTCTCGAAGATTTAATGCTAGTACAAAGGCAACAAAAGCAAAGTTCAAAACGCAATACAGAAAAGCAAGAAATCCAGGAAATGTCAGAGAAAACACACATGGGGAGGCAAAGAAACGATAAGGAACCAGCAATGAGAAACTGCAGAGGTGGTGTATATATGGGGAACAGAACAAAGAATGGGCTAATGAGCTGAGATGGAGCAGGTGTGGATAGAAGGGCTTAGAAGGGAGCTAGGGGAAAGGAGACAGGCACAAGGGGGGCAGCAGAGAGCGACTCAAGAATCAACGCGCTGCTTAAAAATAACAAGAAAACAACTGCAATGACACAAAATGAAAAAGAAACAATTACCAAGAAAACAGAACGACATAAATTAAAATGTAAATGAAAACTCAAAAAGGGCAGGATCATGACAGTATTTGCTTATGTTTTGAAAAATATTGTGAAAAACTATGCATGCTGTTCAATCAGTTTTGTGATAAGTAGCTTATAGCTTGTTGCCATGTTTGATGGTACAACGCATTTGAGCCAAACCATGGTGCTAATACTGTCACTTACGGTTCCCCCTGGTGCTTGATTCATAAAAGAAGAGATATGGTTTGAAATTAGGTGGGCTCTAAAATTTGTCCCGACCAGTTCAGTGGGTGGTTGCCATGTTAACCAAATCGATCAAGTTAACCAGTTGTATGAAACCCAAATGACAACCAAGTAGCCGGACTTATGTACTAATGTACTAAACTAGTTCTATGAAACACACATAAAGTCAGAAATTGAATACACATGTTTTTACCACTTGAACCTTAAGGACTTACAGCTGCTTATTTCCTATGGTTAAGCGACTAAAAAGGTTTAATGTAAACAACACAAAATTAAAGAAGGAAAGAGATAATGGAACTGTATCTTCCCTTTATTGTTTATTATAAGTGGAACCTAAGAAGAACTTTACAGGAGGATATAGCCAACATTCTTACGCTGGAATGTGCTTTTATTAGTGCAACATGGCTTTGGTTTTAGTTTCGCTGGCTGACTCAAAATATCCAGATACAAGTCAACACATCTGGCTAACATAGATTTCTTTCTGCCTTCTTCCCCGCAGCTCTAAAATATCTGTCTTTGTCTGAAAGTGCAAATGATCTGAGATTTTAATACAGTGGCAGAAACAATGTAAGAAGTTAATTGAGCAATCCACCTTTTACCAAATAATGCTTTTGTTACAAAGCACATATGGCTGACAATCAAGTTTCATGTGGGGAAAAAAAGTAAATTCCTCCTCTGAAATAGAAAACATTGTTGTCACACTCTGATGAAAAACTTCAACCCTCAAGGGTGGGGAATTTGTAATTTTACTGCCACAGCTTCACTTGCAGGAATCAACATGAATAAGTGGTAATATTATAACTGCTGGAGGGGCCTTAAGGTGTTCAGATGGAAGAAACCAAAATTATAACGTCTCCCTCTGCTTAATAAATCCACTCATTATATCATGCTTGGGGAGGCCTACTTATAAATTACAACTAAGACTATTTCATTGCAGAGTGCTGTCTCCAAATCAGAAAAAGACTGCCTGGAAATGTGAGGCAAACATTGTTTAAAAAGTCAAGCATTTCTTCTTTTTCTTTCTTTCTTTTTTTTAACAAGCTTGTTTATTTCAGTATATATTAAAAAATCAAGCTTCAAAACTCCTGCCCAGTCAAATTTTCATTAAGAAACATAAAACAGGTTCACGTCAAGCTGAAGTGAAATGATTTAGAGCCTCTGATGGTACTATGTAAAACTCCTGAGCCACAACAGCTGCTGGTCATTTCACCTATTTAGCATTTATCATAGAAATGTTTACCTCCAGGTATTTCATACCTGATTTTTTCCTGTACAAAACAATAATTTTTGCAAACAGCGGAAGCATCTACTTATTTGTACCTGCCTATGAGATTAACATATTGGCTTCAAGGTTATTCAAAGCATTTTTTCCAATAACTGTTTAACTTATGAATTAAACAATAGGTTGTTTATCAGTAAAATGTGACATTAACATGCATATGCTACTTATCTATGCTTTTGTTTGTTTTGTTTTTCTTCTTTAGTCAAGCTTCACATGAAAAGCATCACTACTTTATTTTCAATATTAAATGAGGGAAATAAAACACACTTAAAAGAGATAAATGATACGGAAAAAACGTCATAACCATTTATTCACAGAGGTAAGTTTAATTGTATGAAATTAAAGAAGATTGCCATGAACTAATTTAGAGTATTTCATTTTTTTTTAAAAAGTCTCTCAAATATTTAATTGAGACATTTGGTCTTTCTTGCATTTCAGTCCAGTCCTTCAACTATACAGACTTGCCATCATCTTGATGTTGCTAGATAACAGCAAAACAGATACATCTACGGAGAATTTGGAAAAAAAATCTGTTTTAAATTGATCCAAAAAACAGAAATAATTTCCTTGGAGGTTTGAAAAATACCGGATATGACACATCGTAACAATAGCAAAATCTCCTCACAGCCAATTACTATAATGTTGCAACTTTTGAGGGAAACTGAACACAGCTTTTGTATAAAAACTTAAATGCTAGAGACAGAGTTAGAAACCATGAATCTGATTGTATTAACTGGAAAATTTGTCTGAAATAAGAAGTACCAAAAACTGCATTTTAAAGAGCCCACTAAGTTCAGTCTCAGCAGTTGCTGCATGCCCCGCCTCTCTGTCTCACACATGGGACCAAGAAGTAACCGCCCAAGAAGAGTCTGATGCTTGTTACTTTATTTATTTATTTTAAAGTCTCGGCTTGACTTTATGTCCTTTCAAAAACATCCTGATTTTGCAGACATTTCAGCTTGCAACCCACGCATATCCCAAAGGAAAAACCTCCTCATACCAGCTATGGGTCCAGTTTACAAGGATCACCTCTAAGTTGGTGATACAGCAACAAAAGCAGAACAGAACATTCCTGGAAATCTCTGATTCACTGTATTTCATACTTATAAATTTCACATGAAAAATCTTTTTCCTGACTTATTTGATATAAAAAATATACATGACTACAGTATAAAAGCCATTCCTGACAGATTTTGTTTTTGTCAAATGTAAATGTTTCAGATAATCAAATAAATTGTAAAATTAGACAAATATTTCCTCAAATAAATATGAAACAAAATCAATTTATCAAGCTAGAGCATATGAAAATAAATTGTGATTTTCCCCATATGCTCCTTTATTTCCATAACAAGGCTTGAAAAACATCTGACCTGTAGAATTTAAAAATACATACCGGTAGGTTAAACCTATGTGATAACATGAAGAAGAAACACATTATTGCTTGATATGACAAAAAAAAACAAAAAAAACCGACCAGATGAGAGACAAATCAGTGGTATCTATATGGAACATACCTAGTAGTTTACATCCACCAAAATTACTGAAAGAGTGCACCAGTATTACAGTGGTAAAAAAAGACCACTTCACTTGCCCCAGTTATGTTAAAAGTTCATGATTCAATCATAAAATAAAATGTTTCTCTATAAAAATATTCTTTTAAATGATCACTTTTCAGAAGCTTTGCTTATTGTTAAATATGGTGTAACAGACAGAGATGTCATTTCAGAAAAAAGACAAAAAAAAACAAAAAAAAAAAACACATACAGTAAAACAGTGTTAGTGTAATGGTTTGGGGCTGCTTTGTTCCTTCCAGACTTGGCCAACTTGCTGTAATAAATGGAGTCGTGAATGTTTTTTTCACACAGAAAATAAATGTAATAATGATTTTGTTACATCTCTGTTTTATGATCTCATAGATGCAATTATCACTACAAAAGGCAAATGGAAATAAAATCGGTAAAGGGGTCAAATATTTCTCAGCATTGTACATCTATTGGAACATACAGTATGCCTGTTTACTTTTTCAATAAGAGACACAAGAAAAATGTTGTGTTTTAATTATGTTTTTAAAATATAGTGAAGAAATGTAAAAGGTAAAACTATTTATTTTGCTGCACTAATTTGAATAATACTTAAGTCCAATCAATCTTAGTCAGAGGAAAAAAAGATGTTACCAGCACTCTGTTTGACATGCAATCAGCTGCAGAGTGGGAGGAGGATAAAAAAAAAAAAAAGTAGAAAGGGAGAGCTCTGTAGCTGCTCTCCTTCAGGCATCCCGACAAGTCTGGACTGTTCTGCCCCTACTTGTGCTCACGCTGCTGACTGTCGCCTGCAGGGATGAAGAGTGGAGAGCTGAGTCTGTGAGAACGGGGGATCGTGGTGTGGTGGTGTCCTGCATTGTGACGCTGTGACACCGGGGGTCTGTGGATACCGCTGCTGTGTGAAACACCCAACAACGCATCAAGCTGGATGTGCCACAGGTGGACAGAGGCGGTCTGTGGGCAGCCGCACGAAGAGGAAATCCCCAGGTACTAAAAGAAAATAAATCTTATATTTCATTGCAAAGTTTTCAGAATCCCATTTGTCATGGTGCACGCACATCTGCAACTTTAAAACTGCACATAAGTTTTAAATGTTCTTTCTGAAGTAACATCTGCATGCCATGCAGTGTGGTTCTGATTCTGCTGCTATATCAATGGAATAGAAATTTGCTCTCCCAGTGAAACAATATTTTTAAGCAGAGGTGTATTTCTTTATAGATGTATTATTCAAAAGTAACTAAAGGTCAGGTGATGTATTTTTATGGAGTCATGGTTTCAACTACCAATGTTTTTGGCTAAATTGATTTATGCACAAATGCACAAAAGTGTAGTATGCATTACTTATGCTCATAGGATCATGTCACATGACATAAGCAAACTGAATTTAAGCTTTAAGTTGATACATACAACACTTTTTTGGCACTTATAGTATTGATATAAAGCCCACTAAAAATAATGCCATGGATTTCTTTCACAGATTACCAGAGCAGAAATTAACACTCTGTTGGTTTAAAAGCAAAAAAACAAAAATAATTTGGGTTAGTTTTTACGCCCTGTCTAAAGTGCACCCGTAAAGTATTTTCATAAAACATAATTTTTTTGGAAACAAAACAACAACAACAAAAAAATTAGGAAACAAAAATAAAGATTTGAAACACATTTTTTTTATTGTAAAAAAAAAAAAAAATGAAAGAGAAATTAAATGTTAACGCTATTTTTATTTTTTTTATTTTTACATTTTATTTCATTTTTTTTTAAGTTTCAAACTACTGGCCCTTCTGCATGGGGCTAGATTATATGGAGTGCTAAAGATGACTGAAGGAGCCACAGAAACTGGAAATGTCTTCAAAGCCTTATTGATATTCTACGTTTTATATCAGTTTTAGAATATAACATGGTTATTAAGCCACAATCCAGCTACTGTGATCAGTCTGTGGGCTCTTCTGTTTTGTATTGAGAGCTTTGGAAATATCGAATGCTGCACAACAATATCAATATCATGGTTGCTCCAATGTAACAAATGTCATGGGGCAAAATAAACACCTTACACCGAGCCTAATTTCAGCAGATTTTCTTTGCCTGGTGTTGCTCACTTGATACTTCATCTGCAATTTGCGTGGCGAATAGGGACAACACTTCACTATGTCATCAAATAAGAGATGCTCCTACTGTATCTCCTGCTTGCATGCTTCAAATTTTACAGAGCGAGGTATTGTGCTATATTTATTATGGAAAGCCGAACAACCACCAGTGTTTCAGTTTGAGGAGTCCAAAAACTAAGGCTGGATCATAGTCTCTTCCCTACTTCTCGTCCTTCTAAGGTCTAAATTAAAACCCCTTTTTTGAAAACCACCCATATACCTATAGAAAGCATTACCTCATCATACATTAACATTATTTTTGCTATCTTCCATTTGGGTTGAAAAAAGCAATAACATATAGTAACTGATTGGCTGACAAGATGCAAAATAAAAGAAAAGTTTGGATTCTTAAACGCCACTGAAATCAGCTTTGTGTCTATTGTGGCTTTTAAGGTAATGTCACTTCACCTGTTTCTAATCATATTGTTCGCACCACTAGAAATACATTGCTTCACTCTTAAATGTGGTACAGTACATAGGGATAAACAGTCACTTTCTCCAGTTGCGTCGTAGTTTATAAACTAATTCACATAAAAAAGGAATAGTAATCATGTTTTGAAGACATTTCTTGTTGCCACTTACCTTGCAGATCCTGACTGATCCATGTAGTTCAATTTCAATTCTACAAAGTATCCATCTGGAAAGGCCCCTATGGAAAATGTTTGCAAAAGGGACATTCAGAAAATTCTTCAAGATGATTGGGTTGATCACCAAATGGCACATGTCCCCCATGTTGAGCTTTTAGCCAATCACAGCAGCAATAGCAGCTGCGACGTATCACATTCTTGATTTGTTTCACAACTTGCGAAGTTAACTGATAAATTAAATCTTATCAGGAGGCACCCACAAACATTTTTTCAATCAACAAAGGCACAAATTATGTCATTATGGTGCTTAAAAAAATAAAAATAAAGGCTATTCCAGATAAAACAGACTGAGTAAGGGAGTCTACCGGTACATCCACCAGCGCAGCCATGTATTTTTTTGCTTTAACCTTTCGCTTCTGTTGGATGTCAAAAACGTCACTTCATTGGATCGAAACATTCCTGTATTTTAGGCTAGAGCATTTATTGGCTTCTGACAAGCTGTATTTTCAGGAGTTCGTGAATTCAGAAATCTTGCGACCATTTATCTTGCTTGCAAGTTAAAGTTGCCATAGCTCCTGTATAAAACACCTGGGAACACTTTTGTCCTAAGCTGTCAGTCAGGCCTCAAACCACATCGCATCTCATCTAAGCCCCACCCCCATGTTCAGTTTAAAGCCGAAATAAAATTAAATCTGAAAAGTAGTTTTAAAATTTTTTTTTAAGTTTTAAAGTTCTTTTTTGTGTCCAGTCTTTTTTCAGCTTAAGAATAACTTATTTTTTCAAATATTTTTTTTTTCATTTCAAAACCAGTTTTTAGTTACAAATGTTGTATTTCACTTTAAAAATACATTTTCAGTTTCAAACTTCTTTGAGCAAACTTTATGGCCCCAATTTCCCTTTGCCTCTCCACCAGCACCATGAATCACCCAGTAGTTTTTCTGGTGACCTCAGTTGAACTTACCTAGACTAAGGATACTGGCTCACAAATGGAGAAAATATACACAATTACTTTCTCTGGTTAGTTGTTTTATAATATTCACTACATCTAACTGCACCCTAAGCTTTGTTGTGGTTAGTCTCGGTACAGTAAAAAGTAAAAAAAATGTTTGCTAATGATAATTTCCTGTATTTTTTACTTTTTTTTTTTCTTATTGCTCTTCACTCTCTACATAGTTGCAAAGACACTTTGTTAGGTTTTTGGTAGCCTTTAGGCATTTGGTGGTAACATTTGGTGGAGAATCATTGCAGCTGGTCTCTGTGTGTGCTCAATGTATTACCATTAATTTGTCTGTTGACATTTAAAGAGAAGATTAAATGACTCTTTGTTGCTTGTTTTCACTTAAATGTCTCCTTAATTGTGTTTTGACTTTGCTAACCCAGCTGGAAGATGGGTGTGTTGGTGTGTCTCTGTCTTTTCCTCCCTCATTCATGTTCTTGAATCAGACGGATAACTCTTTGAAGATGAGTCAGGCTGTTTGGCTTTTGTTAAAAGAAATACAAAGTTTTCTGGATATTAATATGAACCTTTAGGGTACTTTTTTCTCTCAGGAAAATAATTTTCATAATCCATTATTCAGAATGAATTCAAACATATGGCGAGTTTGGTAGAAAATGATGACACTTGCAGAGGGGATGTATCTCATTCTTGACTGAAGGATCCTGACTCTCAGATAACCTCAGACTGGGGCTCATTTATTCTCAGAAATACCAAAGAACCAATAATACAAGTTCCCTGTGAGACTTTTTAGCAGTGTTGTGTAATTCAGTAGAACATCTCACCCCCATTTGACCCTGACCCTCAATTCCAATGTTAACTCTCAGTTTGCAGCTGAACTCATGCCGCGTTGGTGCAGTCTAGCTGGAAGACATTGTTTCAGTCTGTCGTTTTGTAGTAGCCCATGGCTCCCCCCTGGGAGAATGGCATCTAAACCGAACCACATGTCTGTGACTCTGCTAGAGTCAGAGTTTATAGCTCAGTTCAGTGTTCATACAGCTCCCACCAGAAGCTCTGGGATGAGTCATGCTGTTTTCCTTTTGTGCCGGAAATGCCTTGTTAAGCTTTTGAAAACAGTTTTATTTTTGTCTTTACTTTTCAGTTGGACTTTGTTTAGGAAGACTCCTAGAAACCCCTTGCCAGTTTCTTTAAAGTTTAATTATAACCACTTGATTTAACTAGTCAGGGGACTAGCAGTGGGTGGGTCCATGTCTGTCAGCCAGGTGTTTCATAATTTTGTTTTCACCAAAAAACAAAAGACAGTGACTAAAAGTATGAAAAGTGAACATATCTAAAATGTTTATGGTATTTAAAGGTATTGTTATTTTTTTTCTCAATTTTTTTAAAAGACCCAACCTATTCACTTTTTTAAAAAATGCACATACACTACCCTGTACCCGCTCCTGAGAGGGAACGCCTATTAAACGCATGCGTGAGCATGCACGAGCCCATTTCTCCTCATGCACACTCTGTTTAAAAGTTGCTGTTCGCATAGTTTATAAAAGCTTACTGTGTCTGAATGTCCGCCCTAACCTCTAAAACCCTCAATCATTATATAGAGCAGGGACTATATAGTGGACTTTAGAGCGAACGCAGTTAACCATTTGGACAGATGATCACTACTTTTTGCTCCCCGTTGGTCAAGTATCTCCTCCTCCACTGTGCAGTGCCTGCACCATCTTTGTTATTAGTTGCCGCTGTTACAGCAAATTCCATAATGCTTTGCGAGGAGCGCTCCCCCTTTAAAGTATTCCAGGATATATCTGCCTCTTCTGAGGCCTTTCTTTTTCATACACTTTGTAGACACTTTTGTACAGACAGACATTCTAGACTTCATCACAAACAGACCCTTAGTCAGTCCGGGAAGGAGAGAACACCTCTAATGTCATCATCCTAAGCACAGGCTTCCCTCAGGGCTGCATCCTGAGCCCCCAGCTGTTCACTCTGATGACACACGACTGCGTCCCCAGGTTCACTACCAATCACATCACGAAGTTTGCAGACGACACCGCAGTGGTGGTCCTCATCAGAGACAACAACGACTAAGACTAAAGAGAGGAGATTGAGCAACGGATGGGCTGGTGCAGAGATAACAGCTTGATCCTGAACGTGGAGAAGACGAAGAAGATCGTTGTTGACTGCAGGAAGAACCGTCTTAACCATGCTCCACTGATCATCAATAGCTCAGCTGTAGAGGTGGTCAGCAGCACCAAATTCCTAGGGACGCACATCACAGACACCCTCAGCTGGACTGTAAACAGCACATCACTAGTCAAAAGGGCACAAGAGCACTTGTACTTCCTGCAGAGGATGAAGAGACCCCATCTGCCCGCACCCATCCTCACAACATTTTACAGAAGTACCTTAGAAAGCGCCTAAGAATGGAAGAAAGTAAGAAGAATGGTGAGAACAGCAGAGAGGATAATCAGGGCTCCTCTTTCCTCCATAAAAGACATTTTATCCCAGTGCTGCGTGTCCTGAGCCCCTAACATCATCAATGACCCCTCATACCCCCACCATGGACTGTTCTCCCTGCTGCTCTGTGGGAAGAGACTTCACAGCATTCGCTACAGGTCGAGCAGATTCTGCAACAATTTCTTCCCCAACGCCATCAGACGGCTGAACTGTTGAAAAAAAAAAATAATCTAAATCATCTCACTAAGTCATGTCAGACTCTGCATCACACTGATAACACCAAACCAAAAATACTGCGCATTTGCATCATATATATTAATGCTCTGAACTTCTATATAAATGGGTTTTTTGCACCTTGTTTTTTCTCCCACACTGATTACATTTGATCACTGCTGCACTTTAAGGAATGGACATGTTTATTTACTGTCTGAAAAGCTGTACTAAACAAAATGTTGTCTTGTATACAGTCTGTGTATACAAAATGGCAACAAAAGTGGTCTAAATCTAAGTATTTTTCTCTTACTTCCCTCGGCCATTTTCAAAACACAATCAAAGAGGTGAGCTTCAATGACTGGCTGTCATGCGCAGAAAAAGATAGCTAACTGGGGACGAGCACGTAGGACCGCCTTACGTAAACATATCACCAGAATGATTGACAATTAGGAGGACCACTTATTTAGATGATCCACATGGAAATAAAAGATTGTCCTCTAAACCTTTAAATAAAGATTAGTATGCTATATCTTCCTTACTACAATGTGAGCTCCTTTGGCTACCAAAAGTGCCAAGTAACATAGTATTTGGTACTGAAATCTGAGCTGTTATTCAAGACATACCTTAAGTAAGTAAAAACAACTTAACTAGGTATTAATATAAAAAAGATATTGAAAATAATCACATTTCTTTAACTGAAAACAGAAGCAATTGTTCAAACTGCTTTTGAAATTATACAACATATTGATCATTAAAACAAAAAGCCTCCAAGTCATTTCAAATTTGTTTTTAATTCAGTGTATTTATATTGCACCAATTCACATCATATGTCCTTTAATGGCAATTTACAGAGTCAATATAATTAGATATATACAATCAGATTGGTTCAACGTTTTCTGTCTAAGGGGAAAGAGCTGATTGCAATGACTCTGCAGCAATCCCTCACAGTGAGCATGAATGCAGCAACAGTGGATAGGAAGATTATTTTTTAACATGAATAAACCTTTACCAGAACCAGGCTTGGTGTGATTGTCCTTCTTTTGAGGCCGACTCGGGTTCAAGAAAACATAAGCAGAAAGACAAAAAGAACATACAGTAGAAGCGCTGATCTATAAATACTCTCTATATTAAAAAAGGGCCTTTGTCTAGAAGAAATGCAGTTGAGCCGACGAGCTATCAGTCAGTTTTCATGTCAAAGGGATGAAAGAGTACATATACAGTAGATAGTCACAGTAAAATCCAACTCATCAAAATAGATAAAGACAAGCTGCTCTCTTGCTTTTAGCTGCAGAACAGAGCAGATAAACAACCAGAGTGCGGAGAATCCAGAGCGTCGAAACGTCAAAGCATCTAGACCTGAGTTGGACCCAGTGCACAAATCTTCCTCAGTGTGAACGCACTATGTGGTGTTGATGGAAGCAGCCCAGCTGATATTCTCTTGCAGATGGTGTTACACTTAACAGGAATAGAACAGATGAAGCTGATGGGAAATGCAGAGAGCATGAAGTTAGGAGTTGAACTAACAAATACTGGAGAATGGGAGAATAGTGGAAGCAAAAGATGAAAAGTGGTTACTCGGCCCTCCAGTAGTCTAAGGCTATGGCAGCATAACTATAGAGATAGCTCAGGGTGACTTAAGCCACTCTAACTATAAGTTTTGCCAAAAAAGTAGATAGGGTGTCTGCATCATTGACTAAAACTGGTTGTTGGTTCCACAGGAGAGGAGCCTGAAAACTAAAAGATCTGTCTCTCATTGTACTTTTAGAAATTCTAGGAACCACCTGTAAACCTGCAGATTGAGAGCAAAGCGGTCCCTTAGAATCATAAGAAACAATCAAATCTCAAAGATGCAGCTACAGTATTTTGTTTGGGGCTATCTATCAGGAAACAAAAGAGAAGCTTGCATAGACTTTAGACTTTCAGCACAAGGTGCTCTTTATGTGAAAACTCCATGCCACATACATACGTTTTCCTTCATTTACAATTTTTAAGTCTCCTCTAAGAAAACTTGTTCTTTGTTTCAGTTATTGTTTGCAATTCATTAGTGTATGAAATATGCATTCAAAAACTCTTTTGCCGATATCATTACAAATGAATTTCAGAGTTTAGGGACAGCATTTGAAAACTTTTGGAAGTTTTGCAACAAAATGTTTCTATAACATTTGTTTATTTTTTTTTTATAATTGAAGCTTGCTGATCAGGGACCCAATAGACTATGTTCAATGAAAGGTTTAGCTCTGAATGCTTAATATTTTCTTTATGGCTGAAGAACATATTAAATGCATTTTATTGGGTTTGATGAGATTTAAGCTGTTGATTCCAGTTAACCTTGTCTCTTAGCTACCCTGGTTCAATTCATTTTCAGATAAATCTTGTTAGGAAAGCATGTTTTAGCTGATTGACTTGAGACTTGACCAGGCACTTGGCATAAAGATTTAAGACTTACTTGTGACTTGTAAAACAATAACTTGGTCCCGCAAATCAGAACAATTTACATCAGTCTAAGGTCTCAGAAAAACAGTTATCAGGTTTAGCAAAAAACAATCTATTCTCAAGTCTTGGAAAGTCTTAGAAATTAACCTGTTAGTTCTGAGGTCTTAAAGAGACAATTTGCTACTTTTTACTGAAAAATATCTTGACAATAGCCTTTTAATTGACACTTTGCCACTAAAACGTTGTTTGATGAGCAGATTGACACCTCAGTAGTTGAGGGCCAATGCATCTTTAATCCTGTACCCTATTTTTCCTGAGCATACTTTGAGTCAAAGGTTCCTGTGCTGTTTTTGCAGCTGTGTTAAATGGATCTAACTTAGCAAACAATCAAAGCGTTATATTCAAAAGGGATTTTGTGGATTCTAAGAAGCGTCCAGCATCTAGTTCAACTCTGGCACAAATGGCATCTCCATGTAAGGTGAAAAAGTAAAGAAAACAAAAAACGTATTAAGTAGGAGTGCAAGCAATGAGAACGAGCCGAAGAGCGGCTCTGTTTTTTGACCACAAGTGGCTGTATCATAGAAAAGTCTGTAATGCCTCATTAAGAATAAACATATCAGCGCATCAAGTCATTGACTTGCAGAATGAACACCTCTTCTATGACCATGGTGGACAGTTACTTACATTGTGTTCATGACTTTGCAGCAATACCATATTAAGCATGCATTCAATAACAGTGGAGAGAAAAAACTGCTCTTTCACATAAGGAAACCTCGAGCGGAACCAGGCTGTTTTTAAACAGCCGTCCACAGTTTAAGCAGAAAGAGCCGACACACAAAAGAACACAGATTCAGAAATGCTTTTTTATTAAAGAAGGAAATGTTAGACCACCCTAATACAGAAGATTACTTTGTATAGGAAAAAAATACTGTTTAAAGGGAACGCAGTTTTTTTTTTTTTTTTACATTGGGCCCTTGATTTTATGTTATTTCATCATGTTTTACTCACCAATATGTGTTTTGTGTCATTTGTAGTTGTTCTGAAGATATTCTGTTCGGTTATATCCAGGTAACGTCTTCCTATGGGCAAACGTCTTGAAGGCACAAACTAAACTGTTCATAATTTATCATTTATGGTACGCCAGCATTCATAATATGTAGGCGAATCACTGTCCTCAAGACATCCACGGTATGATTAAGAGTCCTCTTAATCATCCAATTACTGGACTTAGGTGTGTTGAATCAAGGTAACTTCAAAAAGTTGAAGGAACAGGAATTGCCCACCCCTGATCTATACCATGATGTGTTGACATGTGCTAGGCTGATGTTTTCCTCTTGGACAGTGACACAAATAAATAGAGCTTCAGACCAGATGTACATGGCTACTATGACAACAAAATACAGTTTAAATTGATATGACTGTCACGCAGGATATCAAAGATTAACTATAGACAGGAACAATGAGTTGGCCTGTAAGGAAACAGACAGGAACTCATTGCAGAGCTAGACAGCTAAAGATAATTTGGAACAAATTACTCAGGATTCATAAGAAAAATCCATCAGAAGCAAATGGTAACAATAACAGAAAATCGAGAAACAGCAGTAAGGACAGGGATAAGTAGCAAAGTAAACAATAACACTGCTATAATCCTATAAAAATACATGTTTTGTTGGTTTTGTGTTGCATAATGTTGAAAGTTTATTTTCTGTGTGTGTCCAGATCATGAAGATGTGGAACTGGGTTTTCACTGTGGGTGTCCTGCTGTCTTCCATCAAACTTGCTGAAGCTCAGGGTAAAGACATTCATCTTTTTCTCAGTCAGATTCGCCCCCAAAACCTTAAGGGATAATTGGAAAGTCTTGTGAACAAAGTCCAACCATAGAAAACTATAGCTCTCTAATTCCTGTTTGTTTATAGATTACATATAGTGACATACTCATGAGTCAATACGCTCCTCATTTAAATAACTGATTTAAATGCTGTATTTCTTGAATTCTGTTTTAGCATTATCTCTTATGTATTTGACTAACAACTGCTAAAAAGTCTCAGGCACCAAAAGTATAAAACCCTCATGTCCTTTTTTTTGCTTTAAATACAGTGATAATCTACAGGAACATCTTTTAGATAATACCATAAAGATATTTTTGTCTTAATTTCCATTTGAATTAATTGCTGCAATTATCTTCCCTTTTTGGACTGTAGACCAATGTTTGTAAAGTACTAACCACCCAGCCTCGCTCTCATGCAAGTGAATAGCATATTACTGATGGATACATTTATGAACCATACCAATCCCCTCTATTTTCTGTATCAGTTTTGCTCCTGCTATTTGCTTTATTGCTGCACTTGATGGGTGTAACTTGTAGGAGCAAATTACACCCATCGTGTCAAGCAGTTGGTTGCAGTTTTTTTTATTACTTAAATACTAAGGCTGCAGGTATTGTACAGACAAAATAGATCAGATTGTACAGTTAGATTTACTTATAGTTTTCTATCAAAGAAAAACCAGATGATTACATCAAGTCATTGACTTTGCAGGGTTCCCTCCCTCTTGATAAGCATGGGGTAGACAATAGATATTCTGTTGTATTGTGTCATTGACGCTTCTGCAATCCCTCACACCAAGCATGCATACAGCAACAGCAGAGAGGGAAAACTCCTTTTTAACAGTAGAAACCTCCAGCAGAACTAGGGTCAGGGTGAACGGCCTTGGCCTCAGGGTTTAAGGATACAGAAGACCACATACAAACAAAACTAGAAACACTGATCCATAAATACGTTCTATGTTAGAAAAGATAGCAGTAAAATTAAGTAAAAAGTTAGACAGATGAGCTGTTTTTCATGTAAAGTGGTTGAAAGAGAGTGCATGCAGTTAGTCATAGTAAAAGCTGAGACCATATCGCCTCTGATGTACTCTGTTGGATTAAGATGTGGTCTGTTAATTAGAGATTGACTGACGCTTTTTTTTTTTTTTTTGTAAGGCTGATGCAGACACTGATTATTTTGACATCAGTGTAACCATTCCTCAACATGTGCTGCAAATATTTTTAGCCCGATTCTTGGGGCGTTTTCTTTCTCCATTTGCTTGATAGAAGCACATAATGTCATCAAATGTTACCTAGGTCTCAATTTAAACAAAAAAAAAACAAACAATAAAACTCTCAGTAACCGAAACAAAATATTAACAATATATAGCAAATGGAGGGAAGCAGCAAAGTGTGCAGTCTGCTGTAGTCCAAATCCGATGGAGGTATTGTTTCTCAGATAGTGGGAGCATGGTTAAGTATTAACAGAATTCATTCCAGTCATGTTTAACAAATCATTGATACAAGCACAAATTACAGAGGAAAATCTCACCATCAATTAGGCCCTTACGACCCAGCCATTTCAGGGGAGACCCACTGAAAAGGCAGAGAGCTCCTGCTCACTTTCCCTTTTTATCAAAATGTCAGTCAGCCTGTCTCCCTCCCAAGAACCCTACAGCATTAGCATATAAGGTGAAGCTGGAGCCGCTCTCTCCACCATATGTCAGCATAAGAATGTCCATTTTGACTGACCCACACAGAAGTGTCAACAGATATAGGAATGAACAGAGGTAATAGTTATTTAAAACATAAAATAAAATAAAAAGAAATTACTCTTCAACAAGTCAATGGGATCTCAAGGCAATGCTGCTGAATGCACTTATGAATTTTTGTTCTGTTATAGTGGTCGATACCGGTATAAGGAAAAAAAAAAAAAAAAAAAAACACGTAATAGGCTAAAAATATCGGGAAGCTGATGTTTGTATCTGTCACAGTATCCACTGATACTGTGAGGCTGGAGTACAGCATGCTCATCAACATGTTCAAGAAACCAGTTAGAGAAGATTTGAACTTTTTGATACAGTAGCTCCCCATTCCCCCTCACTTGTTCTGTGAATTACCGTGCTGCAAGTCGTCATCATCAGAAGATGTATAAAATATGGTCATAAATGATTAAATGAAGCCATAATTTATTACTTTTTTATTAATCAGGAGCTTGAATGAAATGTTTAAGCATGCACTCATATTTTGTTCGTCCTAAGGTCAAGCAAACATGCTTTTCTTAATCTAAAATTCAGTAGTAATAGCAGGCTCTGTAGCTAACAGTAATGGAGTGACAGGTTACATTTTACTTTATATTAGCTTAAAAATTCTTGACATTATAAAACAGTATTTCAAAGGGCCATGCAGCCTGCTGCAAAGACTCAAATAAAGTAACTGGAGCAAGCATTGCAGCTGAATCCCAAATTGCCAGGTATGTAATTGAAGATTTGTCAGATAAATACCTTACCCTCATGACTTAAAAAAATAGAAATGAGTTCCACTAAATGCTCATGAAGTTGTTTATAAGATGCTGATTGTACTTTACTTTGCAGGTAGGTGTAATAATCTGCAGGCAGCAGACATTGTGTTCCTGATCGATGGCTCTTCCAGTATTGGACGCGCAAACTTCATTCAGGTGAAAAACTTTATGGCTGATATTGTAAAGCCTTTTGCCAGTTCTGTCAGCGAGTCAGGGGTCCGGGTTGGAGCTGTACAATACAGTGATACATCAAGGTAATAGACAGCATTATTAAATGTTTTTTTTTTCTCCCCCCTACTTTAGCACCACATTTTTGTATTACTTATGCATCTCTTTCTTCAGGGTGGAGTTCAACTTTAATACACACCTAACAGGCACCGATGTTGTCAATGCCGTGCAAAATATAAATTATAAAGGTGGAAACACAAGGACTGGAGCTGGTCTAAAGTATGTGTCTGATAACTTCTTCAACCCTACCTCCACCCGAGATGTCCCAAAGGTATACCTTTCATGACATTTAATCTTTATTTACTGGCTGATACAAGGGACTAGTTGCTAACTCTACCTACCATAACCTTTTCAGGTCACCATTCTGATCACAGATGGGAAATCACAAGACCAAGTAGAGGAACCAGCTCAGAAGCTACGTAGTCAGGGAGTTAACATTTTTGCAGTTGGTATGTTTCTTATCTACAGCCTTTTGGCTTTACTATCAATAAGAAATGTAATGAATATTGTGCTGCTTTATTTTAACCTCTTAAAACTTTAAACATTTAAGGTATCAAGAGTGCAGACAGGAGTGAACTTGCTCAGGTTTCCTCAAAGCCCAGCAGTGATTTCACTACGTTTGTAGGAGACTTTAAGCTGCTGAATACTCTCCTTCCTCTTGTGAGCCCAAAAGTGTGCTCAGCTGCAGGGGGAGTGTATGCAAGTGATGGTATGTGTATGCTTAACATCATTATTTAGAAATCTATTTTTCACATTCTACAGCATCAACCGCTCAAACTTCATTGAATTTATTTTGATTTTATGACATTTAAGAACTCAATATTGTGCATTGTTGTTAATTGAAAGAAAACACATTTCTATCTTTTCAAAAAAAAAAATCCTAGAAAGTACATTGTTGCCCGTTTTACTCCATTGCATCTAAATTAAAAATATTACCAATTGTCTTTAGAGTTTACCATAGACAGAGTCCACTTTTGTACGATTAAACCTCAGTATGAATGCAAGTGTTTGAGCACACAGCCTCAGGAAAACCAAGTATAAATCATAATTTACATGCAAACTCAAATAAGAATGTCATGATAAAAGGTTTGGAATCTGTTAGCATAGTGCACTCCAGGGACTGAAAAAAGTTATTGTAAAAATAAAGGTGAAGAAAATATTTTAACGGTACCATTACTAAAAACCATGGAGAAAAAGATACAACATGAAGGAAGATACTTCAGGTTGTCCAGCTGAAGTCAGTACCTGAAAATATATAAGAAACTCTGGAAAGAAAATTACTGATACAAGGATACCGAAGATAACACTATTTGATGGTACATTAGTTGCAACTTGCAATAGTTACATATTTCCTCCCTCCTGTATTTGTATTGTGTGCATCCGGCACGCTCTGTGATCAATGTTATTTTAGGTGCTTTTACCTCGGTCAAGTTTGGGCATCTACTGCAGCAGGGAATGCAAAGTGTAAATGATTGACTCCTCAAATATTACAAAACGAATGTTGCTTTCCAAACAGACAGCTAGCTTATTGATAGAAGATTTATGATTTGAACTCCCCTGTCATGGGTGCATTCCTTGAAATCTGATCGATCTTTAGTTTTTTTTTTTTTTTTTAAGAGGAATAGGTACACAAAATCTGCTTCTGGATGTGAAATGCTATATATGCACACCAAATCACTGCATAGCAACAAAACCGAGCTGTAAGTTAACTGATGGTGACTAAATATGAATACATGCCACTCATAAATGATTTTTATTATAAACAATAAAAAAAATCCTTTTACTTCCTCTTTACATTTACTCCCTATCTGTGTTATTTGATATGTTTAGTATCACTAAAGAACTCATAGGTTTGTGGTTGAAACTTGAGAAAAAGTGAAGAGTTAATGGTAATAAATGCTTTTACAACACGGCATAAATACATGTTATTTTGGAAAGTACGTCACATTTATCTTCATGTCTCCCATTCCTGTCAGAGGCCTTTTCAGGTCCATCTGATCTTCAGTTCACTGGTCAAACAACTGATTCTCTCCGATTTCGATGGAGTCCTGCAGGGGGCCCTGTGAGCGGCTATGCCATCCAGTATGTGCCCCTCTCTGGTCTGGGTCAGCCAATTGTTGCAGAATTAAGACAGGTGATTCCAACTTCTCAAAGGTTTTGCTTTGTGACACGTGGAAATGAGAACCCCACATTTATCTGAGAACTGACTGAAAAGCTTAACTGTAATCTTGGAGGATAAAGTCAATCCTACTTTGAGAGAAATATGCATTCAGGCTTAGTATAAACATGTCTAATGGGTGTTCTCTTGATGTAGGCACAATAGAGATTAAAGCATGGCAGACTTAAATTTAAGGCTCTTGTCCGTTATTATAATCATGTAAAACTCCTTTAGTTCGTCTGTTTCTAGCAACATTCTGTGCAAAAATTCTCAGTGAGAGATTGGTACAAATCAGAGGTGTGTCTGTCTCTACAGGAAAGGGTCTCTGCCAGTCAGAGGTCGTACACTGCACGAGAGCTCAAGTCAGGAACAGATTACCTGGTGACTGTCATCGCCCAGTACCCCAACAGTGTTGGAGAGTCTGTTTCTGCAAAGCAGCGAACCAGTAAGAACTGACGGCAGACAAAACAGTGTTTAATTAACACTAATAAATCTTATCTTGTCATTTTCTTTTTCTCTCCCAGGATCATTACCAGGAGTCTCCAGCCTACGTTTGGTGCAGGCCGGGTTCTTCTCCCTCTCTATTGAATGGGATAAACCATCATCTTCGCTGCAAGGCTATAGGCTCACCTATGGGCCACGAGGTCAGGCGAACACATATTTCTGTCATTTATTTATTCTAAGGTTTTTTCCTCTAATCAACATCATCCTTTTAATGTTTCCTTTCCTGAGTGATCAAAGTGAAGGATTATAATGAAGTAGATGCAGTAGTCAAAAACTGTTAACTGGTTTGTAACAAGTTGGAACAGTGTCAAGAATGTGAAGGAGTTTGAGTAAAGCCTGATGAACACTGAAGTACCCCTAAGCACTGTCTTGGAGAGTGTTACTGCCTCAGCCATGACTTAATAAACTAAATATATTAATCTTCATAGGTGTGAAATAAGGTAAATTTAACCCGTTTCATAGACTGCAAGCAATTAGTAATGTAATGTTGAATTTCTGAAGGCAGGGTGTGTCAAGAGGGCTAGGTGATTACACTGTGATTCAGAGGGGTAAATTGCCCCCTGAGGGATGATATGGTTTCTCCCACTAAACATGTGGCAGGAGTCCCAGCCTCATTCCTTTGAGGAATCTCATGCTCATTTTCAGACAGGTAGATGCCTGATAGCAATTGTGGTGCTTTTCTTTAATATTTTTATGTTTTAGAATAGCCTTAAAATTAAGTTTCTCACCTCAAGCCCATTTCAAGTAGAATGAAAAAGCATGTATATTTAATGTGGACAAACATTCATATCATTTACAGCTAAGATTTAAATCTTACTGCAATGCTGGTTGACCCTTTGAGTATCTTTTGTGCAATAACTGCCCGTTTGCATGCCCACCATTCCTCTTTTTGCCCTGTGTATTCATCAGGACAACCAGCGGCTCAATTGTTGGAGCAGTCGCTGTCTGCAGATACCACCTCTATCACGTTGGAGTCTCTTCAGCCTGACACAGAGTATGTCATCAACCTTTACCCTCTGTTCTCCAGAAACGGTGCTTCCCCATCTGTCCTCAATGCTCGAACATGTAAGTTAATTCTGTCTGATACCTTTGAATCTATTGGGTGATCAGTTTGTTTTAGATAAACAGAACAGACTGAATAGAGTGTGATAAAGCCTGTATACTTCAATACAGAAAAAAGAAAATGTTTATATCTGTTCCCTTCTGTGTCTCCTTGCACTTTTGATTGCTTCAGTGGTCCTGGAGGCAGTGCAGCAGTTAACAGTTGATACTATGTCAGAAAGCAGTATTCGTGTGAACTGGAGACGAGTCACTGGTGCACGAGCATACCGTTTGGTATGGGGACCATTTACAGGTTGGGAATATATTTTCTTTTCAATGTGTCACCTTAAAATCTATGATTTCTAGGATGTTAATGTTGTGCTCTTCCTATAAGGTCGCACTGTGGAGACTGTGGAAGTGGCAGGTGACACTGAGCTCTATACTTTGTCTAGCCTGCAGCCTGATACAGAGTACATTGTCACCATTATCCCACTGTATGAGGGCAACACTGAGGGGCCCAGAGCTACAGCCAGATTCAAGATAGGTATGATTGAATTGTTCATTTCAAGTATCTCTTTGTGATGTTTTTTTACTATTAACCCATCTTTTATGTATCTTAATCTACCTATAATTTCTAACAGGCAGCAATTAAATGCAATACTTTATATAAGTTTGGACCTATGCTGTACACAGTATAAAGCAGTCATTTTAGTTACATTTCTTAAGGCAACAATAGTTTCAAGACTAGTGCTTGTTCCCTCTGCCTCCAAAAGGGTTTGGTTTTTGTGAAGTGTTGTTAATTTTAAAAGCACACAAAAAAAAAAAAAAAAAAAAATGAAATTCTACTAAAAATCATGCAATGCTGTAAAGGTGTAGATACATTTTTAAATGTGTTCTTTTGGGTTTTTGAAACAACTTAGGACTCACCTCTGTGCCTATCATTGTCTATTCTTTTAATGTTGAAGTTACCTTTTTATTTAGATTTGAGGTAACTGGGCAAGGCTTTTGGACAAGAAAAATACATTTTAATATCCAGAACATCTTTCTGTTTTAAGTATCTGTCTTAGAATATGCATTAAATGGTAAAGAATATTAAGAAAAAACACCAAAATTCCTCTTGGAAAGTTTTAATCCTAGTATAAATAGGACTTTAAATCCTAAAACTGTGGTTTCCTTTAAGTAATAGCCTTACATGTAATTCATCTTTACCTCAGTATTAGGTGCTTTAAGATGATCACAGTGGTTATAACCTCACATTGTAATTTTGCCTTAGCTTAATTATTGCCCTTTTGTCTGTGTGTGAGACAAGAGCCAACGTCCTTTACAGTCTTCATTTTTTTCAGAGAAACATTCACCAATTGGAAAAAAAAAACAAAACTCATTTTTGAGCATTATCATGTGTTTCACTGACATTCTGTAAACCATTAAGAATCCTCTTTGAAAAGGGGAATGCCCTCCCTTTTAACCGTCCAAACACAGAGACAGGAAATGAGGAGACAAAAAAGAAAACAGCAATCGTTGCGTCTGTTGGTCTCTCTTTTGAAAGCTGTACACATGTTTCTATTTAGGTCAGACAGAAACAGTCATAGCCTGGTCCTTTCATGTGTGATGCCCATATGGTCTTACAGAGTTACTGCAGGGCTGCTGAGCTACTGAGCAGATATATGTGGAGAAAGATTTTTAGCTTCCAAAAACCTCTAAAGTTTCTACTGTGTTTGGGTTTGTCATTTTTGTGGTGTTGCATTATAGTTTTATTTTTTATTTTTTGACTGGAAAAGATAAAAGAGAAAAAGTTATTACATTGTGTTTACCCATCATGCTCTTCTCAGAACGTCAAGAACAGCAGGTCCTCACAGCAGCAACCACAGGACCATCCTCAATCCGCCTAAACTGGAGAGTGATCCGGGCTGCTAGAGGCTATCGCCTGGAGTGGAGGGAGGGAGAAGGTCAGATGAGCATGCATCATGGTGGCTCAAATGCATCTTTCTCATCTGGGCTCTAAAAACATACCAACAAGCACACATTTTTCTAATACCATGTAGACACTGTTTTTAGATTTGATAAAAGGCAGGACATTCTTCCTCCTTAGCTCTTTTTGAAGTTTCTTTTTCAAACTTTCAAATCATTAAAATCTGTTATTTGTTAGCTATTATTAAATTTCAACCCGCAAAGCAACATTCCTACATTATGAGAGTCTTTCTAATCTTTACCGACTGTAAAATATTCTTCAGTTCTCTAAAGCTGGGCTTACACTGTGCCCTTTTCGGGGCACAGTGTAAGCCCATCGGAGAGAACTTTCCTATCGGCCCGACTTTCAGCCTGATCGTGTATCGTGTGGTGTACAGGGGGTAACGAGGGGCGATCAGCCTCTCACGACAACCTCCCGATCAGGAATCGTGATGTCTGGAGAAAATCAAACATGTTTGATCTTCAGTCGACCATTGTGGGCAAATCACTCAATGGGCATAGACAAACAAGGATTCTTCTTCTTCCTCTCAGAGAAAAACACAGAAGCATGGCAGGGGTGCTGGTGAAATGGAGTTCTTTCTGTTAAATTGACAGACCGTAGTAGCCACGTTTGCTCAGCCATATCTTTGTCCAAATACGTTTCGGCCTTTTTTTTTTAAGGCAGTCAGCACAAAATTGCCAAGTCAGCGTGTTTTACTCTAGTGAGCTTCATATTCTTCTTCTTCTGGTTTGGGTTCCGGATAGATGAGTCCCATTATTGCCATCTCTCTCCAGCGCTGAGTCCAATGTAGTTTTTAAATGTGCATGTGCAGTGTCGGGCAGCACCTGCATCGTGAGCTGTGAGCTCACACTGTACGAAGAAACCACAGGGTTTCGTCGTACAGTGTGAGCTGCAGCTGCGAGCAACGACTGAAAATATCGTACAGTGTATGTCCGGCTTAATACTACACTTACATATTTGCTGAATCTGAGTATGCAAAACATATCAATATGTACTATAGAATATATTTCCGTAACATGAAGTAATTTTATATCTCTTAAGAGAATTTTAAAGCTAAAAAGCATCTTTCTCTAAATTGGTACCTTTTTTCAAAGATTAAGGTTCAGATTTTGGTTTTGGTGGTTTTATTGTTACATTTTTAAATAAGCATTTACTTATACCTCTTTAACTTTATTACATTTTAATGCATAAAACTTTGTGTTATATAGAAATGAAAGGTTTAGTGATTTAAGATACCTGTTCTTGATAACTTTAATAGGTACTAATCTAAGGCCTTCCCCAGTATATTAGGTAAACTGCACTGCAAAAACTATCTAGAAATAAGTAAAAATTTCTTAAATTAAGTGTATTCACCCTTAATTTGAGTAGGTAAATGAGATAGTTTGCCAATGGAATGAGTAATTTTACTCTTAAAATAAGATAATTAGATAATATGCACTTGAAATAAGACAATGCAATGGTGTTTTCTTATTTTAAGTGTAAATTGTCTTGTTCCATTGGCAAAATATCTCTTTTACCTCCTGAATTCAAGAACAAATGCACTTATTTTAAGAAAAAATGACTTATCTAGATTCTGATTTTTTGCAGTGGTTCTAAAAGAGTTGGTTTACAGATCCTACACAGTTTTTACAATTCATGAGGGACGTAGTTCATTTCAGATATGACCGAAGAATGGTCGCATTGCCCCCCTGAAAAATAAATATTTTCAGTGAAAGCACATTTTCTAGCTGCAGCAAGCAGAAATGTTTTCATTTGAACTAGTGATGAGTATCAGGCCTTCTAATGTTGCAGCGTGGTTTGTTTCTGTAGGAAGTCCTATCCAGAGCCTGTCCTTTCCTCAAAGCTCCACCAACTATGAGCTAACAGGGCTCCAACCAAATACAGAGTACATATTCACGCTATACACGCTGTATGAGGGCCGTGAAGAGGCCACACCTGTGTCCACTGAAGACAGAGGTCAGTCAGCAGCTCGTGATTTATTTATGTCTAAGTTATGCATCATGTTGGTAGTAAACTATCTGTCATGAATTATTCCTGAAATATTGCAGAGAAGCAGCCAGTAGGAAGTGTGTCCAACCTGAGAGTGGTGGAGTCCCTTGGGAGCACAGTCCGCATTGGGTGGACGGGTGTGGCAGGGGCCACACAGTACCGGATTGTTATCTTGAACACTGAGGGTATATGACTATATTTTTATGGTTTCTGTTTTGTTTTGCTTTTTAATGAATTTAGAAATAATAGTAGCTTCTGCTTTTTCTCGCATCATCTTAGATGAAACAGAAACAATCCAGGTTATCCCTGGAAACCAGAGGATCCTCGACTTAAGCGATCTGACAGTGGGCGTTTCATACGGTGTTAGCGTCACCGCATTGGTAGGAGTTAATGAAGGAAAGACAGTTACTGTCTACATCAAACCAGGTGAGCCCAATGATTTATTAGAACATTCATGAAAGATTAGCTATGCTAAATGTCATGAAAGCTGTACAAAACGAAATTTCGTTTTTGTATATACTCTGTGTATACAAAATGTCAATAAAGGTTGCCTGAGTCTAAGTAATGTATTTGTTTTTCCAGCAGTATAGCTAGGATATATAACATGTTCAATGTTAAATAATGTACTAAACTTCTGTTTATTGCAGAGCCAGCTGCAGGGAGAGTGACCAATCTCAGAATAACAAATGTAAACAGTCGGAGAATCCGCATTGTCTGGCAAGGTGTTACTGGTGCAACAGGTTATAGAGTTACCTGGAGACAAGGCAACAGTAAGTGGATTACAGTGGATTACAAACCCATTTGAAGATGTCTTTTAATTTATGAGGCAATAATCATTTTAAAACCTTTTCTATCTTTAATGCAACATCTAACAAAAAATGTGATGATAAAATATAAAAAAAGAACATTTGCTAATATCAGTTTAAGTCAATTTACACAAATTGTATGTTGTGATGTCTTATGGTTGACTTTTATCTTCTGGTCTTGTTTTGTACAAGTTTTCAGCCTTCCTTTACTGTGATACTTGTGCACCCATCTGACTAGCCCTTTCCAACCACTTAAATTACCTCCTTTAAGTCTTTATTTATTATTTTTAGTTGAATGTCTTTCATTCACTGTGTTGCTGAAAATTAAAAACCTCATCACCTCATCCCACTTTCATCTTTAGTTTTCCCTGGAAATACTTGAAGGTTTTAGGATTAAATCCAAATGCTCTAAAGAACTGGTCATGTTTTTACCCTTCACAAAAACACACAGTTCCATCAGAGGAAAAGTAGCCCCAGAGTATGACAACACCTCCACCCTGTTTCACTGTGGGAATGGTAATTTACATTGTTGCCAAACACCTCTGCCCCCTTGATGAAAATCTTCCTACAATAAGGTCTTCCTTCCCTCTTCCTTGGTTTATAACTAAAGTTTTAAATGAGCATTTGAGATAGGGATCAAGTGAGGAGATTGGTCAGATTTACAGTTTTTGGGTTATTTGAAGGCCATTAAACATGCATAACTTTAACCATGTTAAATATTTGAATTCATAATATTAAAGTATATATTTCTTAATTCTTTATTCTACTGTGCAGATGCAGAACAATCTCGTCTTCTGGGATCGGAGCCTACCCTTTTCACTATTGATGGCCTGCAACCAGATGAGGCTCTTGTAATTGGTGTCGCCCCTATTGTTAATCAACGTGTTGGTGAAGCCGTCACTCTGTCTGCAAGAACAAATCCCTCTAGTGGAGCATTGTCTGGGCTTCGCATTACTGAAATCTCATCACAGAGTATACGAATTGCATGGTCACCCTTTTCTCGGGCTACTGGATATAAGATCACTTGGAGCCGTGAAGATGGTAAGGAATTTTTTGCCATAGATATGGTTACAATCAAGGGTAAATTATGGTGTCTCTGAAGACCAAATCACATCAGCAAACCTTAAAAAACAACTACAAATTAAAAGAAAGCAACCACAAATTTAAAACCACCACAGCATATTCAAAATTACAATGACATAAACTTGAATGAAATACAACTAAAAAACTCAACAATGTATTTAGAATCACAATAACATATTCAGCTTTTTTAATTGTACTTTTTTCAATGTATGTCCTGATTGAAACTATTCCTGGATAGCTAGGTTTGGAGGACTGATAACATTCATTTTTTGAAGAACAATTGGAACAGGTAGGTCTGATTTTTCCTACTGGTACCTACCTCTTCGGTAGGTTCATGTCATTGTGTTTCTGAAAATGTGAGTCTGAGCATGTTGCATTTTATTATTGGTATCCATTTCAAGATAAAGTAATCATGTTCATAAGTATGTTGTTTTGGTTTTGAATATTTTGTTGATTTTTTTCTTTTATTTATTGTCGTGTTTGAAGATCTGTTGATGTGGTTTCCACCTCAGGGCCACAATAGTATATACATTCAGTTACATAACATTCAACATTCTGACACATTAAATCAAGTTTTATTGATTTTACTTGTATTCTATGTTACAGATTAAAACAAAGTTACACACATTTTTTTATTTTTATATATATATATTTTTTTACAAGTAATCAAAATTGCGACCGCTGACCACTTTTGCACATCCAGAGACTGAATTTCTTCTCTCCCACCTAAGAAATATCTCAAACTCAGCCAGATTAAGTATAGAGCTTTAATAAACATCAGTTTTTTTATTTTTTACAAGATTATAATTTGCATTTAGGTTTAAATGGTTACTTGACCATTCTAACACAAACACATCCTTCGATCCAAACGTCCACTGTAAATCTGCTTATAGGCTAAAGGTTTCTTTCCTGTTGGAAGGTCAACCTCTGCCCACTTCTTAATACTTTCAGAGCTTCCAACAGGTTTTCTACCAGGGTTCTACCCTAAACCGTTCCATCTATCTTTCAATGAATATGATTTCCCTCGTTGTCTATGACAAAAAAAGACTAAAAAAAATAAAAAGATATTCTCTATGCATCTTGTTACACCATGTGACACTGAGGCGACTTGAGGGCACTGCAGTATTAGTTTGTTAGCAACACATACCAATGTAAATTTACACTTTGTTCATCTCCTGCTTGGCTGCTTCCCTCACTCAAAAACTATCTCAATCATTTTAGGCCAGGGGTCTTCAGTATTTACAATGAAAAATAGCATGTTTTCTCCTCTGCTACTAAAGAGAATATGTCAACAAGGTCCCTGTCACCCTCACAATCTGCTTGACCCCAGAGGAAAACTTACCTTTTAAGCTTTCAGAATACTTACAATATGAATTTAGTTTCATTTGATGGTGACATTATTAATGAAAAATTTTGATAGTGCTGTAAAACAAAATAACTAACATACAATATATATGTTTGATAAAAACAATCCATATATGTGGAGGGAAAAAAAACATATTTACAACATTTTAAACCTTTTTAAATGTTTTTATTTCATCGTTACTGTTAGTGCCATTCTCTTATGGCAAATCTATCTGCATAATAAAAGCTTTAAATTTATCATTTAGGCCCTAAAGAGCCTCAACTAAAAAGTAACAGGCTCACACTGTCGGAGGACAAGCTAGTCTTTATGTTTGCATTTGTGCTGTTTCCTTTCTATTCCCACAACATGCAAAGTAATAATCTATAGAGCTGTGTGAGATATTTAAAGCTTGGTTATTTTTATATAACCTAAATCACTTTAAGTTTCTCCACAAACCGCTGAGACCTTTACAGAACACCCGTAGAAATGCTGAGGTATAAATTACTCACAGGCTGACTCAATTTACTGATTAGTTGACCTCTGAAGGCAATTCGTTGCCCTCTATTTGATTTATGGGGTGAGCGAGTAGGGGTCCAATTATACAATCCTTTTATGGCTTTTGTCAATAATTAAATTTTTTAGAAGATATAGACTTTTCATTTTGCACTACCTGATATTAGTCCATCACATAAAAATCCAATAAAATACATTGAGGTTTGTGTTTCTAATGTTGCCAAATGATGGAGGAATATAAACACTTTTGCAAGCCAATGCATGTGAGTTTAAGGGTATCAGTTAATGCTAAACAATGTATATCTCTCCATACAGGAACTGAAACAACACGAACCATAGGTGCAGATGTCTCTTCCTACATCATAGATGGACTTCGGCCTAACTCAGCGTACACTGTACAGGTTTCTACTCTTGTTGGCTCTCGGGAAGGAAATCCAGCTATTCTCAGGGTTAGAACAGGTGTGTGGTTGAATTTCTCCATTGTTCCTGCTTTCAGGAATGTTTCTGATGCAGCTGGAAAAAAGCCTTAAAATATTGAAAGTATAAAATGTTTTGGTTCCAATTCACTCAGAATCAGAATCGTTGGTGGGAACAGTAACATCGCTTCAAGTACAGGAACCCCGAGGGGAAGTGGTCCGAGTTTCCTGGGTTGGGGTCCAGGGAGCAACAGCCTACCGCGTCACTTGGAGGAGAATTGATGGTAGTTTTTTTTTTGCACAGTTCTTGGAAAAAAACTGTTCATCTTTCTGTTCCATAATGCAGCTATGCTACCACCTGCCCGATTGATCTGCTGGAGAAACTGCTGATTCTGAGCCACTTGTAGCAATAGGCCTGATCCGACTGCCAACCTGTCCTGTTTGGATTAAACACTTTAACTTAACCGTTGTAAAAATGTTTGAATTGTTTTGTTTTCACATAAAGATTCTTTGAGCTTATTACTTCCACATCAACATTCTTTAGAATGAAACTGTATTGTTTTTTTGTTGGAAGAAAGATTTACACTTTCCTATTAAAGCCACTTTTTCCCTTAACAAACTGCTTGTTTGATCATGACTCTCTGCTGCATAGATGGGGTAGAACAAAGCCAGCTGGTGAGTAGAGATGTGACATCTCTGGATTTGGACCAACTTGATCCCGGCGTTCAGTATGAGGTTCAGGTAGTCGCTTTAGTAGAAAACAGAGAAGGTGCGCCTGTTTCTGTCAGAGTCACCACACGTGAGTCTAATTTTTCAGTGTTAGACACATCTAATGAGGAAACAGGATAGCATGGGGACTTATGACCTTGTGTGTCCTCCATTTGTACAGCTGGTTATGTCACCCCACCTTCGCCACTACCAAACACCACTTTACGAGCCACAGAGGTTACTCAGGATTCCCTGCGGCTGAGCTGGGCTCTCCTTCCTGGTGCCACAGGATACATTCTTCGATGGAAAGAGGAGACAGGTGACAAAAGGAACATTTGCTTTAATGTTTGTTTCACAACCAAATTTGTTTGATGATTTTATGTATCTATATGTATCAGATGTGGGTAGGGGACTGTCTGTCACGCTGCCTGCATTGTCCAGCTCGTACCTGGTGACCGGGCTGCGTTTGGGCCGCAGATACAGATTCACCATCCAGCCTACTTTTGTAGGCGGAGTTTCAGCCGAGACTTTTGTTGATGAACGCACAGGTAATACACTGTCTTTCTTGTCTTCACTGTCTTTCCATTCTTAATTTTAATTATTGGCTCTGACCAGGTAGCATTTGTTAATTGTTGTGAAACGCTTTCCCTCCAGTGTGTCTGGGCGGACGTCTTGATGTGGTGTTTCTGGTGCCTGCATCCACTGATCGGGCTGACCTGGCTAGACCGCTGAGGGACCTTGTTACCAGTGCGGCAGGGTCACTTGCTGCTATTGGGCCTCAAGACTCTCAGGTGCATTTGGTGAAATCCCAAGCAAAGAAAAAAATGGTTGGTTGAAACACTAATTGATTTTCTGGTTATAGGTAGGGGTGGTTGTATACAGTTTTAGACCCAAAAGCTGGTTCCTGCTCAGTCGTCATTCCAGATCTGACACACTGCTCCAAGAGATCCAGTCAACACCCTTTGATGAAAGCCCAGGGAACAACATAGGTCTGTGTTTAAAACAAAAGTATTTTATAGAATAATCCAATAAACACTTGGTTTAGTGTGGCTATATGCAGTTGTGACTTTAGCTGTATTACTCTGTATTAGGTGAGGCGGTGAGGTTCACCCGGCAATACATGCTGACCCCCACAGCTGGAAGGAGGCCCAGGGTGCCTGGAGCAATCGTGATCATTGCTGACAGAAAATCTGTGGACAACCTGACCCTTGCAGTCAGCAGCCTAAGAGATGCAGGTGTGAGGCACTGAAGCTGTGATTGTATGCTGAATGAGTCACTGAAGTTAAGATGTATGCTGGTGAAGGTTCATCCAGGTCATAGTCATTCCATAGTCATTTTTTGGCCATAGTAATTTTTGGAAGTTAAGATGTAGTAGAGTGGTGGCCTAGTGGTTAGGACACAGAGCTTGGAATCCTGAGGTTCTGAGTCTGAGCCCAACTTCCACAAACTGCCACTCTGGGTCTCTGAGCAAGACCCTTAACCCCCCTATTGCTCCCGACAATGGCAGCCCTCTGCCCTCCAAGGAGATGGGTTAAATGCAGATGTAAATTTCTGAAATGTGAGATCAGTAAAATTTAATTATTTATTATGTTTTATTACTGCTCTGTCTAACCATTTGGAAAGTTGAGCCCCTGTCATAAATGCCTTTTTTAGTTAATCTTTAGTTGTGTCCTTTATAATGCATTAAATGTTAAGGGAAAACATGTGGTAAAAAGAAAAATTGTTAAGAGCAAAAACTAAAGGTCAGTAATGAAGATATTTCTATAGATTTAGGTCTTGCAAGTATTGATGTCTCTTAAACCTTTGGACATTTTCTCACATTACATAAAAAAACTGCTTTGTATTCCATTTTGAATTTTAAAAGAGAAAATAATATATAATTATAAAAGGAATGGAAATTATTCTTTGTATTTACAAGTAAAAATCTTAAAAGTGTGGCATGCACTTGCATTCCTCCACTTAACTCTGATATCCTTATTAAACACCAGCAGGCCTTGGCATGTTTTTTGTTTTATTTTTTCATTCCCAAATGATTCAGGTAGATTATCTATTTTGAGTTGTGTAAGAATTTACCAATGCTTAGACTTTCCTATTAATGTGTTCATGATGCATAATTTCCTGAAAACCAATTTAGAGTGTCTCTGATTTCATATCTAAACAAAGTTAGTGTGAAATATTTTTGCTTCATCCTTTGTTGGAGAATTCTTTCTCTGAATTTGAATCATTTATATATCTTTGTGCATGTAAGGCGTGACGGTGCTAGCAGTGGGTATAGACCAAGCTGATAGAGAGGAACTGAGGCTGGCTGTGACGGATCGAAACCCACAGAACATTCTGTACGCTAGTACGGCAGAACGTCTGAACACACTACATGCTGATTTGGCTGACTTGCTTTGTGGGATCGCCAGAATTCCTGAGGTGAGAGATAATCTAGAAAAAAAAATATATATAACTGCATGTTATTAGTCAGTGTGTTTACAGGTCATACTGTTTTTGCAAAGAAGCAACTGCATATTCTCAACTTATTCCCATTTGTGTATGTCTAATCAACCATTGTAACTGCATTTTACTAAGTATTAAAAAAGATTTTGCGAAAAACAAATATTTTAATGCTCAATGAAAAAAAAAACACACAAGGAGGGATAACTCTTATGCTCAAGTGGAGAAGAATCCAATTATTGTTATTAGGGTTGAAACAATTGGAATAATCATGATTAATCATGATTTAATTATTAATCATGATTAGAATAATCGTCAACTAATTTAGTAATCGATTAAACTTTAGCCGGAGTATAGAGACTCTAAAATAAGCCTTGTGCTGACAGAGGGACCCACTTAGAGCATTTATTATATCATAAACATTTTGCATTTAAGATAAAAAACTTTAATGTCTGTCAATATGCTCTATCCAGAACTCCTCAAATGGAAAAAGTTAAGTTTAAGCTTGTTTCATTTCGTAAAAAATCTTCTTTAAATAACCTTTGGCTATCCGATTTTTAATCAATTAATCAAAAAACCTAATCGATAGATTAATCGATTTCAAAATAACTGTTAGTTGCAGGTCTAACTGTAATGGTGTGATGCAGGGAAATGCATCAATTGGATATGTGTCTGTCTGTTGTAACGTAGAAGCCTCTTTTGGCTGTCACGTTTTCTTTAGAAAAGATCCAAGTGGTTGTTTCTTGCTCTCATCTATGGTTTTGTGAAACACAGAATTTCTTGAAATCCTGGGTACAAAAGGCTCTTTTGTTCTGTACATCGAAGGACTCTGGTGAGAAACATTGATGGCAGGGGTCGGTAACCCAAACTACTCAAAGAGCCATATTGGACCAAAAAAAAACAAAAATAAATCTCTCTGGAACTGCAAAAATGTAAAATTCTTATATATGCCTCGTATGGCAACACGGGTTCTAAGTGTACTATCCCACTATAGAAAAGGATTATGTTGGCTTAAATATATAATAATCATTCAGGATTAAATGTTTATCCTGGAGCCAATGTCACATAGCAGCATGTGGTGAGGGAGGACCACTGAACACTCGCCATGCGCTGCTTTACCACCCTTCACTGCGCGGTGATAAAAGTTTTGTTGCATCGATGAAATTATAGAAACACAATAAAGTAATTTTTCTATGGTGGGCATATTTCTGTTGGGAGGAATTGATTGAGTTATGAGGAAGCAAGCAGGAACTGACATCCTCTGAAATCCCACATCCTCTGTCACCAGCGTTCCTTGGTTTGATTTATATTTTTTGGATTTGGGGAAAAATAGAAGAAAGTTTACATACCTGTATCAGAGCGCTACCTGTTTGATCTGTGGACGGTTTTCCAACCTTGCAACAAAACTAGCAACAGTAGTGGAGTTTGGAGATGCAATCCACTTCTTAAATCTATCTTTGCACTCCTCTAATTTACCCAGAAGTTCTGCAATCACACTTTTTCTCTCCCTCCCAGCTTGGTGGTCGACTGCATATTCAGCATTCTTTCCCTGGAAATGCCTTTCCAAATTTTTCTTTTTATTTTTTGACAACCTCTGATTGCAAAGCAAAAATGCAGACAATCCTTCCGCATTGATAATGAAAGCTAATGATTCGCTCCATTCTTTAAATGCTCTCTTTACATCAGCTATCTTCCTTTTTTTCCCTTTGGGATGCATGGTCCGAGACACACCTGCAGCTTTGTTTGCCTGGCACTGCGCCATGCCGTGCTGGTGGCAAGTTATGACCACTGATCTCTATGGGTATGGCTAAAAATTATTGTTTAAATTTATTTATTATAGAAATGTTTACAGCATTGGAAAACATAATTATTTTTTGTTCGACCTCCTGCACACCATATAAAAAATTAAATAAAAATAAAAATCGACTTTCAGGGAGCCGCGAGGGGGATGTAAAGAGCTCCGGAGCCGTGGGTTGTCGACCCCTGATTAATGGTAGATAACATAAAATCATGGGTGTATCCTGCCTTACTGGGGAGTAGTGGCCTAGTGGTTAGGGCATAGAGCTTGGAATCCTGAGTTTCTGAGTTTGAGCCCCACTCCCACAGACTGCCACTCTGGGTCCCTGAGCAAAGACCCGTAACCTCACACTGCTCCCTGGGCACCCCACCATGGCAGCCCCCTGCTCCCTAAGGGGATGGGTTAAATGCAGAGGTAAACTTCTCCAATGTGAGATCAATACAGTTCAATTATTTATTATTGTATCAATGGTTCAAACTGGTGGCGATCCTTAAATACCACAGAGGGTGTTTTCAGCTCTCTGAAAGCCCCTGTTACCATACTGTGCATTGTTTTACCTGAATGCTGTTGATGACCATGTCAATCCCTTTATGGCCACAGTGTGCCCATCTCCTTGTGGCTACAACCAGCAGAATAATGTTTAATCTAGAAAGTGCAAATTATCTCACGAGGTACTTTAACAGGACCTGACTTCCCCGATCATTTTTTCATTGACCAAGATCTTTTAGGAATTTCAATTACACCTTTTATCTTTAAATCTTTTTGAGCAAGTTGTGCATGCGTTTATTTAAGTCGTCTGGATTCGAGCATTAGCCACAAAGCACTTTCTCTTTGCAGTTAGTCCAGAACGCTGTGGCACAACTTTTAACGGGCACCAAAAAACGTGAACACATTGCGTCTTTGCACTGGCTCCTTGTTAAGTTTAGAATAGATTCTTACTTAGACTTAGACAACTTTTATTGTAATTTTCTATACATAGAGTGTATACAAAACTAAAAGAAATTTTATTTAGTACAGCTTTCCAGACAGTAAATGAACATTTCAATTCCATAAGTTGCAGCAATGATCAAATGTAAACAGTGTAGGAGAAAAGAAAAAAAGAAAAGAAAAAACATGGTGCAAAAAAACGTATTGATATGGATCGATGGTTCAGGATAAATGCCTACTTTGTAGCGTTCTAATTGGTGTATTTTGTCTGGAGCTGTAGCAAACCACTGCTTTAAGGCACAGCCATCTTCCACTTTAAAATATTATTGTTCGTTTTTGAGGCCTTGAATCGACTGTGACCTCAGTACATCGTTACACCTCATCCAAATTGACCATCCCCTGTTCACTTTGAGGTCTGAGGGCAAGCTCCAGCTTGTGACTCCTAGGACAATAGGAAAACCGGAGGGGAAAGAGCATTCTCTGTTTTTGGCCCTAAGCTGTGGAATTCACGGCCCTTCAATATACGTATGGCCCCCACCGTGGAGTCTTTTAAACCTCATCTTAGACTAACTTTTATTCTCTGACTTTTAGCATTGTGTAAGTTGTGTGGTCCCCTGTGGCAATGGCGTTAATATCGGTAAGCAGAGGCTGCAGTTGCTTACGGGTCCCCGACCTCTTAGGGGCCAGTCACTGACACCTGCTAGGCTCCTTCCCAATTCTGGACTAGGACGTCTGATTGCAGACATAATGGTGCAAAAAATTCCTCTTAAAACTAACCTGATTTTACGATTACTCGCCAGACCTTATTTATACCCCAAGATATGCCAGATTTCAACATGATGGTGAGCCCTTTAAACACGACACTAATAGCAAAGCAGACAGTGGTACTTTTAATTACTATGTTAATAACAGTGTATAGTTCATTAGTCGGCTGGTAAAAAATACACTCATATAATATGTTTCAAACCACAATAAAGATCTTAAAAGAACGATGTATTTCAATATTTTATTTTTTACATTAGACTTGGAATTATGGGTAATCCAGAGTGTTGTACTTCATATGGGGGCCACCCAGATAATGTTGCTTACGGGCCTATTGTTGTGTTGTTACGCCATTGCCCTGTGGTTTTGTATTTATTTTATTGTATTTATTGTTTTAAACAGTTTTATTTATATTTATTGTTTTATACTTGAGCAGCACTTTGGAAATTTTTTTTGTTTAAATGTACTATATGAATAAAGTGGATTTGATTGCTAAATCTTTGGGATAAAGAGTTAAGGCAGCTCTTAAGGCAAAAATTATCCAAACTCTTGTATCTATGGTTATCTTTTATAGTGGGGCATTAGAGGAGCCTAGTAACAACTTTGTATTTCACACAGCAGGCTTAAAAGTCTCACTAGGATTTTCCAGGAGAAACGCCTGGAAGTGGCGTGCATAGTCGCTGGCTGCAACGCATGGGCGGAGCTCATAGCTCAGGCTTTCCGCTAGGCCCGGTCCAAACCCAGAACCTTCTCTCTCAGCTGCTATGCTTTAGAGGAACTAGTTATTTTGGAGATGATTAGTTTTCTTTAAGATTTCTGTGTTTCCTTCTCAGATCTTGACCTTTTGCAATCTAAAGGCATTTCATTCCACCTAACAGTTTCCTTTGATTTGCTCAGGTGATTCCTGGTCCAGAGCAGTGTACTGTACAGTGTCCTCAGGTAAGTTATTTTTACACCATCCTATATTATAATCCAGAATGTCAATTTACCACAGTCCTTGAAACCATGTTAACCAAGGCACACATTCAAAACCTCCTGGATCTGCTGCTGCCTTCTCCTGAATATGAATTTTTTTAAACTATGTCTTTTAGGGTGAAAAGGGAGATCGTGGTCAGAAGGTAAAGTAGTGGATTACTTTTTCATAACCTCACTTTTAAGGTGAAACTATTTTAGTTCTTAACATTTGATCGAAATGTTGAAAATTATGTCAGAAAGTCATGTTTCTGCTGACATCCAGTAGGTTTAAAATGCATTTACAATTTTTTTTTTGACATAGTTGTCAGAAATGCTGCAATCAGTAAGATTTTGCATGCTTCTTTATTTTTGCTTTGTGCCTAAGGGTGAAAGAGGCAGAGACGGTACAGATGGACGCAAGGGTGAGCCTGTGAGTCAGATAAATCCCTATTTTGACAAGTGTGGTAAAACATGATACATAATATTAAGTAATACTATTAATACAAATGTTTTCCCTAATGACATGATGGAGGGCCGTGATGGTTTGCCTGGGAGGGAGGGTCCCAGGGGACCAGAAGGTCGACCAGGAACACCAGGAAGACCTATCCCTATTAACCCTTCCCAGGTTATCAAAGGGGAAAAGGGGGAGAGAGTAAGTCCAGCTAAGTTCATGCCAGCATTGTAAAAACCTGTCAATATAGAATAAGATATTTTTTATATACTTAATCCTCTTTATCTTTTAGGGTTTTCCTGGAGTGGATGGAAATCCAGGATTACCAGGAAGACCAGGGGCTGCTGGAAATGCAGGTGTTCCAGTAAGTGAGCGAGCAGAACCTGTTTACTGTTTTCTTTTTCTTTATTATTTTATTTTAATAATAAGAAAATGACATAACACAACAAACAAAAATCCATGTAATCCCTTAGGGTTCACAAGGTCTTCCTGGAGTCAGAGGAAGTACAGTAAGTATCCATCTGAGTTTAGAAAACTATCACCTGTATCCTGCTTTACATTGTATCTGTTCTTTATTAGGGTGAACCAGGAGGACAAGGCGCACCTGGGCCAAAGGGGGATAAAGGTGAAAGGGTAAGCTAAAACTCTTTGTCAAATCATATAAGTAGTTTTGGTTCAAAAGTGGCTGAGAGCACCGAAGTAAAAGTTGGATGTGTCTTTGCTCTGATAATATTGCAGGGGGAACCTGGTTCAGTTGTATCCAGTTTGCCAGGCAGGAAAGGAGAACCAGGCGTCCCAGGAATACCAGTAAGAGTGTAAAGTCACCTAATTTAGAGACAAAAGAAAGGGAAACTTAGATTTTCCATATTTTGTATAGTGTGTAAGTTTCCATAGTTAAAACACCCATCATTTCATAGGTAATGTTTTCTCTTTCTCTAAAGAGTTGTAAAAATGGTATTAAGCTCTCCTTAAGAAATCCAATGTAGTATTTCTGCATCATATATAAAGGGTACCCCAGGGCGACCCGGCATAGAAGGAGCCAAAGGAGCCCCTAGAGTTCCAGGTACACGAGGTCAGGATGGTCGGCCAGGAATTCCTGGAACACCAGGACTTTCCATTAAGGTTTGGCTCCTCCATCTCTTTTCCCAAATTACATAATAATAATAATAATAATAATACATTTTATTTGTATTGCACTTTACATTTCAAAAAAATCTCAAAGTGCTAAAAAAAATCTCAAAGTTTATAATGAATGAATTAGATATCATTGGCTGGTTTAGAGATAGATACTTGATGAGATAAAAAAAGATCTTTTCAAAGCACACTGCTGCACTGTTTTGTAACAAGAGTGTATATATGTAATACAAATATAATACTATTTGTTTTCTTTACAAAACAAAACCTCTAAAGGGTTGGGTTTGCATTTGTATCCAGCCCTTGTTTTCTCTGTTACGCCTACAACATTTAAAAACCTGTCTGAACTTGGACTGATGTTCTTTCAGATGAGCATACCCGGTCAGACCAGCATACCCATAGTCAATACCAGTTTATCCCTTTAGTTTTTCCCTTTGATTTTGTATGAAAAATTAACTTTAAACTACTTCAACGGGCGTGTATCCCTTAAGTCGTGTACAAAAAAACAATTTAATTACTTACTTTTTGGTGTTTTTGGAAACGTATGGTGATCCACCTTAAATAGTTTTTTTTTTTTCGTACATGACCAAAGGAATACAAGCCCGTAGAGGTAGTGTAAAGTCTATTTTTTGTACAAAACTAAAGGGATAAACGCTCATTTGATGTTTTGCACATGCGTATTGACTATGGGTATGTTGGTCTGACGAGGTATGCTCATTTGACAGAACACCATGTTATTAAAAAAAAAACAATGCTATAATCCATACTGTTTCATTTAAGCTCTGAATGCTTTTATTGTAACTGTTATCCCCCTGAAAGGTAAACCTCTGCCCTGTATTTGTAATTCTTCAGGCCTCTCATAGATTTTCTCCTAGAATTGCCTTCTAATCAACTCCATTCATCTTCCAGTTAACTTTGATCTGTGCTCCTTGTTCTTACAATCAATAAAAGTACTCTCAATTGGATTTACTAATCTTGGACTTACTGGTTTCCCAATAAAGTGAAAAAGGCTGAATACAGATACAATCTCACAATGCAAGAATGATCTCTTTGTTTAGCCTTGTCACATAAAGTCGATATAAAATGCACTGAAATCCAACTGCAACATATTAAAATCCATACAAAGTTTTAGGGATGTGAATACTATTTAAACATAAACACTACTACTTTATCCTGTCTGCAGCATAGCATCAGTATACATACTTGCAAACTGTGCATGCAGCAAAGTTGCAGAAAACAAATACAAAAAACAGTATAAAGAACGACTTCGAATTGTCATAATTTAGTTCATCTGACTATATTATCTCCACTAACCTTCAGATTCTCTGTTGGCTCATTGAACTCACCTCAGTAGATCTCTGCATCTTGTGAGATACTGACAAAGAAAAAGTACTATTAGGCAATTATTAGTTCTTTATCTGTTTGAAGTTTTGTGATATATATTATATATATATTAGTAAGAGTTATATATAACTCATATCCATGCCATTTCCCGTCTGTAAAAATAAAATGTTAATTCATCTTATTGTGATACATGTCCACACATAAATTGAAGTACAGAATCAGTTAACTCTTGATCAGTTGTATCAAAAATGATCCAACAATAAGAATATTAATTATCTTCAGATTAATTCTAAGATAATTAATCTGAAGATAATTATCTTAAATCAATGTTTTGCATAAATGCTGACTGATTCTATATCATGGCTCGCTCTATGTTTTCATGAAATCATCAAATTAATATTTGTCCTTTCTAGGACACTCACAAAAAAATGTAAATGTTATTTTCCTGATTGTAAATTGATTTCTGAATGCAGAAAAACAGATACTGTAAATAAATTAAGACATTAGGTTAAAAGTAACCTATGTGTCTTTGTGCAGCAAACATTTAATTTGGACCCCCTTTATTCCCACAAAAAAAATTACTTTCACACTTCAGAGATGTGACAGGAATTAATGTTTTACAGAACCATGTTCATTTTTTTTTATATTTAGAGCAAATGAATATTTGTTTTTTTCTGCACAACAACCAACCAAATTTAGAATCAGCATTACAGCAGCTTACTGTAGCAATCTTTGCAGTTAGTTTTTTAACTAAAACCAAAACTTCCCACCTTTGCAACACAGTGATTTTAGCATGAGTTGAATTTTAAATTGAGTTGAGAAAAATGGAAGCGGTACACATTACATCAGAACATCCTCGTAAAATTGTAATGTTAGTGACTTTAGGACCGTCTGAAGCACGAGATACTGATTTAAAAATATATATATTTCAAACAAAACTGCCTTTTTGTTAGTTTTTTTACATGTCTTGTTTTATTTTATGTGATAAATTTCAAAATGACAAAGAATCAGGGATCCTAAGGGGTCAAAATCAGAAAGTCACTGCCCAAATCATAATGTTGATCCTTCAATCATTTGTTTTTCGCTCTCCATTCTTTGTTGCTACTTGCTACTACAGTTGCTTAAATCATTAATCATTTGTTAAAAGTGCTTCTTTTAGCAAAGTTATATTTTTATTTAGTTATTAAAGTGAGTTTTTTAAAATAGAGTCAGTCTTGGTCTGTTATATTTGGTTATCACTCAGTCTTTTATTGTCTTTGCTTCTTAAGCTTTTATTTTCCTCTTCAAGTCATTCTCACTTCACTTTATCTCCCACAGGGAGATAAGGGCAGTCAAGGAGAGAGGGTGAGTCATACCATCTTCAACTTGTCCTCTACAGTAAGGGAAGCAGTTTCCTGTGAAGAAAAAGACTGTAATGATCCTGGGCTCTTATCTCTCCTTTCTGTCAGGGACCTCCAGGAATAGGAAGCGGCGTGGCCGTGAAGGGTGAAAAGGGCTCCCCTGTAAGTGCTGCCAGTCGTCCATAATGTGCTGATCTGTTAGTTTTGCAACTGCAGTTTCATGCAGATTTGGCATAATTTGAATTTACTGATTGCTTTGAAATAACCAGGGTATTCCAGGAGCTGCAGGTGTCCTGGGACCTAGAGGGCCAGCAGGACCACAGGGCAGTAAAGGGGATAAGGTATCATCAGGATGTATTTAGTGTTTGAAAATGTAAACCAATTAAAAGGCCTGTTAAAATGAATGGGTCCCTGGTGTTCATCAGGGCGACGATGGCACTGGACTACCTGGACCTCAGGGAAAGCAAGGAGAGCCCGGTGACAGGGTGGGTCAATCACATGACACTTTAATGATTAATGATCTGACAAATATAATAAACTCACTATCCCAGAAAGACACAGTTGAGCTTTGGATAGGTGGTTCAGTGAAACAAGTTTTCAAAATGTTTACTCTATATGGATCAGTAGAAGACAAGTATTGTTTTTGTTAACTTGTAGCGCCACCTGTAGGACAAATAACATCAGCTTTTTAAGAAAAAAAATATATATATATTTTGTATCAACCTTAAAAATACAGCCACATGTATACAATAAATTACATGGAAAATCATCTTCACAGCTGTTGAAAAAATGTATATATATATTTTTAGGGGCGGGGTTTAAAATTCATCATGTGAATTCATCATAAAAATGCTAAATGTTTCAGAATTGGTCTGTATCCAACCATTTGCCTGAGTAGAAACATTCATTTTAAGTTATCCTTTATGCTAACTAAAAAAACACAATAAAGGCATATTTTAAGCCCATGCATACTTCCAATATTTTCCAGGGCCCCCGTGGACCTGCAGGCGAGATTGGCAGCAAGGTAGGATGCATGTGATGACAAATATGACTTTAACAATATGGAACAAAATGGATCTTTGTCCTGATCTCTGTTTCACCAGGGCGACAGAGGACAGCCAGGTGAACCTGGGACACGAGGAGACAGAGTGAGTCCTGAGGAGAGACAAGTTGTTCCTTTGAACATGTCTAAACTGGCATGCTTGGCACAGTGAAAGCGCTACACTTTGAAGCAGTGATGAACTGGCAAATATTACGTAATCTAGATGTTTAACACCAGGCTCTTATCAGAGAAGACTAATAACTGGTTTCAAAATTAAAAGTTACTTCGTTAAATTATTTCATCTCATTTATTTCTTTTACACAGACGCATGAACAAGGGTTTGTAAAATATTTAATTATAAAAAGCCCAGAATGAACGCTACTTTTATTCTAGTGATTTTTACTAATGCACTATTGTTGAAGATGATCATTTTTCATTTTAGAAAACTGATTAGAAACACCAGAGACTAACTTATACCAGTGCAAATGTATTCGACATCCTCCACAGAATAGACAGTTAGAGCAGCAACATATCTGCAGCTGAGATATAGCAGTTGGATCACTCATCATGAAGGCCTCCTCTATGGAGCACAGGTTTTTGGAGGCATAATAACTTTAGAAAAACAATCAGTTCATAAATAAGAACACACTTTACATTTGTTTATCATCCAACTCCATTGCACATTTCTAAGACCTTAAAAATGTTTATTTTTTCATTTTTGATAAATGTCTTTTTTTTACGACGGAGTATTAGGGCCACGCATGAAGAGAAAAAATATTTTTGCCAAAGTCGACATGTCGACATTAAACTCAACATTTTGAGAATAAAGTTGAAATGTCATGTTGAGTTTAATCTCGACGTGTCGACTTTAGACTCGCCATTTCGAGAATAAAGTTGATATATCGTGGCGACTTTAATCTCGACATTCCAAAGTTTGGAGAAAAGAGCAACCGCGCTCCACAGCTGCAGTCTGCGTTTTAAGAGTGAAGGTAGTCTTTGACGTGCTGCAACTGTATAGGATTCTGTGCATGTATCCTGTGCAGCGGTTGGCTCTCTTGAACTAATTTAAACTTTATTGTCGACACGTCGAGATAAAACTCAACATGACATTTCAACTTTATTCTCGAAATGGCGAGTTTAAAGTCGACAGGGCGAGATTAAACTCAACATGACATTTTAACTTTATTCTCGAAATGTTGAGTTTAATGTCGACATGTCGACTTTATAGTCGACATGTCGAGTTTAATCTCGTCATGGCAAAAATATTTTTTCTCTTCATGTATGGCCCTAATACTCCGTCGTATTTTTTGCTTGTTCTATTAATTGTATTTTTACTACTTTGCTGCTGATATAGCTGCATTTTCGCTAAGGGATGACAAAGGATTTATTCTTTTCTGTTCTTGTCTGTAGCTTTAGATTTCTTCTTTATTTGATGAATGTGAACTTTTATATCTTTGCAGGGGGAGCGAGGGCCTGTTGGGGAGACTGGAGAGAAAGTCAGTAGAGCTGGAGTTGCTGGTTTAGATTTTCATTGATTTTAAAGTTCCTAACTGTTGACTTTAGTCGGTTTTAAAGGAAACTTGCACAGTTCTCTGAACAATATTGTATTTTCAGGGTGATCAAGGAAAGGCAGGGATCCCAGGAACACCAGGCCTGAGAGTGAGCATTGTCTAAATGATGTGTAACTACATGTTTTGTGTGTAACTTTTTCTGTTTGATGCTCTGTGCAATTTTTGATGTGTTTTCATTTAAATGCAGGGTTTACCGGGACCAAGTGGACCACCAGGAGAAAAGGTGAGAGAGAAAGCTTCTAAGGAACAATGATCGAAGACGCTGCATGTCAGGAGGCTTGCTGAACCTTCTATGATCAGATAGGAGGACATTTCAAGCACAATTTGTAGAAAATAATAGTGTCTACTTCCAGGGAAATGAAGGAGCACGAGGGGAGCCAGGAAGAAGTGTGAGTGCTCTGTTCTTATACCCGTACAGTAAGTATTGATTGAATGTCTGGGGCAGCTAAATAACTACACTCTGCTATATTTGTATTCATTCAGATGCCAGGTTTACAAGGAAGGAAAGGAGAACAGGTTTGAGATAAAGATTGCCTGAATTTGAACAATTTAAGCTGATACTTTTAGAGATATAATGGGTGTTTTATAATTTTGTTTGTTCTTTTTAAAGGGAGAACGAGGTCTTCCTGGCTCTGATGGTCTAAAGGGAGATAGAGGAGAACCAGGACAAAGAGGAGAGAAAGTGAGCTAACAGCTGTGAATCACATACTGGAAACGTTGCTTCTCTCAATTAACATTTATGATTATGTTGCTCCGTCAGGGTTCTCCAGGTTCAGGAGGCTCAGGTGTTGTTGGACCTAAAGGAGAGCCAGGAGAGCCAGTAGGTTTAAGACTGCCACAGTATAATAACGCAATCTACGTTTGTGAAACAATATTTGAATCCATTTTTAATACAACTCCTCCAGTTGACGGTTCATTTAACATGCATTCTCTCCTCAGGGACGTCCAGGTCTTAATGGACGACCGGGAGCCAAGGTTTGTAGCCTGCAGTGTCCTTTCTGACTTTTACTTTGAAATGTTTGCTGCTTAACTGCTAAAATTATCTCTGTTATTTAGGGAGACCCAGGAGAACCAGGCGAGAGAGGAGAGAATGGTCGCCCGGGAATCCCTGGAAAACCCGGCCTTGGTGGAAAACCGGTCAGTGTCGCAGGGATATCACTCTTAGAAGCCCATACCAAAAAATGTGTTTCACACAACAATAAAAATAGTCAGAAGTAGGAGGTTGCCTGACATTAAGGAGATTATGAAGAATTACCTTTTATTACTTATACTGTCACTGCTTCCTATGCCAAATTGATGGCAATAAATGTACATTTTTTTGCAAAGCATTTTACATTTTTAATCGTTGCAGAGGGAAACAATACAAAAAAGCTGCACTTGGATAAAAAAAAACGTAATCAACCCAAAATACACTAAAAGCATCAGCATAGGGCTGGACAGTGGCACAGTTTTTCTCTTTCTGCTTGCCTGGTCAGCTAGATCAATTTACACGGGGCATAAGTCAGTCTGGTAAGGCCCAATACTCTCTATTCTAAAACAGACCAATTGGAGCACAGTAGGCAGGCAGGATTGCAATTTATCTGCCAGTGAAGATGATGCCAGTCATCCAGGTCAAAGTCATTCCAAAAAAAAGTTAAAAGGCTTTTGTTTGGCTATTCTATAAAGCCTGGAGATCTACACTACAGATTACAGATTTCTTTCTGTATTTTCTTCAAACCTAGGAAAAAAATGAAATTTTTCTATTCTTAATTTTCTATTAAAAATAGAAAATTTCAAGATTTATTTTGTAACTTAAGGGATTGTGGCTCACATGCAAAGAAAGCTAAAGAAATTCAGTGGCTCAGAAAATCTGAATATAACATTTAATGAGAAAAGGTTTTAACCACAAGTATCTGGCTTTTAAAAAATATGTCCATTTTGTGCAGTTTATTCACTCATTCAATAGTTGTTTGGGTGAATTAGTACATCAGTGTGCCATGGTCTCAAGGTCATCAACTAATTGCATTTAGTAGCTGTAATGGTCGTCTGCATCGTTAGGTCTGGTAACTCATCTTCTTCCTCTTGACAACAGATTTTCTGTGGGGTTTAAGTCAGGGGAGGTATTGGCCAATCAAGGACAAGAACAGCATGGTCACTGAACCATTTTTTCTTACCTTTAGCAATGTGGGCATGTGCCAAGTCCTGCTGGGAAAAAAAATAATTTGAACTTCCATACAGCTTCTCAGCAAAGGGAGAGGATGAGTTGCACTTTTACGTTTTGAGATATATCCAGCCTCAAATGAAATTTGAAAGATAATTAAACAATGGAATTAATGGAACAAGACAATTTACACTTAAAATAAGAAAACACAATTGCATTATCTTATTTCAAGTGCATTTTATCTAAACATCTAATTTTAAGAGTAAAACTACTCATTCCGTGGCAAATCATCTAATTTACCTTCTCAAATTAAGGGTAAATAAGGGTTATTTATGTACTTTTTACTTATTTCTAGATTGTTTTTTCCAGTGTACCATTTATAGGTGCTAAGGTCATACTGCACAGCATCACATTTATACATCCATCCATCCATTTTCCGTCATGCTTATCCCAAGTGGGGTTGCGAGGGGTGCTGGTGCCTATCCAGCGCTGTCTACGGGCGAGAGGCTGGGTACACCCTGGACAGGTCGGCAGTCCATCGCAGAGCAACACATTTATCCAAAACAAAATATTATTGCTTACTCGGGTCCAAATATCCAAAAACAGCAGTAAGCAGAGCCTCAGTAATGCTAATATTGTGGTGTGGTTTTTCATTAAGTGATGTAGATTTTGACATAACTTTTTGCCCTACAGCTGATGGTATTGTGTTAATTGCCAGTCATTTATGTTAACTCTCTCACATATGGGGGCACAGGCATCTCTAACACAGCCAGATTGGCCATTCAGATATAATGAGTATCATAGATTTTATTTCATCATATTGCAGACAGATTAGGAAAACTATTGCTCGCAAATTGTCTATGATTTCAGTCATTTGTCTGATTCCACTCACATTTTCAGACAATTTATGAATATCTAAAATTACAGCTTAAATTTCAGTTACAAGCTGTTCATCATGTTCTTTTGGTCAATGAGGTTCCGTGCGAATATTCAGCAACTAAAATGTCAAAAATCCAGATTAATTGTAGGATAAGTCTTTCTTTGGCCTGAATTTCAGTCCTTGTTATTGCAGAAATGACATCTAGCATAAAAGCTCTGACAATTCTGTCTACAAGCTGCAATAACATGCTGATGCAAACCGAGGAAAGGACTCATAAACAGTCCACTTTCAAATTAGAACGTTACAACCTCCCTAATACAATAATCAATTATAAATACAATTTAACGTGTACAGTAATTTAGGGTATTTTTGCGTTCAGTATCCTAAACAGGCAGTTTTAAAGCAGATTTTATTATAAAATAAAAGCAAAAATCTTGTTCTTCTATTTAAAAATGACCAGACATGCAACACAAAGTTCACAGATTTAAGCAGTGGCACTAATCTAATGTAGAAAGTAGCAGTTGACATAAAGCAACATACAAAAAAAAAAGATGCTTACCCTACCACATTGTTGATTTGTTCTTTCTGTTTGATTTAGCTGATAAATGATTTAATATTGCAGTTATCTAAATTGATCCTCCAATGCTGGGTTGTTGCACATTTGTTATATAATTTATTCTAGGATCATTATCACTATCACTCTCTTATCATCTTTTTTAGCTGTGGATGTCCATGTCCCCGACCAGTCCTGCATTTCAGAACCCCACATTACAGATTTACAGGAAATCTATCTAGTATTTATTGGTTGTTAAACATTTTCAATTTAAAAACAAAGATTTTTTAGTGCCCTCTATCCTGTTAAAATAGTGTAGACCGGGAGTCTCCTATCCTGTTCCAAAAGATCTACTGTCCTGCAGGTTTTAGATGCATCTTTGCAAACTTGATTGCATTCTGAGGGTAATACAATCGTTTGAATTAGATGTGTTGGATCCATCTAAAATCTACAGGACAGTAGATATTTAGAAGCACCAATGGATACTCCTTGTCTTGACATTTAATATTTCCTGTTTGAAAACCCAGTTTTCAGGTTATGTTGCTGATCCAAATGTATGTAGCTACTGAGTGTCTGAGTTCCAGAATCAGTGGTCAAACAAAATCTAACTTATATATTGTGAGATCTACTACAATACAATTTTCTGAAGTTTTTCGTTGCTTGCATTTTCTTGTACCAGAATAACATGATAATTTTCCATTCCAATCAATAGATAGTCAATGTTTTCTTTTGCTAGGTTTCTTCATACAAAACAGTAACACTTTGGCTCATTTGTTCGTAAACAGAGTAGATAGGTTTGAAAGGATATATTTTCACTTTCATCGAAATCCTGATAATCTCTTCCCTGTGCTTTCTCACTTGCTACTCTTCCTAATGCTGACAGTTTAGGGATAATACAAGCATTTTCTTTTTTTTTTTAAATGAAACAACTGTCGCCTTTTCTGTATTAATTTGATCTTTCTGAATTATAGGGAGAAAAGGGTGATAAGGGCGATGAAGGCACACCCGTGAGTTTATTTCCTCTTGTTTCATCTATAATTTCACAATGAATTAAATTTAATGAGGCACTTCTAAAATTATTTTGACTTGATGAACAAGGATTAAATATCATTATGAGAGTTTTCCTCCTTTTCTTGTGTCAGGGAGAATCAGGACTTCCAGGAAAGCCAGGAGAAAGAGGTTTGAGGGTAAGGTGTTGTGTTCTGTTTCATTTGTTAAATTCATATAGTTTTAAGGCACCAAGTTAAAACCAGTTCAGGTAAGAGGCTGTTTGACTGATCACCCAGGGATTGGCGGGTCAGCCGGGGCGGCCAGGAGAGAAAGGAGACATGGGAGATCCAGGAGAGCATGGGAGAAATGTGAGAGACTTTTCTTTTATCACACACACAGCTTTGCAATTTACTCTTGTGGTATTCTAGAGAGTGCTGAATAAAATTAAACCACCCAAAAGGCTGTCCACTCACTGCCTTTATTGATCTGTGTTCGATTATAGGGCAGTCCTGGACCCGCTGGACCGAGAGGAGAGAAGGGAGAGCAAGTAGGCTGTCTTATTTAATACTGAAATCTGCTCATTTACCTTTAGATCTATACTCAACAGATTCTTGCACTTTGTTCTCTTCAAGGGACTTCAAGGGCCTGCAGGTCCACCAGGACAAATTGTGAGCTTCTCAATGAGTTTTTTTTTTCCAGTTTGGAAGTCAAAAACTGATTAAATTGGACAATAAAGCTTAATGTGATATTTCATGTCTGTTTGTTAACAGGCTGAGCTACAGGGTCAGCTGAAAGGAGAGAGAGGAGAGAAGGTTTGTGCTTTTAATGTGTATTTAAGTTTAAATGCATAATATATATAATGCATAATATATACATAATATATACATAATGATATTACACACATTATATATACATATAAGAACATAACATCTATGATAGTACTCATACCTCAAAACATTAGAGTTTTATTTAGCCACTTTAATCGATCGATAGAGTAATGCAAAGCTACTGCATAGTTGTGGCATAGAAGGCAGCATTCTAGTATATATATATATATATATATATATATATATATATATATATATATATATATATATATATATATATATATATATATATATATATATATATATATATATATATATATATATATATATTATTTTTTTTTTTCTGTAAAAATAATAACCACAAAAAATGTGTTCTGCTTCTGTATCACTTCCTTTCAACTGTGATATAATGGAAAACACATAATTACTACACATAGTCCTTTATGTGTATATTGAAGTCCTCTGTGAGGATCCTAGAAGGTTGCTGCAGAACATTATTAAACACACAGCATCGCAAAGACCAAGGAACACCGCATGGATAAAATGGAGAGGTTTAAAGCAACAACATGAGTTCATAAAAGTGTAACATTTCAAGCTTTGAATGTGTCAGTCTTTATCTGTTATCTAAAAATAACAAACATTGCAGAACTCCTGCAAACCTAGGCAAGAAAAGCATCATTCAGAGAAGCAGTCAGGAGAAGTTGTGGCTAAGGAAGAACTTCAGATAGCCAACATCAGGTGGCATAAGTTATTTTAAGTAGGGATGTACGGCATGTATCAGCATGCTAACAGTATTGGTGGAAATTAGCTTTAAAACTAAATAGTATCTGTTCCACTAATATAAAAGGCACTGCTTTTTACAAGCAAGTTAGTGCCGGTGCATCCAATTCTTTCTTTTTTTTCTCCATCTTTTATTGTCATTACACTGTTTCAAGTACAGAGCAAGGAAATTAACTCTCTGCATTTAACCCAAATTCCAAAATCGTTCATTCTATTATTATTCATGCATTCCACAAATCTTTGCAGGAACAAAGCCACAAGATGTGTTTTTAAAATCTTTCTGGGATGAAAACAATGTCTGATTTGCATTTGTTAATTTTCATAGAACTTTTATGTATGGTTACTGTTATTAGATTTACCGTATTTTCACGACTATAAGGCGCACTTAAACGTCTTTTTTTTCCCTCAAAATGTGCGGTGCGCCCTATGGTGCGGTGCGCCTTATGTGTGTTGTAACTGCGACTTTTGAGACCACCTCATTGAGGAGATGATGAAAGAGTGGCTGAATGTAAGGAGACCAGGTGTTTTTTTTTCCACTCATCACCATCGCTGTATATATGTAACTCCATGCGTGCCCATCTCACAGCTGATGTGAAAAACATGGGGAAACAAATTAAGGCTGTGCTCGCTGTTCAACCGCTCGACATCGGTGTGAACCGGACCCAGCAGGTGCAGCAGAAGCAGCGAGTTTACATGCAAAGTCAAAGGTTGACGCGCGTATAGGCGCAGCAAAGTCGGGAGCGTTTAAGCATCTGACGCACCGCCAACGCGCTGCTGCTGCTCTAGATGGAAAAATTGAAGTTTTGCTGCTGGACGCGCCGCATCAACCAATCAGAGAAGCTGATCTGGGAGCTGACAGCGAGACAGACACAGCGCTCTGATGACATGATATTAACGCAAATGAAAAAGGCTGGATGGATGAGAAGATGATGAAAGGCAGGTGTATGTGAGGAGACCAGGTGCTTTTTTCCACGCATCACCATCGCTGCGTGCCCATCTCACAGCCGATGTGAAAAAAAGGTGAATCAAATGAACGCTGTGCTCGCCGTTATCCCGGGGGTCTGACAAAGGAACTTCAACCGCTCGACATCGATGTGAAGCGGCCGTTCAAAGTAAGGCTGCGAGCGGCGTGGGAGCGATGGGTGACAGACGGAGACCACAGTTTCAGGATAAGTGGAAGGCAGCGCCGGGCAAGTTACGCCACCGTTTGCGGATGGATTGTAGATGCTTGGACTAAAGTGTCTGCTGGCTCTATTGTTCAAGCTTTCGTAAAAGCCGGCATTATTTCTGAGGAGCTGCGCTGCACGGAAAGTGACTGACAGCGAAGAATGGGAAATTGGCATGTCTGATTTAGCGCAGCTGTTTAATTCAGAAACAGAGGATGATGACTTTGATGGGTTTGATTAATACTTTGTAATAAATACATGAATAAAGCACAATCATACTCAGCTTTGCTCCCGCTCTATTTTTCTACCTGAAAACTTAATTCAACAGCAGCCTCTGGGCGGGTCTCCTCCTCTTCACCGCGGTGGCTGGCAGGTGTTTTTTCATCTAAATAATCTAAATCTTGCAGCTATATTTGCTGTGATCAGTGGGAATAAAGTAGTTTTAATATGTTTTTAAGTGAGAAAGGCCACCTGAAAACTTTATTGCAGTCAGTTCATCCAGATTATCTATTTCTGTCGGAGGCGCTCAGAGCCCCACATACCAGCGGTGCACCGACAGCAGAAATCCCTTCAACAGCAGCCTCACCGCGGCGGCTGGCAGGTGTTTTTCATCTAAATAATTTACAGTGCAGGCACCAGGATACCGGCAATAAAAGCGAACATATTCTGTCGGCAGGTTTCAGGATTTTAAGTTAATTTAGGAGTAATCACAGCGCTGTGTCATCTGCGATGTGTCTGTCTCATGGCCAGCTCGCAGGTTTGATTAATACTTTGTAATAAATACATGAATAAAGCACAGTCATACTCAGTTTTGGGCCCGCTGCATTTTTATAATACGCAGTTGAGCTATTTAAAGGTAGTAGAGGACATGTACCTGTATATAAAAAATGCGCCCTATAGTCCGGTGCGCCTTATGTGTGTGTTAAATACAGAAATGGGACACATAACTGAGACTGCGCCTTTTAGTACGGTGCGCCTTATGGTCGTGAAAATACGGTAAGTTATTTCTGTGACCATTATGTGTTTTTCTCTCATCATTCGAGGGGTGTAAGTGTGTATGCTTATAAAATTTCAGCCAAGGGTGGTTCTATAGAGAATATCACACAGAAATTACATATAACTGTGTTTGTTCCTAAATATTTTGAAAACCAAGCATTGTGTTTGTATTAGCCTTCTTCATTATAATGCACAATACTGCATTACCCGGTACATAAAATTACATTTAACCACATTGACATTTTCTACAATGTGTAGTTCATTGGGGAGGAATACTTTTTAAAGGAATTTTGGTAAGGGTTAAAATCTGCAGTAGCACATATTAGAGACCTTATAACATTTTGACTCAAGGGTGATGCTGGTGACCCAGGAGAGCATGGCGGCAAAGGTCAGAAAGGGGAAGCGGGAACTCCTGGAGCTCCAGGACTGCGAGTGAGTTTTTTATTTATAATTAATTTATACATTTTTATTAATTTTTTATTTATAATAGTTCCACTCATATTAAAATATGTTTTAATTGCATCTGTATGCACACTGTTTTTTTGTATGGAGTTGCTGTGAATAACTGATCTTCTTCTGTCTATAAAGGGTCCAGAGGGACTGAGGGGACCTGCAGGAATAAAAGTGAGCGTCCTCTCTACTGGAGTTATTATAGTAACTACTCCTTTCTTGTTTTTTTATTTGATGAATACTGAAAAACATTTTTGTAATATTTGCAGGGTGACACGGGAGAAAGAGGATCACCTGGAGAGAAGGTTTGCATTCGTAATTTTAACACAGATATTTCTATAATCAAGGCTGGAGTGATTTTGCACTCATCCTGTTATGCAGCAAATGTGTTTTTTATGCCCCAGTACAGAAAGCACCCTTACCTATAGTACTAATGACTGTTTTTCTTTTTGTAACAGGGAGAAAGAGGAGCCTCTGGGCTGGATGGCCGTCCTGGTCTGGATGGTAAACCAGGCTCTCCTGGACCCCCCGGACTAAGGGTGACCTACCTTCTTACATATCTAATCAATTTATTGAAGTCATTACAGTAAAAGTTATTCATTTAACAGCTGAAACCAGCTGCTTACACAGACTTTAGCAACAAGATATAAAACAATATTTCTCACTGTCAGGCATTAAATCAGACTAAACTTTTATTGTTTTTGATCAATTAGTATATAATGTCTACTTGTTAAATAACATAATAATGTTCAATTTTGAATGATTATTGATAGATCTCGGCATTAGAGTTGAATGCTTTAATTTAAGAGACAATGAAATAGAAAACAAACCAAACAAAACGTGCACAGATGTCAAGAAGAGAATAAAATTTCTAGGTGCATGACTGTTCAATCTTTATTGCTTCAAAAAGGTACAAAATTTATTATTGTGATTTTTTTTTATTTACTTTAACTTTTATGGAGATCTTTTTTTTAGGTGTGTGAAATTAATTAATTCCACAAAAGAAGCAAAAGACTGAATAAAGTTTGTCCAAAGTATGCCCTCTTAATGCATGGGCTGGAAGGCCAGTCAGTGAGGCAGAAGTTGTTGCTTAAAAAACCACATAAAAAACAAAAAAAAAACAAAAAAAAAACACTGCAGGAGTAGCCATTTAAAATTTTCCCAGTCTCCTTGATGGGCCCTTGGCTGGTCCCCTACAATTCCTTTTTAATCTTCAATTTTTGTACTAATATACAGGTGCTGGTCATAAAATTAGAATATCATGAAAAAGTAGATTGATTTCAGTAATTCCATTTAAAAAGTGAAACTTGTATATTATATTCATACATTACATACAAACTCATATATTTCAGATGTTTATTTTGTTTAATTTTGATGATTACAAATGACAACAAATGAAAATCTCAAATTCATCATATCAGAAAATTAGAATATTACTGAAGACCAATAAAAACAAAGGATTTATAGAAATGTTGGCCAACTGAAAAGTATGAACATGAAAAGTATGAGCATGTACAGCACTCAGTATTTAGTTGGGCCTCCTTTGGCCTGTTTTACTGCAGCAATGCGGCGTGGCATGGAGTCGATCAGTCTGTGGCACTGCTCAGGTGTTATGATAGCCCAGGTTGCTCTAATAGTGGCTTTTAGCTCTTCTGAATTGTTGGGTCTGGTGTATTGCATCTTCTTCTTCACAATACCCCATAGATTTTCTATGGGGTTAAGGTCAGGAGAGTTTGCTGGCCAATTAAGAACAGGGATACCATGGTCCTTCAACCAGGTACTGGTAGCTTTGGCACTGTGTGCAGGTGCCAAGTCCTGTTGGAAAATGAAATCTGCATCTCCAAAAAGTTGGTCAGCTGCAGGAAGCATGAAGTGCTCTAAAACTTCCTGGTATGTGGCTGCGTTGACCCTGGACCTCAGAAAACACAATGGACCAACACCAGCAGATGACATGGCACCCCAAACCATCACTGACTGTGGAAACTTTACACTGGACTTCAAGCAACGTGGATGAAGTGCCTCTCTTCTTTTCCTCCAGACTCTGGGACCTTGATTTCCAAAGGAAATGCAAAATTTACTTTCATCAGAGAACATGACTTTGGACCACTCACCAGCAGTCCAGTCCTGTTTCTCTTTAGCCCAGGCAAGACGCTTCTGACGCTGTCTGTGGTTCAAGAGTGGCTTGACACAAGGAATGCGACAGCAGAAACCCATGTCTTTCATACGTCTGTGTGTGGTGGTTCTTGAAGCACTCACTCCAGCTGCAGTCCACTCTTTGTGAATCTCCCCCACATTTTTGAATGGGTTTTGTTTCACAATCCTCTCCAGGGTGCGGTTATCTCTCTTGCTTGTACACTTTTTTCGACCACATCTTTTCCTTCCCTTCGCCTCTCTATTAATGTGCTTGGACACTGAGCTCTGTGAACAGCCAGCCTCTTTAGCGATGACCTTTTGTGTCTTGCCCTCCTTGTGCAAGGTGTCGATGGTCGTCTTTTGGACAACTGTCAAGTCAGCAGTCTTCCCCATGATTGTGTAGCCTATAGAACTAGACTGAAAGACCATTTAAAGGCTTTTGCAGGTGGTTTGAGTTAATTAGCTGATTAGAGTGTGGCACCAGGGGCCATCAATTTTGAACCTTTTCACAATATTCTAATTTTCTGATATGATGAATTTGAGATTTTCATTTGTTGTCATTTGTAATCATCAAAATTAAACAAAATAAACATCTGAAATATATGAGTTTGTATGTAATGTATGAATATAATATTCAAGTTTCACTTTTTAAATGGAATTACTGAAATCAATCTACTTTTTCATGATATTCTAATTTTATGACCAGCACCTGTATTCTTTCTGTCATGATTTGTGGACATTAAGATCTAAAGAGAAGCATCATCTACTGGTCAAACCCTGTAATTCAGTGAAAGGGTAGAGTCAGAGTAAAAACAATGCATGCCCAGGAGAAGGCCAGTGGCTGGAAGTTGGAGGGGATTTTGCTGGGAGTTGCAGCGGAGTAGGCTGCTATTGGGCTGGCATTTGACGGGGAAGGGCCATTTTGAATGGCTGCCACTGTATAATTTGCAAAAGGACACAAATATCTTAATTTTCGAGAATAATCTTGTGGTCTGATGAAGCTAACAGTTAAGTGTTTGAATTTAAATGAGAACACAATCCATTCTGTAAAGTGCAGGGATTGCAGTATCCTGTAATTGGCATGTTTAGCTGCAGGAACGATTGGTGTACTTCACAGACTAGATAGCACCATAAGGATAGAACATTTTGGGAACATACTAAGTTAATATTTCAAGACATCCACAAGGAAGTAAAAATGAATACTTATAATAGACAATGACTCTAATTGCATAGCCAAATAACTTATAAAGTGTCTTAAAGTGATGTTGTTAAAACAGCCATCACCTCTTCCTTTTTTCATTACCATAGAAAATGTGAGGCAAGAGCTGACCCAGTGACTGAGCAAGGTGGCCTATTAATCTGGCTTATTTACAGCAGTTTTCTCAGAAAAAAATCTGTCAAGCTGCCAAAAAAACTGTTGGTAGAAGCTTGTAAAAGGAGATGAAAAGCACTTCAACAAAGCCATAAAATTTAGAAGGAAACCCCCCCTAAATAGTAAGAAAGTGTGAAAAACCTCTGAATATTTTTATATATTATTTTTCTAGCACTTATATTGTTACTATGTTTGTGATCCCAACTGACCTAAAAAAAAAAAAGGAAATGCAAGTTCTAATTTAACACCAACCTTTGAAAGGAAAGATGATGGTTTATAAATTGTATATGGTTTTGATGGTGCAATGTTTTCCTTATTTCACAGGGAGATCCTGGAAAACAAGGTGATGCTGGGAGAGATGTAAGCTTTCTTTTTCTTTTAAAGATGTTTTCATTTTTGTTTTTTTATGAAAGGTATTTGATTTCTGATAGTTTCAGTTAGAATTCAGTAGAAACCCGTTCCATGATATTAAATCTGTGAACTTGGTGCATTCATACAGCAGATGGTGCTGTGTTGATGTTAAAATTCCTTCTTTGCTCCTGTGACTTGTTACATAAGCCAGCCATAAGGAAACATGTCTTTGTCCGCTTTCACAGGAGACTGTTATGTAATATTGACAGTAATAATGATTTTGGGTCCTGAAAAGCTTCAAGCACATGGTTAAGAAAACTGATTCCTGCAGAACCACGATACCTATACAGCTGCTGACGTATGCTAAAATCTGTGCATATTTGTCTTTTACATTGTTCTCCCAATGTAATCTGTTGTAGGGATTGCCAGGACTGAGAGGAGAACAGGGTCCTCGGGGGCCAGCTGGTCCTCCAGGAAATCCAGGAATACCTGTCAGTACTCATTATCTTTATCACGTGTTTGTTTTCATGTCATCTCCATGAATCCCATCTATCTTAATTGAGCCATTTCATTATGTAGGGTAAAGCAGGCGAAGATGGCAAACCTGGTCCTCAAGGAAAAATGGTAATCCTTCTTAAACTGGATACGTTATAACCAATTTATAATTTTCTCAGATAAGATGAAATGTGTTTTTGTTACAAATGTGACTGCTACAGAGATTGATATGATTCATTAAGAGTATAAATATTGTGAGTTATGAGCATACTTCTCCTCTAGTTATTCTCTCGCTAATAGGCTTCACGTACTGCTCCATTACTCTATGGAGGATCAAAAGCTGTGCAGATATGTATTATAAAGTCTGCTGCATAATGACTGCCTTTAGCGGGGCACTGGAACTGCAGAGCTGAGTGTGCCAGCAGGAGACTTGCCATTATTCAGAATATAATGCATTTTTTTGTCACACAGGGTGAGGATGGAGTGCCAGGAGAAGATGGAAGAAAGGTCTGTGGCTGTTTATGAATTTATATTATCTGACCCCAGCAGGTTATTATTTAGCAAAAGAGCGTGCAAAAGTTCAGTAAATGAAAACAAATTCAAGATAAACTGCTACACAGTATCAATGAAATCCTATAATGAATTTATGTTGCGGACATCTTTGCAACATTTAAATGCATTAATCCAGCGCAAGCAAATAGTCTATTGCAAAGGCATTCATATAAACAAGATATTATTTAATCTGGATTATTTATTTTTTTTGCAATTGAAAACATACAGTATGTAAGAAATGTAAAGTTTATGCAAAGTGATGTATGTTTTTTTCATTGTATTTACAGCATAAACCTGAAAAGTGTATGATGATAGCATTCAGCCACCTTTTACACTAATACCCTTAAGAACAAGCAAGCTAACTGCTCTTGAATGTCACATTTTTGTTATGAAAGACTAAGAAAGATTCAAAATCCCACTTTTGGGATTACATACAATACAGGGAGATTTAAATGCTTGAATTCCCTCAGCAGCATGTCAGCTCTAAAAAGCACTGTTATCCAGTCAGTTGAAGGCGGGGGAATCTGAAAGTTGCAGGATAGTAGCTCTCTAGGACTGGCCTCAGAAACCCTTCCTGTACCTTATCTTGAAGAAACCATTCCCACTGTGAAGTTGATGGAAAGATGGATGGGACTAAATACACAGCAATCCTTGAAGCCAGGTTAGAAGATTCAGGAGACAAAGTCGTGTGTATTATTGGAGCAGAAAACTGCTTTTCCTAGATCCTCTCCTTCAAACTTGAGCTGTTTTGCAAGAAAGAATTGCAACAAATCCTGTTTTTGAAAGTGTAAAACTTGAAGGGAAAAATCCCCAGAAGACTTACAACTGTAATTGGGGTGAAAGGTGGTTCTTCAAAGTATTAACTAATTGGCATTAAAAACAAGGGCTCGCCACATCTCTGAGATTCTTATTTGCAAAAAAAAAAACAGGAAAAGATGAATTGTTATCTTTTCATTTAACAATTATGTTAATAATATTTTGTGCTGCACAAAATCACATTAAATATATCATGTTTTTGTTTTCATTCGTCAAAATGTGACAAAATAAAAATGGAGTTTTTGTGTACTCGTTATTGATGCTTGTTTGAAATACTGGGATTTGACCCTGCTGTTTTTTTTTTCTGCAGGGTGACAAAGGAGAAGACGGGGCAGCTGGGAGAGATGTCAGTTTGGTTAAACCATTTTTTTCATATCTTGTTTAATCCTATAATTTATAGATTTTTTCTGTTCTGTATCAGTCTCTCTCCCATCCCTACTATGTGTTTTTGTTATCATTTTATTCCATAGCAGACTTCTTTCTTATCCATTACTTACTCCTCTAATGTATGTTTATCAGGCCCAATCTGCTCTCACCCTGACATCTAATTTTCATCTTCTGCTGAATAAATAGGCTTCTTAAAGCCATCCATATAGGTTCATCTGCTGCTATTGATCAAGCTTAGCCTTTAGGGGGGTGCCACTTCAGAGAGGACTCCAGAGAGGCACCAAATGTCACAGTGCTGTATTTCATGTGCAAATTCATATTAATTATCTCTTGAACATCAGCGGAGGGATGGCATAAGCCACCTGCTTTGATTTTTATACGTTAGCTTGCTTTGAGTAGGAAAGTACCAAAATAAGGGTGTTAAGTTCACGCATTGTTTTTTTTTTTTTTTGCTTTGTTTTTTACAGGGCCGTGATGGACAGAAAGGAGACCGTGGGCCTGCAGGGCCTCCAGGCCCCTCTGGACCCCAGGGGCCTGCTGGATTGCCTGGCAGCATTGGCCCTCCTGGACAGGTGTGAGTCATAAAGAAAACTGAAAATTAAAAGCAAGAAATTGGTATGTTGACAAATTCAAATGTTTTCTTTCAGGTTGTGTACGTAAAAGGGGCTGAAGCTGCACCCATTCCGGGTCCACAGGGGCCTCCAGGGACTCCAGTGAGTACAAGAATTTTTAATTCTTTAAAAGAATCTTAAAACTCAGCCCACTTTCAGAAAAGTCGGTTTACTTTAGTTCCTTGGGCTATAAACTATCATGAGGACTCTATATATTGCTGTTTACACTCTTTCCTGGGAATAGCTCTAAGTTCACCTCACCCATGTTAAAACTAAATGAATTCATATTTACAAAAGCACATTATCATTTAGAATTGTGTAATTTAATAATGATTAAGAAACAGGTATAACTTATAATGGCAGGCACACCTATTGATATTTTAATAATTTAATATTTTAATAATCCATTTGCTACCTTCATTTTGCGAGCTCAGATTTGTATGTTTAATTCTGTCCTTTTCTCTTTGGCTAAATAAAATGGCAAAATTCCAAGTTAAATATTTTCATGCTTTAGATGTCATACAGCAAATTTTGTCCAAAATCTTTGCTTAAATGTATAGCTTGTTGTACTTTCAGACATCTCAGTTGGAGAGCAACGTTAGAGAAGATAAAATGTAGCTTTAATATGTTTGTGTCTGTTCTATATATAACACCAACAACTTCCTGTGCAATAAGAGACCGGGAGCAGACACGATTCAGGCCCCCACCTGCTGCAGTAGTTTACACTGTGGCAATGTTATCATTAGCAGTTTTGCTCTTTGACAAGTGGGTCCCAGGATGTGGGTTTCATCTATACCTGCCTCTGTTGAATAATTTGTCCCTCTTAGCATCTTCATATTCTCACCTCCCTTCCCATGCCTTTCAGGGTGTCCCTGGAATTCCAGGAGCTATGGGAGCCCGAGTAAGAAGCTATGATTTTTACTCTTCACTGTCAATTAATAAATGTGCCATCTACTTTTATGACCTCCTAGTTTTATGACCTCCTATGAACTCGTTGTTTTTTCAGGGGGAGCGAGGTCCAGCAGGTCCTAAGGGAGATGCTGTAAGTCTCAATTGATGTTTATGTCCAGACCCATTAAAACCAAGGTTTCATCATCTATGCGTTGACCTCTGTGTACTTTGTTTATGCCTAGGGAGACCCGGGAGAGGATGGGGCTCCTGGTAAACCTGGGACAGCAGTGGTACGAAGACGGCACGTTGAATTAGAGTTCCTGATTTCCTGTCTTTGTTTGTATTTGCATTTATATATTAATGCCTCTGTTTTTAATGCTGTGTGTGTCATCTTTGTAAAAGGATGTACAAAAAGCACTGACGGGCCTTGGGATACTGGTACGTTTCTTCTTCTTGAAATTTTACTTAAAATCAAAGTATATTGAAGACATTCGAACAGGCAAATATTCAATTACTAAGTAAATGTTAACTTTTACTATGCAAAGGTTTACATATGATTTTTATTGACTATATGTAATATAAGGTTTGTTTCCTTAATGATGCATTGAATTATAGCCTATTTCAAGATGGATTACTAAAACAAAACACATCTTAAATAATCTTTAGCAACAGTTAAACAAATTTTTAATTATTGTGGCTTTTATTAAATCCAGTCAAAGTATAAAATTATGATTGTGGGTGGACTGTGGGGGGAGTGGCGACCTAGTGGATAGGGCATAGCGCTTGGAATCCTGAGGTTCTGAGTTCGAGCCCCACTCCCACAGACTGCCACTCTGGCTCTCTGAGCAAGACCCTTAACTGCTCCCCGGGCACCCCACTATGGCGGCCCACTGCTCCCCAAGGGGATGGGTTACTGTAAATGCAGAGGTAAATTTCTCCAATGTAAGATCAATAAAGTTCAAATATTATTATTAGTACAGGCCCAAAAATCCACATTATCTGCTGCTAACATTTGAAGAAACTATATTTTAGAAGCACCACAAACTTTTTGTATCTATCTGCAAGTTTCCGTCTAACTGGTTGTCCCCTATTCAAATCAGTAATAGTAGATTTCACTTGAGTAGGTTGGTTTCCTGTCACTGACTCGGCTTTTAAGCAAACATACAAATTACTGCGAAAACACAGGGTCACTATCCACTGTAAATCAAGGTTAGAAAATAAGCTTCTTCTCCGGAATATTTTCCTTGAAGCCCCCCAAAAAATCCTTTTCAAATGAAAAAGTTAAATACCCACTTATATAAAGTTCTAGGCTCACACAGTACAAAGATTGAGCTAGTTTACAACAATGCCTATAAATAATGTTCCAAGGGTCAGGGTAATACTCAAGAAACCTAAGAATACTGTTTCAGTCATCAAGCATGGTGGTGGCATAATGCTGAGGGCCAAATTCGATGTCAGTGGTGAACTATATGTATATTACACAACAGTGGGCATAGTAATACAGTATTTTGACCTTGAAAGTCTTTTACTTCCCTTGAATTTATCAGTCTGCTTTTCCCAAGCTTACTTTTATTAAATAAAATCAGCTAACTGTAAACTTTTGGGACACTTAAAACTTGAGTCTGTTACAGGAAACTAATCATCCAAATCTACTAGTCCTTTAAAGAAGATTGATCCCTTAACCAGTCAGAATATTATCAGAATCCTTTTTGATCAAATGTTATTACAGTATATGTATGTATATTATGTATTGTATGTATGTATGTATGTATGTATGTCCAAATCCAAAATAAGGTAATTAGTCACTAAATTTGTATGGCTTAAAGGAGCTTAATGCTTTTCTGAAGCTGTGGACGTAAATTTGATATGACCCTTTATGTGAGATCAGAAACATTAGAACTTACCTCTGCTGGTATAACGCTCATTTTTATCTGTGTACAGGTATCTGATCTGAAGGTGCTTGTAGACAGGAAGGACACAATTCTATCTCCTGCAGTGCCAAAGGTTGAAAGGGGTGAAAAGGGAGACAAAGGGGAACCTGGGTCAAGAGGACCATCTGGAGCAGATGTAAGTGTGACTAAGACCTGCTCAGCTCCTCAGGAATTACATCTGCTGTTTTATCACTTCCTGTGCAATATTCAAACTGTTGAAGGTAATACATTCAAGGTATACAGCAGATTGAAACTATGCCTAATACAGCAGGCATCTAAAGAGGAGTTATTGTCACATACACAGTTGAACGTTTTTGTGTGCGTTTTCTTTTTATATGTGGGGAGGACAATCGAAGTGTCGTTATACAATGGTACCTTTATTAACTAAGATCACAAAGTATTATACCTAATAACTAAGCAAACACTAAACACTACAGAAAATAAGCTAAATTAAATAAATAAAAGGGGAAGAGGGGTTTAAGAGTCCATTCAACGTCTGAGGGATGTTCAAAGTTTAAGGCTTAATGTATTTGAAAGTGTCCATTATAATAGCAGCAGATAAAATGCGAACAAATCCTGATGCAGAGATGTTAACTGCAGTCAAAACAATGAATTTTCATTTAGCTTTTGGTGAAAAATGAATTATGACTTAGCAATGCATTAAACTACAATGCGACTGAAATGAATTAGTTCAGCTGGTCCCAGGGGTTCTGGTCTGGACGGGTCCAACTGAAAAATAGACAGGGTTAGCTCATGATTTAGGGACCTCTTAGGGGCCCCGTCACTTACACCTGGTTGGTCCCCTACGCAATTGTACACTAGGACGTCTCTTTGCAGATGTAATGGTGTGGAAAATTCCTCTTAAACCCACCTGATACTGAAGTGACTGACCGGACCGTATCTATACCGCCACACATGCCTGATTTCAAGATGATGGTGAGCCGTTTAAACATGACACCAATAGCAAAGCAGTGGTGCTTTTAATTGCTATGTTAATAACTATGTATTTGAGTATTTTACTTTTTACACTATGACTTGGAATTATGGGTTATGGATTATGATGAAATGATTGAACATAGCGTGCAAGACGACGCATCAAGTTAGACTAAAACCAGTGCGTAGATTAAACCATAACCGCTACGTACAATGCGTTAGTGACGATGGATACCAAAAAGAAGTACTTAAGCGGATTCCAGAAAAGAAAAAGGAAAGAAGAGCTGCTGGAAAAACGGAAAAAAACTGCGAAAATAAACATGTTCTTTCAAAGAATGGAAGAGGGAGAGGTAGACGTTGCTGAAGTATGTTCAGCTAAAGGGTGAGTTTATTGCACTATGTAGACGGGCATGGATGTAGTTACATTCTTTTTTTAAATTTCATGTGCTTTAATATCTGTGCCTGTGCTCGTTGTGTTTTACTTTTATATGTCTTTATGGAAAGTTTGAAAAACCTTTCTAAATGGCATTTCAATGCAGATATGCCAAAACGACAGCATAGTACTGTGCACATCTTCATGATGAAGGGAGAGTTGGGTGGTGCTTGATAATAAATCGGTTATTACATAATATTGCATTTGTATGAATGTTTCACAGGCATTTCAGACATAAGCTTAACCTGCAACTAGTGACAATGTTTTTGAATGACTAGTATTGTAAATATCAATGACTGCATGTTTTAAAGATTAACAATTCATTACTTAAGAGAAATTTTGGCAACACACCACAGTAGTAGGATGACTAGTTTTAGTGGGTTCCTGGATTGGTCTGTTCCGCGTCTGCATGCTCATTTTGTCAGTACTGTGTAAAGTGATAACATTTAAAATACACGCTTTGAGGTTTTGGCTCGTCTGATTTTTTCCTGGGTTTTATGATTTCTGCCTATGACTGGTCTGCCGTAAACCTACATGTTTTCATGGATGTGTAGCGGTAAACCAAATGCGTATTCATTGACATGGATGGTGTGCCATCAACATGTTTTCGTGGATGTGGTGGTGCGCTGCCACCAATGGTTACATTCAAGGTGCGCAGTCACACTTTTTCCGTGTGACTAATAATAATTGTAATAATTGTATCTTCTTGGCTGATTTATGCAACTGTCACTGCATCCTGAACCTGTATCAAGTATTGTACTTCATATGGGGCCCACCCAGATAGTGTTGCCTAGTGATGTTTCTATTGTTGTGTCGTTACGCTACTGAATCAGAGGGATGCTGATTTGACCTGAGTTGCATCAAAAAGAAGCAAACTGTGTGCCATCTGTAAATTGCAATCTCCTGATTAGGAGCAGGCGGCTGTATTTGTCACATTCTGCTAATTAGTGCTTCTTCTGGTAGAGTGCTCTGGTCATTAGTGAAACGAGTTGAGTGGCTGTGCAGGACTGGGCATTGCATCGGTCATTCATTATAAACTCTGATTAAGGTCGAAAATCAATCTAGCTCACAACAACATGGCAATGCATGATACTGTAGTATTTGGGGATTCTTCGGAAGAGTTTTTTATGCATATGGTTTCATAAACCATATGCATAAACCATATGGATTTCTAGTATATAGAAATCCAGCTCGAGTTATATTAGTTTGTATGTTGTTGTCTTTGTTTGGTTCCAAGGTGGTTCTAATGTTACCTAATATATTTTTTGTTTGTTTTTTAATATAAATATATACATATATATATATATATATATATATATATATATATATATATATATATATATATATATATATATATATATATATATATATATATATATATATATATATAAAATCTTAATTTCATGTTTTTTTGTTGTTTTTATTTTTTACTTTTATTTTCTTCACTTTTTAAAGCAGACCTGGTCAACACAATCTAGATTCATAAATGTGCTGTTTAATATTTATTAAGTGCTGTTAGTGCACCGTAAGTAAAATACATGTTTTATTGAATTCTCACAGTGCTCACAAATTTTGCAAAGCTTTGTAATATAATTTTTCCCTGTCGCCATGCTGTACAGCACAGATTTTTTTTTTTGCCAACACTGTCAATATAAAAGAACTGCTTCCTCTAGTCCTCTAGTCTTTATAATTCAGAGTTTGCAACATAGATGCAACGGTATACAAGCTTGATTGATTTGCCTTCACACCTCACTCATCACAATACTTAGCACCCCAGGCTAATCAAAAGAGGTCTCCACATTCTATGCATTTAAACACAAATGTATGGTATTCAGAAACATCTTACAGTACCTATTGAGGAATATGCCAATCGCTGAATGCAACTATGGTCCTTAGGGCCCACTAATATGCATGTTTTAGGTGTTTCTCTGATAGTATAGACCTGACTTACACAAACGGCTGAGAAATGGCTTTTCTAATACTTGAGGGAAAAATAAAGAGGTAATGCAATCATTGAGTTTGCTGGACCTGGGACCCATCTAAAATGCACAGGTTCTGTGAATTCTGGGAAGAAGACTTGGGTATGTGTGTTTTATGTGCCATAATGGTAAATAAAGACTTTTTTTCCCTACAGTTTTAAATATTTTTACATGCATGATAACCTATATTTAATACACAGTGCAGGAATGATGACTTTCCAATTGAGAATTGTGAGAAGACATTTAGAGATGGAGTGCGGTTTATTTTTTCTCAACATGGAACAAACAATTTTCAATTTTCAAGCACAAACTGCATCACAAATTTTAAACAGCTAGAAGATCAAGTTACTTATTTACATGTTTTCCTAAAATAATTTTTTTTTTCTTTTTTTCTTTCCTCTTTTTCCTACCTTGTTTCAGGGCCCCCGTGGTTTTCAAGGAGATAGGGGACCAAAAGGGGAACAAGGGGAGCGAGGACCCATTGGACAAACAGGGCCTCCAGGAAGAGCCATTGTAGAACGAGGACCAGAGGGTCCCCAGGGGCCAGCTGGAGAGCCTGGTAAGCCTGGAATACCAGGTGTTCCGGGAAGAGCAGGGGAACTTGGAGAGCCTGGAAGACCAGGAGAGAAAGTGAGAAAGATAAATTGAACACTAAATGATTTATTTGGGAATTGACTGAGAATGCCTGTTGATATCAAATGTTTTGTTGCTGTTTTCTTTTTAAGGGAGATAGAGGGGACAAAGGTGACAAAGGCGAAGCTGTAAGTAGATTGTGTTAGACACATGTCAATAGCTTTTACCGTTTTCACTTTCAGCTTATAATTGCCTCCATTTATCAGGGTCTAATTGGATTACCAGGACCAGCTGGCCCTCCAGGTCAAAAGGTTAAGTCCTCCTAAGTTCTTTTTTTTTTTTTTTTTACTTAGAAAGAGCTTTGTCAAGGTAGAACAAATATTGAGATCAAAGTTTTCATAATCCTTGCAGGGTGATTCGATTTTGCCTGGTGTTCCTGGACTTCGAGGCCCTCCGGGACTTAAGGGAGAGCCTGGTTCTTCAGGACCATTAGGACCCAAAGGAGAGAGGGTAAGAAAGACCAAAGTATGAAGTCCCATTACATTAACTTGGTAGATATTTTATGTATAATTATGCATTTTTATTATATTACAGGGTTATGTAGGACCTCGTGGTGAAAAAGGAGATAGAGGGGAGCTTGGAGAAAAAGGACGTGAAGGCTCAATGGTGAGGTATAGAAGGGTAGTGTAGCAAAAACACAGTCTGGGTGAGATGATGAATAGGTCTGGTTTTATTGAGAGCTAGCTGTAAAGATAATATCACAATGTTTTAAGTTAACCTTTAGGAAAGTAGCTATTTAATGAGGCTAAGCTCCCACTGATATTTTCCAAGAGCTTCTCTCTGTTCATTCGAGTTTGAGGTGAGTGGACCGCTTTAATGTTAGTGACAGAGGAAGGGGGTCATTAGATTTAATTCTTTTTTCTTTTTTTTACAGAAAAACTTTACAAGGAATTTCTTTTTATTATTCAAATTTGGTTGTTGCTAACCTTTTCTAGCAAATTGTTATTGTTTGGAACTGTGTTCATTAATGTTTTTGAATTGTTATTGTTTACTAAACTTTGGATTTAGTATTTTTTTTTGTAGTTATCTTTTTTGTTAATATTTAGTTCACAACATCAAACAGCACATTGGATCAGAGAGAGATAACCTGAGAAAATTAAATGTATCTTTTAAGTTATGATTTTATTTATTAAGTGAAGAATATACTGAAACTGTCCTGTTCCTATTTAAAGTAATCTATACTGTTTGTTAAATTATTAAACAAACAAGATAATCAACAACAAAAAAAAGCATTTCTGATAACACAAAGTAGGTCAAAATATCTCATAAAACAACACATCATCCTGCAATGTTTGGAAATCTAAGGGCGGTTGAGAAACTCATTGACTCTGATCTTATGAAAAGGTTTGAAAGACATTTGTGAGGTTTTGGGACGGTGGTGAACAACAGTGGAAGCAATTATCTATAATGGTAGAAAACACAAAGCAAAAGTTAACCTTCTTAGGAGTTCTCCAAAATAAGCACAAAGGCTCATTTAAGATGGGAAGTCCACCTCTGAGTGACTTAAAAAAATCTTAGGATTTAAGTCTGATTGAGGACATGATGAACCTTAAAGAGGCTTAGAAGCATTACATTATGCCTGAGTTATTTCTACAAAAGTGGGTCCAAATGCCTGTTCAGCAATTGAAAATAGATATTTTCATTATCATAAGCTCTTTATTGTGACTGTTTGTGACTGGGATTGCTGGGTAATTATTTGGTTAAGGGGGAAATTACCTCTGATGATCACCAGATTGTGTTTGCCAACTATTTTTACTTGCTGAAAAAAAAATTACATTTTAAAGGGTTTAGATTTTTTTTTTATTTCAGTGCAATGATGTAACTTTTGCTTTTAAATTTATAATCTGTACTCCTGCTGCTGAATTAAATTCAGCATTCACTCACAGAATAGGATAGTATAGGATGGGAAAAGTTACAAAATGCCAATAATCTGTAAATAAAAGCAGCAGGTTGTAAATGACATTTGCTGTCATTTTGGTGAACTAATCTGAATTCCCTTAGTGCCTTAGCTTCAAAGATTTTAAATAAGCCGTGCTAAATTGCCTTGGGTGATAAATGTGTGTGCAATCAGCAGGATTGTGAGGGTGATCTAGATTAGGTGCACAATGTAGCATATGCAAAAGGAGTTCAGACCACCCTGTTTGAATAAGAACATGTGGCAGACGGACCATCATTGTACACTAAAAATCATGTTTTGCATATCGAAAAAAATGCGTAAAGACGTGAAATATTGTTTTATGTTCTCACAACTGTATGTTAGCAAAAAAATTTTAAAACTCTATAAAATATTGCAGTGAAACATCACAGAAATAAACAGTTAAAATTGTGAATTTGCAAAATATGGTTTGTTATTCCAGGGCATCCCAGGAGAACCTGGAAAACCTGGACAGGAGGGGAAACCAGTAAGTCGAGGACTTAATGTGAAGTTGTGAAGATGACTTTCTATTACTCAATTTTGCATCTTCATTATTTAAAGCTTGTGGTTGTAGCTTGTAGAAATATATAATGGATTATCACTGATTTGGTAAGTTGCTTTATTTTCTTAAAGTCAGTGAATGTTATACGAACTTTCTTTTTAGAGTGTTTATAGCTAAATGTCACATAATTTCATCAAATTAACTCAATTTCAAAGAATATATTAAAGGTTGCTTCAAGGGAGCGTTGTTTTAGTTTCTATAGATGTTTTACATATGGGTTTTTTGAGGCCCAAATTCTCTGTTGTTATGACTGCTTGTTTTGATGTAATTATAAGGAGTGCCTAGGAGAGGTATTCTTCCTCTCAATTGTTAATTTTCTTCTTGACATGTTGGAGCAGGGCTCTACAGGGCCTCCTGGTCTTCGAGGCCAGCCAGTGAGTAACCCATAAGCCAGTCTGTTTCTAGGCTTGACCTGCAGACTAAAACTACTGGGTTGGCTGCAAACTCAAAGCAAACGGAGCTCTGTTTCCCCCTCCCTGCGCCGAGGCTTCATTGATCCCATTGCAGCTGTGCACCTAATATTTAACTCTCTGTCTCTCCTGTCTCTGTTTATTCTATTTTCTCTTTCCTTGTTTCAATGCTTTCCTCCACCAATCTGTCTCCCCCACACCCCTCCTGCAATTCCCATTTTCCTTTCTTTCCTCCTCTCCAGGGCTTGCCTGGGTTCCCAGGAGTTCTAGGCAGACCGGTAGGTTCTCTGCTACTGGCTGGCATGCTTTAAGCTCTGCAGTGTGGAGGGGGGAAATATGTTACTATGCCATTAGATACCGTGTATGGACCACAGTCACCAAGATGAAATAGGGCTGCAGCTTACACAGCAAGGAGTCTGAACCGAGGCAACATATGGATAAACAACCTATCATCACAAAGCAAGCTCTTTAATGTAACTCCTGGGCAAACTTGACTGCTTTAATCTTATTTCATATGAATTTTAAAACATAATCTGGCAGCTGGGATAAGAGTCAGACCTTGATTAGTTCCTCTTCAAATGTCCCCAAAGGCACTTGTGTTGAACTCAGGAGGTAATGTTTGAAGTTCTAGGGAAACTGTTTATGACACAAATAAGTGAGAAGATGAAATGAGGCGGAATACTGTCCTGAAGATAAGCCCTCATCAGGATCCCATGTATATCAGTGTGTGTGTCAATGATTGTGTGTGTTTGTCTGGGGATGGGGCTGCTTTAAAACGTACTTACTGTTGCATGTCGTGCTAAAGCTGTGCTTGCTGTCTGCGTTGTTATCCTTGCACAAACCTAATTTGTCTCTTGTTTACCTTCTACATGTTGTTTACCTATTTTATTTGTGTCTTTATATTTCTTTTTATATGTTGATGTCAAAATGTTTTTCATTTTATGACATTGGTAAGATCCAGTATTGTCCGTTTCGATGTAGTGTTCACAGTTTTGTCTCAATATTTGTGTGCATAAATATTACTTTATGAGTAGTGTTATCTTTTGGGAAAAGGCCAAACTGCTGAAAGTGAGAAGAAAATGTCACAGTGATCTAGTGAAGGGATGAAATTTATAAGCATAGCTGCTCTAAATCAGCTGTCTCTCTTCAAGATGCCGTCATGAAGCATTAAATTGGATATTTGCGTATAGAAATTGTTTCAAGAGCCAAGAACCTTAATTATAAAAAAGACAGTAGTTAAGATTTAAAATGTACTAAATTTACCAAGTAGAATTTAGTCAATGGCATTAATGCCTTATGATAGAAAAATGTTTTTGTCTTATTTCAGGAATTACTGAACGTTTTTTTTTTTTTTTTGGCGTTGACAAAAGCCTTGTGACAAATACAGTGCCTGTTGGGCGTAAGTACATATATTAAGTGGCGGTGGGGAGGCAAGCTATTTTCTGATATGATTGATTTTCTGAAAATCACCACAGGGCCAACATTTGGTTTGATGAAAATTTTCTTCAAAATAGATGCAACTAAAACATTTGAAATCATGCTCTTCTTTTTTTAAGTTTGTAACATTTTCTAGAAACTAGAACTTTAGATTTCACGGCTTCCTGTCTAAGAATTCTGTAATTATTTGGATCCATATGCAGGGAAAGCAAAAGGCAAAGATGAGAAGTTAAGAATAACTAAATGATAAGATAAATGGCTGATTTAAAAGGGTTTGCATGAGAGAAACAGTAAAGTATGTGATATATCAGGCATAGCAACAGAAGAATCAACCACAGTACAATGTGATTACTGAGGCTTATATTCTGAAACAGTGTATAAGAAATGGCAAGCAATAGCTAGCAGAATAGTTCTTCATATAATAATAGCAAATTATTGTGTCGTTGTGTTTTCCGATTAGATGATTTTAACTAAGCATAGTTTTGATCAGAATCCGATTCTGTAACCGCCTATCTGATCTTGATGGAAGGACTTTGTGAACTGTGTATTTAAGTAGATCTGTAGTAGTAGAATTAGTGTCTGGGGCTTCATGGTAGGGTCATTGCTTTCTTATCCATATTTTCCATACTTAAATAAATAATAATTTCATGAATGAGGAATTATGTTTAATGAGGCTCAGTGGCATCACTGAGCATTCTTAGAAGATTTTAGTGGTTGTGATATTTTTTCTTCTCATTTTTAGTAAGGTGGCCATTACAATTTGGAAAACGTCCAGATACTTCGTTAGCATGTGGTGTGTCCCTAATTGCACCTAAAAGAGTTGTCTTATTGTTTTTTTTTTTATATATATATATATATATACATTTTAACATTAAACTTTTTCTTCCAGGGAAACCCAGGAGAGCCTGGCATGAGAGGACCAACTGTAAGTATAAACATGCAATAAAACAGCATGTGTTTTTATCAATAGTTGCTGGCCACACCTAACAGTTTGATATTTTGTTTCGTTTATTAGGGACCCATGGGCCCTACTGGTATGCCAGGTCCACCAGGTTTAAAGGTAGATACACAGTATGCTTAGAAATTTTTCTGTGCATTTGAAACTTACAAGGTGTTTAAAATGCATGTCCTGCCGGCAGGGTAATCAAGGAGAAGCAGGCATTGGGATCCAGGTAAGACAACTGAAATTCTCTTTGATGATACGCTGTGGACAAAATAGTTGGTACGATACCACTCGTTTAATGAAAGCAAATCCCCAAATTGTCACAGAAATAACTTGAATCTTACAAAAGTAGTTTTTTAGGTTTATTTTTTTTACCACCATTCTGTTAAAGCATGTTTGCAAAGCAATATCTGGCTTTCCTTTGTTCATTTGTTCATAGAATTTTTATTTATCATTGCTTTTGTCAGATTTAAGTAATTTTCTGGTCATTTTGGGGTTTTTCTTTCATTAAGCAGTACCAAGTGTGCAGATGTCATTTGTACCAGAGTCTTAACACTAAATCTGTAAAATAAATGTTCCTCATTTAAGTATCTTCTGCTTCCCTACAGGGTCCTCCCGGTGCTCAGGGGAGCACAGGTCGGCCTGGACCAGCAGGTCCCCCAGGAGCTGTTGTATGTGTTACTAAAAATTAATCCAGTATCCCATCAATGAGAACCACCTTCATGTTTCCTCATTGAAAACTTCCTGCTGTATATCATAAGATGTGTTCCCCTAAAGCAATGTGTTTATTTCTCCCTACAGGGTCCGCAGGGGCCCCCAGGATTGCCGGGGCAGGTGGTGGGTATTTAATTCTGTTTTGACTGCAGTGTGGTGCACAGTGGGGAAATGGGAAGTGGAAGAAATGTTTCGCCCCCGAGGCATTTCTCTTGTAGTAAGAATGGGAAGGTGATTAAAGTAGATGCCAAAACATTTGTAACAAGGTCTGATTGATAAATGGCTGCTACAGTGGCATTTTCTGCTCTTTTGCAGCTTAAAAACAAGTCTATAGAGAATGCCCTTATTACATGAGATCAATAGTTTCATCATTCTGCTTTTGAAATTGCTTTGATCAACCGTGCTGTTTGGTACATAAGATAAGTAAAATGAGTAGAACATGTGTGGGGATTTGGTAAACTAGGACTAAGATAAATAATAAAATGTGCTATTTGAACTGTGTATCTATTTATAAAATGATGGCATGCAGCATGACTTGGCCTCCTCCTCAGGGTGAGGCAGGAACGCCTGGTGTCCCTGGAAGAGACGGAGTTCCGGGTAAAGAAGGACTACCTGGGTTACCTGGAAAGCAGGTAGTATACTTAAAAAAAAAATCACATGCACAACCCTGTACCCGCTCCCGAGAAGAAACACCTATTAAACTCGTGTGAGAGCAGGAAATGAAAATGGGAACAAGCACGTAGGACGGCCTTAAGTAAACATATCATCAGAATGATTGACAGTTACCACTTATTTAGATGATACACCCAGAAAAAGGACATCCTACACTATACCTTTTAAAGTAATTCACTTTAGTTAAATCAAAGAAACATTTCATATCTGCACAGGCTTTGTAAGATTGCAGATCGCAGCCTCTAACATATGCAGCTTTTTTTGAAGCTTAAACTGGTCCCTGCTAAATTTTCTTCTTTTTTATTTATAGAATAATGTAGTCGTATGAGCCTCTTAACTCTAAGGTCGTATATTTACTACATATATGTATACTGCATATATACACCTGTGACAGAATCAATGCATTTGGCAATGAAATCTCACAGAAAAGACAGAATAATAACATTACAACTTATCACTTTATGCAGATATACAATGATTAGACAATGGGCCTAAATCAGTCAAAGATTATTTTATATAGCCTTATGTTGTTCTTACTTGGTTTTGGCAAGCCACCTTTGGTGTTAACATGAAATAATGTGTTCCCCAGGGTATTTCAGGACCTCCAGGGCTGCCTGGCATTAAGGGGGAGCAGGGAGACAGTGGTCCTCCTGGGAAGGTGAGAATCTTCTCTGTCTACCATTGAAAAAGAAAGTTATTTCTGTCACTTAACCTCAGTTTGTCCAGTTCTACTTTGGTCACAGCAAAGATTTACAGCATGTGGAGGTTGACTGTTATTTGTTACTTTTGAAAGCTTTTTCAAATTCAATTCAATTCAGTTTATTTATATAGTGCCAATTCAAAACACATGTCATCTCAATGCACTTTACAGTTCACCAGATCATACAGTCAAATTGATTCACAATTTTATATCTAAGGAAAACCAGTTGACTCGACTCATTGACTAGAAGGAAATCCCTCACACTAAGCATGCTTGTAGTAACAGTGCAGAGGAAAAACTCCCTTTTAATAGGAAGAAACCTCGAGCAGAACCAGACCCAGTTTGAAAGGCCATCTGCCGAGGCCGACTGGGGTTCAAGGAGACAGAAGCAGAGACACAAAAAGCAAATGTAAAAGGTGAGCTCTGAACCAACTCCCATGTCAGAGGATGAAGAGAGCAAATCTGACCAGTAATTATTAATTGAATTTGGAGTAATCAGTAAGTGAGACTGAAAGACTGTCATCACTCCTCCTCCTCGCTCAGAACTTCTAGGTATGTGAAAATCATCATCATCTTCATACTTTGGACCTTGAGGTCCAAAGTATGAAGATGATAATGTATGGGACTATTCAAATTTTGAACAAAGCCAATAGCATCTAAGATAACATTAAAGGCTGCTCTTAAGCTATCACCTTCAATTGTCATGATGGGTTCCTAAAGTTAGCCCATATGCAGAACACCACTCAGAGGCAGGGTAAAAGTTAACCAGTTTATTGGCAGAATGGAACCAGAGAGACAAACAAGGGGACTCTCAGCAGGTGAGTATCCAACAGTCTCGGAAATCAGAGAGACTAAACAAATGGGGATTCTCAACAGGGGAAAATCCAGCAGTCTGGAGAAATTCAGAGAGACTAAACTAGTGGGGATTTTCAGCAGGGGAAAATCCAGCGATCTGGTTAACCGGAACCAGAAACTCTAGAGGGGAGATAAAAGTGATACGTTCAGGGTCCATAGGGAATATGATCAAGGCAGATGAATGGTTCAGTAATGACTCACGTAAAGGTGTTCTTGGTTGATCCTTGGGTCCAGCTTGTGGGGGTGTTGTCCAGAGATGATTGTACATGTTGGAGGGCGGATAGGGAGACTTGAGTTGGGTGCAGAGGAGCACAGGAGCGGACTGCCACAGGATTTTCCAGAGGTGAATGGCTCAGATGAAGGTTTCCCCTTGCTCAGTGTGAGACGAATGTTTTCCTTCCAAGGGAGGAGAAGGACCACGCTTATCCAGTGGATCAGGAGGGTTTCCTACCGTAGAACACAAAGGAGACAGATGCAAAAACTTCGGCTCAGAGAGACAAAGGCAAAGAGTTAGACTCAGCTAATCTCAGGAGGGTAGAGTACCCAACACTGGCTAACACTCTGGCATCGAGGTGGTGACAGTCTGCTGCTCAAATACTCCTCTGGTGATGACCCAACGAGCCGCAGGTATGGGAGGAAAACCAAAAGCCGCCCTCAGGACCAAAAAGGGGAAGGGGTACCATCTAGTGGTGGAAGGAGAAACTAAAGGAAAACACAAAAACAATCCCCACAAACAGAAACCCTAACATCAATGTTAGCATGGATGTTAAAATCCCCCACTATGATAATATAAAACTGTGTGAATCTCTGCAACTCCAGTTCTGTGTCTCATGACATCAAGTTGGTATCTTGTTACCAGTGCATAGCCAGTAACAGCTAAATGTTCTCATGACATGTTTCTGTCTGCACAGTATCCTGCAAACATGCAAATAAAGTATGTCCCTTTGGTAAGCCTGGTGCTCTGATGGCTGTGGGCAGAACAACAATGCACAAACTAATTATTATCCCCCAAGTATTTCAGGGAATATATATTTTAGATATATGGACAGCAACTCAAACATACAATGTATCCAATATCTTTATTTTAAAAAAGGAAAGAATTGAGTGTGCTAAATGTATCCAAATGTGGACCAAAAATAGGTATCATTCTTAGCTTTAATGCACAGGTTATTGAGGGGTATGTATGTCAAGCCTTTACTTCAAAATCCTGATCGATATTAAGGGGGAATCATGGATAGTACTGACACACCGCTTGCATGCATCATGCACTTCAGACACCCAGTGTCTTAAGTGGTACCAAAATAAATTCGGCTCATGAAAAAATTACTATGATTATAGTATTCATAATAAGATATTTAAAACAGATTTTTTTTGTTGGTTTTGTATTGTTTATATCTAACAAGAAGCTTTAAATGTTTCTGAGAAAGAGATGGACTCTCCAGGCTCTCTGACTACCTCTCCTACTTGGTGTGCTCGGAACAGCTGTGCACACCTCTCAATATTCTACGAGAGGGAGAGGGGAAAGGAACAGAGCAAACCTTGTTGTTTTAACTGTTGCAGAAAAAAATGCAGTAAAGCATTATTTGGCATGCAGTTCTTTACCTCTGAGGCAACATTAAACAAATTTGAACAAGTAAAAAACATGAAACATGATAAAGACAGATGCAAGAAAGAAATGCAAATTTATGGCGAATTCTTACGTAAAGCGCATCATGTTGTAAAGGAAAGACTAGAGTTATCTGCCTTTAAGTCACCTAATTATTTAACAGAAACCTAATTTTATTTGGCTGTATTTTACATACAGCAAATCAGGTTTTTATTCTGACCCTGGCTCCAGAGGTTTGCTGCAGAATAAAATCTCTCCAGAGTTATTGGAAGATTCATCTAAATACAGGATAATCGTGAAAGAAAAGAAGCTGCAAAGCATACAGCACTGGAATAATTAAAATCAAAGCATATTTTGAGTTAGTATGGTTCATAAAGGCCCAGCCCTAATCTCAACAGACATTTGTTAACCAGACTTGAAAATGGATGTATATAGATACTCTAAATCCAATCTGACTAAGCATAGATTTAATGCAAACTGAACCAACAATTTATTATTTTTATGAATAAAATAAAATTCAAACGACTTATCCCTCTGCTTAGACTCGACAATTATACTTTAGCACATATCATCCCAATAACATACACTGAGGTTTATCATTTATGATAAAGGGACACAATGTCAAGAGGTTTTTATGGGTATAAAAACATGTATACACTTTATTTGCAATTTATATTTAATAGTCAATATAGCTACTTTACAGACTATGTTAGCTAACAGTTTTCAAGGACACAGTACTCTTACTGCAACCGCTTTGTTTTATAGAACACATTAACATGGGTTTATAATGTTATAGACAATAATTGGATTTTTGAGTTATGCTGCGTTGTACAAAGAAAAGCATAATTGACTCAGTCATCATTACAGCAACATTCTGGTGCTGAAAAAGAATACTGACCATCAATGTATAAATAATTTCCCCTACACGGTCGATGTCCTTGACTGGATAAAAAAAAAGAACTATAATTCTGCCAAAAGCTCTAAAAGTTTGTCTTTGCTGCATTTTTACAAATAGCCTACCTATTTAACTGGACTCCATCACAACAGGACAGTTCTATCATGAGCCCAAAACAACTCGTACCTCTTATTTTTCAGTGTCAGCCAGGCCCCAAATCAGAACCATCCTGCTAATGACACTAGTCGTATATGATGGTGTCTGTCTACAGTCCGTGCTTTGATGACTGCAAGCATTTTGTAAACAGACCAAGCTTTACTTGACAATTATGTGCCAGTTCTGCCAATCTTAATAGAGACAAATTGGACTTGTTGAGTCTAAAAGAAAGAGAGAATGCATTGTAATTACATTATCATAAGCAGTGTGCTTTCTTCTTTTACCTCTGCTGGACTTTATGGTGGGAGTCACATCATTTAATAGTGCTGCCAATATTCTTCATGGCTCCTTATAAGCACTGGTTTAACTGGTGGTACCTGTCATGTCTTTTAACACAGATGCAGCAGATTATGCAGATTAAAACATCTTAGCCCCCAGTGATGATATTTGCAAAGTAGAGCACTGTTTGTTTTGCTGCAAGAAAGAGTTAAATTTAATTTAATCGTTCCAGAGCTGAGAAATTCAGGTGTATCAGGAAAAAAAAAAAAACATACAGGCGATCTAGGTCTATGGGTACACAAGACCATAACATGTGAACATTTTTGAAACGGGTTAAAAATACACTGCAGAGAAAAGACGGAAAAATTTAGAAAAGAAAAAATGATGTACAGTTGTCAATAAGTATCCCATCTAAAATAGCATTTATGGAAGGAATCTCAAATTTTTAAGATTATAAGAAAAAAATCAACCCTTGGTAAGATTAAAACGGTACATGTACATCTGCTGGTTGTTTATTCAGAGGCACAAAGTGTTTTAACATGTAGGAATTCAATTATAAGATCTGCTGTAAGTTTATCAGAACTACAAATAACTCTATGCACATTTATTCCCCATATATATACTTATTATACAGCTTTGATTAATGGCTTAAAAATATTTGAAACTGAAACCCAAATCTTTTGACTAAACTGGTGAAACTCAACTATGTTAACCAAGTTAATAGGTACACATGGGGAAATGAATGAATGAATGAATTAATTAAGTGGCTGAAAACTACTATCAATACCCTTACCCAAACTATGCTTGACATACAAATAGGTTAAGAAAGCAGAGGAGTCTCCTGCGTGCAGGAGAGTTTAGTCTAGGCTAGATGGGTCTGTGATCATATGGCCTTTGTCCTTTTAGATAAAATGGAATAGAATATAATTCAACTTTATTGTCATTACACTGTCACAAGTACAAAGAAAACACATGCAGTTCGTATCTATCCAGAAGTGCTATACAGTATATAAATATGTTTTTAGATGTGCATGAAAGAGATTATGTATATATGTATATATATATATATATATATATACATATTATACATTATATGTATTATATGTATATATATATAATATATATAATATATGTATTATATGTATTATATGTATATATATATAATACGTATATATATATATATATATATGTATATATGTATATATATATATATGTATATATGTATATATATATATAAACAGAGTAATTCTAAAAGGCTATAAAATGAACATATGAGAACCAAAAAACAGATTTTACACGAAAGTTAGGATATGGATTATATGTACTGGTATATATTAGTGGGGTTATTATACAGGATAAATAATGACAGATAATAGCAGATAAAATATTTGCAGATTATATACAGCTATAGTTGAGAAGTACATGTAAGTGGTGTTGGAGGCTCCATGGTTCCAGTCTCTGCTATCTCCAAGTCATTCCTGTAAACTCATAGAAAAAAAAGTTGCAGAAAATCTGTTTAGCAGAATTTAAAACTGCTTTAGATACGCCGAGCTGCCTTTAAACATCAGAGCTAACAGTGTTAAAAGTTGTTGTTAGGCAACAAAACAGAAATGTCTATTAGCTCCTCCTACACATATTTTTGGTTCCCTGATTTCAGAGTTAATTCAAATGGGCAAATATGGTCTTGTCTTTACAAGTAACTCATCACATCTTTATCTGCTGGATGAAAGTGGTGCGCTATCAGATCCCTTAACACTTAAGAAATATTTTTTTTTTTTTTTTTTGTACAATGTTGCCAGTTGTTGGTAGGGTGCTAAGCCAATAGTGGCTAACTATTGCACAATGTGATTTTAAAATACTAGAATTTCCACAAAACATAATACTTTGGTTTCTCTTATTTCCTAATGTTAACTATAAACAAAATGATGATCTCTTACTAATTACCTATAATACCAGTTTTGTTTTGTTTTTTCTTAATCCGTGCTGCTGACATACTTGCCTTTGTTATTTACTATATTGTTTATGTTCAGATCCCAACTTTATATTACTTATTGCAGTAAAAATGAAATTTCTTCTCAGCTCTATTATATTTATAGTTCTATTTATGTACTCTTTGAATCATCCACAGTATTTATTTAATCCTAACCTACATATAGATCTCGCTGTACCCGGTAGCCTAGCAACAACATTTCGTTGTCAATTTCACTATGTGGCTTTGTAAAATGATAATAAAGGAAATCTAAATCTACTTCAGTAAACTCTTTTAACAAATATTTTCTCACACTTACTTTAAAAACATCAGAGTCGTGGAGTTTAACCCGAGTAATTTTTTTGGGTACTCTACTCACCTATGGTTATGACCAATAAATATGGTCACTTTTTATTCAAAACATTTATAATGTCTGCATAAGCCACTGTTGTTGCTTTCCCCCGTTCAGTCACTGTCCTGCCGTTCATAATATTGACATGAATTGTGGTGACATGTGTCTTGACAAGCTCCCCCACCGTTAACAAGCTCAGATTCAGCACCTTGGACAGAGCCATGGTGATGCTGTCAGTCCAAGCTTGATAAATGACCAGGCAGCTCCCATGCATCTGCTCCTAGTCTCCCTGCAGTTTTTATTTTCTCTCAGAAAAGAAATCTAGTAAACCAATATGATTTAGTTTTAAGCTGTTAATTCTAACCAAGGTTCATCATTTTTTTTTATAAAAACCCGATTTATCCACCTTAAATAAATTATAACCCTCTTAATAGGTGGTTGTAAGACAGGTTTTAATTTTTATCAGCCCCAACCTAAAACAAGAAACATTGTAAAGCTTTGGCATCAAAAAGCTTTAAAAAACTACAAACGGTGTCTGGCTCGGTAAGAACATCACTTGCTGGCACAGAATGTGACTGTGCAACCCTAACCCGACATCTTATCCGTGAGCATTTCAGACTGGAAGAGCATGAGAAATTGAGAGTAAGGATGTGCCAGACCCTAAGGCTTGCTAAGCATGCATGGTAATTTATTCACTGCAGAAAAGCTTTAATCTAAAATAGTAAGGCATCCTTACACTTACATTAGACACATATATACAGATAGACATATGTGAGTTGAAAACCACCTAGCAGATTAAACATTTTCTTTACTAAACACACACTTGTTACTGGAAATAATATTAATGTCTGTCACAACCTAGCCAGACTGATAATAAAGATGACTGCCATTCTTGGCAGTATAGAATTGGAGCTCATCAAAGAGAAGTGATCAAAACACCAGAAGAAAAATGCAAAAGGAAGATCAGCAGCTGTCTAGGGTTTATTGATGTAATGCCAAAACATATTTCCCCCTGATTTTAAAGAAAGGTTAGAATCAGTTTTGAATGCAGTTTATAATCAAATGAGAGTTATGTGTCTCATTTTTAGAAATCAATTTGATGGTTGAATAAAAAATGTTTGTCAATTTATGCTTGACACTTTTTATATTTATTATGGGCTAAGATATAGGTAGTTTTACTGTTTGAGGTTATTTTTTTACATCAATTATCAATGTGTTCATCATAACTAATCTCTCAAATTTATAGCATGGTAAAGTAACTGGAGTGTGTCATTTTTATTCTATCTGACTGCAGTTCTGAGAATACATTCATTGACCTTCCTTGGAAATACCAAAGCTTTTAATATTTTAATATTTAAGAGCTGAGGCGAGTATTGACTAGGGTGTTGAGGCGCTTTGGGATAAGGCTTTTAGTTATGCATTTATGTATCTTATCAATAACAGATATTCTGTGCAGAAATTCTGTGAAAGCATTTTTGTTTTTGCCCTTTTGCAGGCTGTGAATGGAGCTCCTGGTCCTAAAGGAGACAGAGTGAGTCAGTGATTGCATCAACATGAAACTGAAAAATACAGTGTTATAAGCTGTGTTTTTTTCTTCAATAATAACTGAGAACAGTTGCTCATTGCAGCTGACAGTATTTATTTGATCCTGTCTTATGCAGGGTCCACCAGGTGTAACACTGCCAGGTACGGTTGGAGAGCGAGGTCTAGCTGGGGAAAAGGTGAGGATGACTAAAAATCAGTCTCAGTGATAAAACACAAAAAGGTTTCTCCATTTTAAACTTCTGTCTTTTAGGGTACCAAGGGAGACAAAGGTCCTGCTGGCATCAAAGGAACCACGGTAGGTATAGTGAAAGAGCACAGCCCTATTTTTGCCTTCATAACATTTTTACAAAGTGTCATCTTTCATTATATTAGGGAATGGCTGGTGAACCAGGTGAACCTGGAGAGGATGTAAGTAATCAGCCTCTGCTGCTTGTTTGTGACCTGAATTTAATCTTTTAGTTTATGTTGTTTTTTTTTGTTTTATCTGAGCTTATAAAAATGCATAAACAACTCATTAATCATTGCCTTTTCCTTGATATAAAAAATATTCTCAAAAATAAACCCTAGTTGGAATTGTTGCTGCAGCATAGATTAGAAGCAAACTGTTTGGATGCTGGAAGTAAGATTACTTTATTATAGTCATTATTAGATCTTGCTAAGTTAAATGAAGCTAACTGCAAATCGCTCACTTTTTCGGTGTGTGTAATAATACTGGACCTTAGAAAAGTAATCATACTTCTTGAAATCTTCCCATATTCTATCTTTTTCTAATACAGACTAATATATTTCCACAGGTTGGATAATATATAAAAAAATATATAAGGCATGCATTATACAAGAACACAGCCAACACATGGAAAACCATGGTCAAATTTTAGGACCACTGACCATAGCCTGGAATTTTACATATTCAATCCCTCAGAAATTGTCTTTAAATTTCATGTTTAATATTTTTTTGGAAATAGACCAATTAAATAAAGTTAATTCAGAGCAATTTTCCTACCATTATTTTTTCTTGCAAAGGCTACACACAAGAATTTGACTTGCATGTGTTCTTGTAACATTAGCAACATTAGCAGTTTGCCATGGCGTATTTAAGAACATGTTTCAGTCTCACACAGTGTTGGAGATAACGGCGTTACATAATAACCCCGGTAGTAACAGTGTTACTTTGAAAAAGTAATCTCATTGCTTTTTGCATACTGGTCACTGTTACCTTACTTGCAATCTAACTCGGCACGTTACTATAAATCAATCAATAAAAGGAACCTTTAAAAAGCACGCTCTCTAGCTGCAGGGAGGAATTTTTACTGCAGGGAAGAGCAGCAGGGAGCTGATTTAGAGGCATGCATGATGCCATTGGCTCAGGGAACGCAGTGTGGGCGGGTGTTTAGCATGAAGAAGTTGAAGGTTAAAATTTCCTGTGATTTGCTAATGATGTATGTATATATATATATATATATATATATATATATATATATATATATATATATATATATATATATATATATATATATATACATATATGTGTGTGTGTGTCTATATGTATATATGTGTATATGTATATATGTGTATATGTGTCGGTTAAAAGAATCTCTATTCTAAAGAAGCTCCTCCAAATTCTTAGACTAACAGCTGTCAGCCTACATGTTACTTTCTGTGCCATACCATATCTACTTCCATGGTTTACTTTCTTTAAAACCGGGATTATGCAGTCCTGTTGTTTGATTAATTCTGTTGCAAAATATATTTCAATTTTGTTGAATCATTTGAATCATTATTTTTTTCTTAGCTTCCTACTTAGTACTTAGCTAGAAAACATTTTAAAAAATCTACTTTGTTTTCTTGTTCTTTTATTATAAACAAAAACATAATCATATCTAGACAATGTTATTATACAATGATTTCAGATGTGTAATCATCTCAATTGATTATTAAATCATTAAATTAATACAAAACTTGTTATATTGCATAACTTAACTTTTTGCTGTGTATACAGTTTGGAGTAAAAGACATTTAACCAAATTCTTTGGTATTAAGATCTTAAAAGGTAAGTGCATAGATGTTTTGCCTATTAAATAGTTACTAACTCAGTTATGTTTGTGGAGAAGTAACTAAAACTATGGAAGAAACGTTCCCAACACTGCCTTAACCACAGGTAAAAAGTTACACTAGCAGCAACACTTACCAATGACAGGATGTGACCACTAAGTGATTTTAGGTGGTTTATGAGAGATGGGCAAGATGAAGGCAAGGCAAGCTAATATTAGAACCATCCACAAACAACGTAAATTAAGGAAGAGGACCAAAATCACACTATGTTGGCTCTACTGGTCTGAACAAAGAGTCCAAATTAAAACACCAAGCTATTTTCACACTCCGGGTTGTCCGACAAGTTTTAACTAAGGCACAATAGGATATAACATGAATCATTCATGTAATTACACCTATTGGTTAAAATCTGCATTGTATGGCTTTTAGTGCTGTTTTTTCCTAAATATTTGCTTTATTTAATTTTATATTTGTTGTTCTTCTAGTCCTTTTTAATTTATACTAAAGCTTTCTCGTCTTACAAAAACTTATTTATGATTTACAGGGAGCACCGGGACCACCAGGGCCTAAAGGAGATAAGGTTAATCTTTATTTTATAATTTTATCTGGATTCAAAGAACTCACAATATAAGTAATGACAAAATGTGTTTTACAGGGAGAGAGGGGTGTTGGACAGACAGGTCCGTCTGGTCGTATTGGGCCTCCAGGTTTGAAGGTAAACAGCAGCATTTGTTATAGCAATGGGAGATCCATGATTCTATCTCTAACGTCAGAAAGTCAGATGCCTTATCAGTTCTGCCTTAGGACACAAAATCCCTCCTTCCTTTCAGGGAGATCCAGGGCTTCCTGGTCCAGCTGGCCCTCCAGGCCCCCAGGGGAAGGCTGGAGATCCTGGATTGCCTGGTGTGAGAGGGGAAAGTGGACAACCAGGACCTCCTGGACCCCCGGGAGAGAGGGTTAGTGAAGCTGTTGAAATAAATAAATTATTTTTTTTTATCAGTGCCATCTCTTAGAGGAAAAAAAACCAAAACATCTATGCCTTTATTTTTTAGGGCCTCCAGGGGTTTGCTGGCCGTCCGGGAAACACTGGGCCTCCTGGACCTCCTGGGCCTGCGGGACAGGCAGTGAGTTCATTTTCTGACGTACAACCCTTTATGAAGAGCACTAGTGGCTGGTTTTAGTACTGCAGCAAAGCTATCTGCTTCATGAATTTAGAAGTTTAAAGGTCCTATTGAGTCAAATTTAGTAAAACTAAGTACACATAGCCTGTGTGTAAAATCTAAACTTGTTATTACTAAAAGTTTGTTGTTGTGAGTTGAGTATTTTTACCTTTTCTTTGGAGGCAAAAACAGGCTGGGAAAAAAAAAAGCAGGCCACAGACTATTTTTATAATATTTGACTTAACTGAGAATACAATAACCAGTGGCGGCCGGCCCATAGGGGGTGCTGGGGCACCGCCCTCCCTGATAAGAAGAGAGAAACGTAAAATATATTTTTAGAAATTAACTCCTAAATGTCAGTTTTACTCTCTAGACTGTGTACCTATAAGCAAAACAAATTATATAAACTACATTTCCCTATCTACTGTCATTAATTTATGGATTTCCACAGACAGACTCCTACCGTCTCTGTTCTGGGGGCGCTGATCAGACAGACCCACATTTGCAGAGAATCTGTCAATCATGTACTATTGCTAGGTGCATTTAATGGCCAATCAGCGTCTCGGAACTTTATGGTCTTGGGGCGCTGAAAATACTGCGCTTTAACAGGCTTCTGAACCCAAGCGCAGGTGCAGACAGTTAGAGGGAAGATGGCGAATGTAACGACCGATATGCAGCTTCCACCAAATTCGGTGAGATCCTTATTTATCTACCCGTTTGCCAGAAGAATATCCCTGTTGTAGGATATGAACATTTCATGTCATGGTTATTGTGACTGCGACGAATCCACCTCGTCGCTTAAAACAACCTCTCTAACTTTGCGCGCCACACACACATTCCTGTTATACTGTGTTTGTGAGGACCAATACACTCGCGCTGAGCCCAGTAGCTCCATGAACTTAAAACACACAAGCTGTTCCTGGTTACCTGCTGGCGTATTGAGGGTGCACACTTAATATTTCAGTGGGGTTAGCCGTGTGTGTGTGTGTGTGTGTGTGTGTGTGTGTGTGTATGTGTGTGCGCACGTGTTTATGCTACGGGGACTTGTCATCTTCAGTCTGGCTGCGTCTTTGCTGGGTTCAAACCCAGTTTGGTGTAATTGAATAAGTCAATGAATCTGTGTAAAAGAATTAAGTTGTAAAAATTATTTTTTTTTGTACATCAATTGTCTGAGAGAGCCTGAGGGTAGGGGCTTAAACTATTTAATGAGGGCTGTGGGAAGAAAAGCGGCAATTTTTGTTTTCTGTTTCTTTGTTACATTGCTGGTAACTGGAGGGAGGCTGAGGCCCAGAGGATCTTGTACATGTTTAGTTTCTTTTGCACCCTGTTTTGAGTTTTTGAGCACAATAAATCACCAACACCGGTAACCCGACTGAGCCTGGATTCTTGGAGGCCAAAGAACCCCGTCACAGTGACCCAAATCATCACTGTTACTGTTATTATATAGTAAATTAAATCATTACTGTTAAATTGTATGTATTGTCCAATTGTTTATTTGAATTCTTATTCCGGATTAGTTGGAGACATACACTAGGCTATATCAGCCCCACCAAAAATATTTTTCACCAGCCGCCACTGACAATAACCCTCCTCTTTTGTTGTACTATTATCTTTTTTGCTCATACGAGTAAAAAAAAATCTGGTTCGAGCTGCACAATGCATGGAGGAGTGGATCAGGGATAATGCAGGCCTTTTTTTTCTGCATTTGTTTAGTCTCTACAGAATTATCTCAAATGTGTATGAGATACAGTGTCATGATTTTCTTAAGAGATCGGACCCACATGCAGTAAACCACTCAAAGACGCAGGGTAAAAGTTTGAACAGGTTTATTGATGAAACCAGCGGAGTTGGATTCAGGAAACACAGTAATAAACTTTATTTTGATCTTTTTTTCAACATAGTTTCAATGTATTACTATCTTAGATTGTACTGATCCATTCTCTTTTTTTACCTGTTATGTTTCATTTCAATACTCTGCATATGAAATTTGTATAAAATGTCTTCTGTAAAAATCAAAAAGGTAAATATGTATGTTACATTATTCTCAACTAATCTCAGTTTGCTCATAAAGCACCAATTAAAAAAAGTCTTCTTATGGTTATTAACAAGACAAACAGTCCCAGTCTATTCTTATGCATTCCATAAAAGTTTAATTATCTAATTCATCCTGAAGAGTGATACAGTTATATGTATTATGTTTCTAGGGCTCTGCTGGTTCTAATGGAGTCAAAGGCGATAAGGTGATATTTCTTTTAGCTGAAAGGCACACTACCTTCATTGCATTACTATACATGTAATGTGAATACATCCTAATTAAAGTTACACATGCTTCTTTTTTTTTACTGGGTCCAGGGGGAAGTTGGTGTTGGAGTTCCTGGTGCCAGAGGGGAGAGAGGAGATCCAGGTCCCAGGGTAAGAAGCAGTTACAATTCTGAATCGATGTTTGCATTGAAAAGTAAATTTACCCTTTGTGGATGCAAGACTAAGTCTGTATTTATACTGTGCATTTGCCTTTTGTGTCTCAGGGGGAGGAGGGCCGAGCTGGCTTGGATGGGGACAGAGGCCCAACAGTAAATATCAGAATTTTCTGTTTTCATGTTACGCTCAGGCACATTACGTAGACCACTGGGGTGTTTTCTCAAAGGCTTCCAGCATTTTCTTTTTAAGGGATGTTTTTGAAAGCATGAAACAGTCTGATCGGTGCCATAATGGAACCAAAGAAGCATTGATTTTATGATAATACAGTATTTCTCACAAGGACACAAAATGTTTTTTCAAGCATAAACATATTGACTGTGTTTTTATTCTTTCAGGGTTGCAATTTTTAGGGAAAAAGCAAATCAGCTTAGCACTGTAAAGATTCAGATTTGTATTTTTTTTTTTTATTGTCCAGGCATTTATTGTCTAACCATAACAGAATCAATAACTTAGTGGATAAACAGACTACAGTAGTCACACAATGTTTTTTTTTTATCATATCATATCAGGGTCCACCAGGGATCCGAGGTCTTCGAGGAGAAAAGGTGAGTCTTTTCATTCATTTCTTTTTCAATCTCTACTTATCCTCAGGTACTCCATCCTCTGAGTTGTATTTACATGTAAAACAGTGAATAAAAGTCACATGCCTCAGTAAATTGTTTTAATTAATCTGTTTATTTTGCGATTTATTTTTACTTTTTTCAACAGGGAGACGGCGGACTGCAGGGTGAGAAAGGAGATAAGGTTTGTGCATTTTAATATGTATAAACTCCACTGACATTCCCTCATTTGGAAATGGGTTTTGTTTTATCCATTTACTCTAAATCAGTGGAAAATAGTCTGCTGTGCCTTATTATATGGGGAGTGTTGGCCTAATGGTTAGAAGAGTGTGCTTGTGCTCTAAGAGGTTGCAAGTACCCGGTTCGATCCTCAAAGCCTCCACTCTGGGTTCCTTAGCATAACATTTGATCCCACACTGCTCCCTGGGTGCCACACAACGGTAGCCCACTGCTTACCAAGGGGATGGGTTAAGATGCTGAAGTGAATTTCCCCATTATGGGACAATAAAGAGATTTAAATTTACATTTTCTGATAGAGTTCTGTCTTTTGTTTCAAGATGAATAAATAAGTGAAGTGACAGAATACCCATGAGCTAAGTTCTGAAAGAGACACGTAGTGTGAGAAAATGATCAAAAATAAACACTGTTATTTTCCTCTGTGGGGGTCGAAACAGCACTTTCAAAATCTGCCCTGCTGTTTACAGGGGGACACTGTGCTGGTGGGTGGACCTCCTGGAGAAAAGGGCAACAAAGGAGAAACAGTAAGTGGCTTCTAACTGCACATTATTGTAAAAGAACATTCACTTAAGTGAAAGCCACCACTGTATTTTGCTGTTTTTACCTCAGGGTGACAGAGGACCCAAAGGTATACAAGGAGAAAAAGGAACGAAAGGCCAGGAGGGTCCACCAGGACAGCAGGTGATTGTTGTTGAAAATAAATTGACGGTTTGAGGTTTGAAATACTGTAAACCATTTGGAGCTTATGGATCTAATCATAGCATTGAGGAGTTTTTTTTGTTTTTTTTTATTTGACCTTGCCTATTCCTGGAAACAATGTGTATGTCATCAACAAAAATGTACAGCTCTCGGGTCCGTTTCACAAAGCAGATTTACCAAAAACTATGTTTTCTAAACCTGAAAACAAGGAAACTCGAACTTTTCCATTTCACAAAGAGAGTTTATTCAACCTTTGTTTCAGTCATCGTAGTAATATTCTGCTCTAGCTCACCTGGTCGGCAGCAGGTTTTCTTTAGTAAACTCAGAGTGTCCTCTGTCTTTGCTCTGCTTATAGTCAATCACGTTGTTTTATGTCCTCATTTAGTACAATTTTTGTCATAGTTTTGTGCATAAAAATATATATATAATTCAGTAGGTCCGTTACAAACATTAGGTTTTAAGTAAACATTATATGATCGACAATTTTTCACAGAGACTTAAACATTTATAGGGAGATTATTCTAATACTCAGTTGACAGGGCATGAGATTACTTGTTCTTTGGTTTCTTTAGTATGGGCAAGATGCGGATCATTTTATTCTTATTTAGTTATATTTATAGTACATGACATATTACAGAAATTATTGTTAGATTACACATAAATAGATTAATTAATTCTGCAGGGTAAAACAAATTACTTTAGTGTTAGGATTAGGATTCGCGAAGATAACAACCTAATGAGCCTAGATAATCTGAAGCCATTCTATGGGCCTGATACCCGCTAATAACAACAATTTATTGGTATTATAACACCCGAAGCTGCAAACTAAGTGGCTGCAAACACAGTAAATACTAAGTGGCTGCAAACAGCCACTTAGTATTTACTGTGTAAAAAAAAGACTGAATCGACATGAGGAGAGACCCATAATGATGCACAGGTTCTATATATTAGAACTTTTTTAGACTTCATTTTCACCTGCTTCCAGAAGATTTTACCTAAATAGATACGTTGATCTACTACCATTCAAGAAATAATCCTGTAATATTATTGCGGTCACAACAGAATAGGGCAAGCCGTTTTGATATGTACTAGTCGTACTGAATATGTATTCCTTCTATCTGAAAAAACATTTCTTCTTTGTCAAAATGACCATTTCAAACAAAATGACATTCTCCACATCTAGAATAAAGATTATCGATGTCTATAAATTAATTTCAGATCTCCATATTTCTATTGTTACTGGTGTTAACTGTATTATTTTGACTATTAACAAATGTATTTTAGATATCATAAATACATATTCAGTAAAACTAATAAATGTCAAAACGGCCTCTTAAAATGTGTAAACATTTCTAGATATATAAAACTTAATTCTTACTAGTATGATTTGGTTTTTTTATTTCTAATATTCAGTTTCTGCTACAAAAATGTAATTTAGAAAATATATTATTACAGTTCAGTCTACAGTAGGAGTGTGATTTTTATCAGGAAGAAACTTATTTTAGTGAACACAGGGCATTAAGCAGCAATCTTCTCCTTCACCATCTTCCTCTCTTTTGTAGCTGTAGCACTGGTTCTCTGTCTTTTAAAGCTACAGTGTGTAATAATTACAGGCATATAAATTCAGAAATTTAATATATTATACATAACTATGTTATTTATCATCACCTATGAGCTCAGCCTTTTAACCATAACATTTGCGTTGCCTTAGAATTCGTTATTTATAATTACATAGGAGCGGGTCTCGCAGCCATGGAGGCTGACATCTTTGCGCTACGGCAGCGCAGAGGCAACAAACTAGCGATTGCGAGATCTCCCATGACGCTCGAAAATAACTACGGCAAGTTGAGAGAGATGAACTGAGACGGTACTGAACAGTAGATGGCAGTATTATGCCTGAGAAGCGTTTAGTCTGCCTGAAACCAAAGAAGAAGAAGAAGCAGGTATACTGCGCCTCGGTAACAAGAAAGGTAAACAAGGCGGCAGGCGTGAGTGACTTTGCAAACTGTTTGGCACTGTGTGGCCAAACATCAGACGAATGGAGGATCATGCCTACTCTGTATCACAACGAAAAGCGGCGGACACCGAACCCCCGTCATCTAAGAAGCGGAAACACGACGAGAATAAACGCAAGAGTGACAAGAAACGACAAAAAACACGGATCAACATTGGCACGGCATTTACACGATGGAAGTCACTGATGGAGGAAAAAGGTTTTCAAAGTGACGCTCAAGTTGCCAGTTTTCTCTTGGACAGGTAATTAATCCTATACACACAATTGTCTAATATCACTGCAGTTTTTGGAGTACAGGATGCTCAGACCTGTCTAAAACAATAACATGCTGCGTGATGATGCTGTTACTCTCCAGTATACTTATTCAGCAACGTCCCTGACGTTTCACAGGTAATGATTCAGTAATTTTCTGTAAAATAATTTTCTGGATATATACCTCGGTTACTTCTCTCCGGCTCCTTTGGAGATCTTCAAGCCTTTCCTCCTCTGCTCTCACCCCGCTGGCTCCCCTCTCTCGCCTGGCCCCAGCTGCACGCTCACCCCGGCCTCTCTGCCCTCTTCCTTTCCCTCTTCCTTGCCTTGTAACCCCCGTGCCACAAACAAGACTTGGACTCTGTAAACGGGGAATATATATTCTTCCAGCGAACACAATCTCGCTGTTAAACTAATGACTACAATTACTTCGTCTGTTTATATCACCTTGCAAAGCAGCTCACCAAAACCTCACAACGACGTAGAAAAAATAACGGGTATATTTATTATCTTAAGTCTACATGAAATCTATACCCTACACAGACTAATGAAATACTATGTGTAAAATTATCTATGTAAACAAACCTCATCACTTGAGAAGGTAGGTGATGCGGACGTCGTGGAAGACATTTTGTCCCGTAACGCTCGCCGTACTGTTGGGGGGGAGAAGCGGTGGGGGGGAGACGTTCATGTTGCTGCAGTCTGCAGTCTGACCGCTAGATGTCGCTGAAAATTACACACTGTAGCTTTAAACTTTTGACTCGTTGTTTTAAACTAACAATATTCTTCTTTTCTTTTCTTTCTGCATTGATCTCTGGTTCCAGTGGGGTGAAATAGGCACTTCCTGTTGTCATGGTGACTTGTTGAATCGGTGCTCCACTGATAATGGCTTTTCATACTTGTTACACACGTGTTCATCTTTGAGTTGATTGAATTAGCTAGCTCGACATTAGGCTAGATCAATCTAAAGTTGGGGCTTCAAATAGGAGTTTGTTAAAACTGCTTTGTGAAATGGACCTCTGTACTTAAAGCTACAGTGTGTAATAATTACAGGGATATACAGTCAGAAATGTAATATATTATACATAACTATGTTATTTATCATCATCTACGAGCTCAGCCTCTTAGCCTTAATATTTGCGTTGCCTTAGAATTCGTTATTTATAATTACATAGGAGCGGGTCTCGCAGCCATGGAGGCAGACATCTTTGCGCTACGGCAGCGCAGAGCCAACAAACTAGCGATTGCGAGATCGCCCATTACGCTCGAAAGTAACTACGGCAAGTTGAGAGAGATGAACTGAGACGGTACTGAACAATAGATGGCAGTATTAAAATTATCTATGTAAACAAACCTCATCACTTGAGAAGGTAGGTGATGCGGACGTCGTGGAAGACATTTTGTCCCGTAACGCTCGCCGTACTGTTGGGGGGGAGAAGCGGTGGGGGGGAGATGTTCATGTTGCTGCGGTCTGCAGTCTGAACGTTAGATGTCGCTGAAAATTACACACTGTAGCTTTAAACATAAACCAACCATCAGTAAAAGGAAAAAAAGGCAGAGAATACAACAATAGTATTAACTGTAATACTGATCCAGATTATCATTCTGTGAATATCAGGGTAAAACAGGAGAACCTGGAGAACGAGGATCCACCGGATTTCCAGGTGCCCGCGGACCTGGTGGACAGAAGGCAAGTGACGGGTTTATATAAAATGTTTAACCTGTAAAATTTTGGTAAAATTAAAATTCTGCAAACAAAGAAACATTTTAATTCACTGAATCCTATAGTTAAAGGAAGTACAATTCAAGTGTTGTGAAATGTGCCATTATCTATTGAAGCAGTGTTATGTTTGATATTACCCAATTTGTGTGATTCTAACTCTAGTCATAGTTTGATTCAAACAGAACACTTCATGAGGAGCTGTTCAAGGCATCAGATGATGTTACAGAAATGAAACTAGAACATCATTTATTATCTTTCTGTATTTTCTTCAGCCATTACATTATTGAGACAAGCATTGTTAATAGTTGCCCAAGGTAGTATATATAAGCTACATTTTTAGTAGCATTTTAATATGTTGATGAAAAGGTCTTTAGGGTGATAACAATACCAAAGAACAAGCAGTGTTGTTTTTTCTTCTGTTTTTTTTTTTTCTTTTGTTTACTTTTTAGCCAATATAGCTCTGGGAATTGATGCTCCAAGACTAGCTGATAGATCAGCAGCTTTGCTTTCAAAAGCAGACGCTTAAGGCTGTTGCCTTGAGGTTCTGCTTGATAGCTGTATATTAAACTTTATGAAACAAATTTTGGAGAGTAAAATCGAATACAATGGACATGGAAAGGAAGGTGAGAGAGAAAGAAGGGATAAGAACTAAGGGGAGAGAGAGAGAGAGATGAAGGTTTGCATGAAAATAGAGAAAATAAAACAAAAAAACAACACAGAAGATATACAGTAACTCCTTTATGTCTGCCTCCATACATGTATGAGATGAGAGGAACAGAAACAGAGAGCATTACAGCAAAAAGAAGACAACAAAAAAACCAAAGAAAACTTTTAAAAAAGCTTCAAGAGTAGCAGGTATTCATTCCATGTGTGTCGGAGTCAGAACTTACGATGATTACACAATATTAATCGGGGGGGTATATATCTGTAGCTGCAGCTTAGTGTTTAGGTAGGTTAACAAGCAACGTTGTTAAGCTAGAGCTGTACGATATATCCATTGAGAATAGTAATTGCTCTATGGCTGAGCACAGTTGTTTGTGTGGGTATCATGATAATAAAATAAAAGGGAGGAGGAATCCAAATTGTCATACAATTATTGAGAAGTTGCATGTTTTATTTGTGCAGGGAGAAGCAGGTGATCCTGGAGTTCCTGGTGAATCGGTGCATATTTTCACTTCTCTATATTCCATCTATTAGATGACTATTCCACCTGTAAGAGGTTTAACAAAAATATTTTTGATTTGAATATTGTTAAAAGGGTTTACCCGGAAAAGATGGCCTATTGGGGCGTAAAGGGGAAAAGGGAGAAGTCGGTATCAGTGGACTGAGAGGAATCAAGGTATGGTGATTGTCTACATTCCAGTGTGTGTTTGTTTATCAAATATGTTTTCCTCCCTGCAGGGTTTTTGTTTGAGTTGGTGATGACTGCAACAACCTGTTAATAACATGTAGTTGTTAGAGTTGCAGAGTACTAATACAAATTGTGTCATACAATACACGGAAAATGCACAATGCTCATCTTTAAAAAGGGCTTTTGCTCTGAACTATTTCCTGTATTGTCGCATTTTTTCTCCTTAAAATTAACAATCAATAACATCAAATAGGGATTTGATGTTGATGTGAGGGTTCAGAGGCAGTCTGGTTAGACATAATCCCATTTCAACAGTTAGGGTTTGTCAAGTGTCAACCTTGCACACAACTCGCCTATAGAACAGCACTTATTCATCTTTAACATTTTAAACAGTATAATCATGAAGAGAGAGGGATCTCTGACAATGCATATTTGCACAGTTTCTCTTCAGATTGTCCGATGTTCTGGGTTATGTCTTAAACTTTCCTCTCTTAAGTTTATTCTACAGATTTTCAATATGTTTTAAATTTCCAAGTACTGAAGCGCCGTGGAAAAAGTGAATTGCTAAAAGAATCAGTGATGCCTCGTTTTTTGTTAGATGTATATAGTTCTTCAGGCGTTGATTTTTTCAAACATCCTTATATTTTAAAGCATTGATTATTATTGATAGTTAATAAATAGCCTTATAATTATTATAATTGTTAATGAACAACTTTTTGAAAATGAGCTACTACAGCATTTAATTCCCGTTTAGATCAATAAAGTATTTTTGAACTTAATAGATTTCCCTTATGCTGTGCACCTTTAAATGTTCTGCAAGCTTTTCAGAAAGAAGCTGGTCTACAGATGAATGTGTCTTCCACCATGCTAAGGACTATAGGACTATGCATGTTAGTCTTTTCCACAGTTTAATTCCTTGATCCAAGCCAAACCCACGTGAGGTGTTTGTTGCAGAAAATTGCAGAGCTGACGTATATAAATCATCTAATGTTGTTATGGAAACTTGGTGACACAGTTGTCCTGCAGTTCCCTAAACAGTTAACTTTGGAGATTATTGTCCCCTCTGAGACAACTAAATTGTGTCTATTCTGAGTTCTGTTTTGTCAGCCATTCATGTAGAAGCAGAAGATATCTTTTAAAGGGCACTATGCTGATAACTGCCACTACTACAAAGGCTCTTGTCACTGCTACTTTACTGTAGAGTTTCAAAAAGAATACACCCTGAGATAAGAAAGCACAAACATTTTCATTATCTGTCTGGATTTACCATAAACCTTTACCATAACAATGCTGGATATAATCTGGTTTCTGTCTGAACCATCCACAGCTGCCCCTCTTAACATTTTCTTATCATGTCTTTACTATCTCAATACATATTACCTATAAAATAACATCCAGCTTTTCATTCTACCCAGTGTTGATGGAAACTTGTTGAAGAGCCTGTTTTATGTTCTGAATAATGTGATCAAGTAAAAGAACCATCTACCCAGATGGGCTTTTTATTCAGCTGCTATGGTGCATTTTTGCCACTTAAAGACTCACATGCCTTTTTATATGCCTATCAATGATGATCTCTGTGTTTCCAGGGCGACCGTGGACCCAAGGGGGCTTGTGGAGCTGATGGACCCAAAGGAGAAAAGGTTAGCTGCTTAGACAGGGAAATGAAAACTGAACAGGGAGAATAAATGTAGCAGACATTAGTTGATATAAAAAAAAAAAATTATTTTATCAGTTCTATTCAAACCTTAAGTCAAATATAGATGCGGTACACATCGAGTAATATATTTAAGCTGTTAAGTATGTCCATGATCTGCAGATTATATGGAATATGTTTGTTAAGGCTCATTTTACATTAAACTTTATAGCAATGTGAAATTCTATGCAGGCAGTAAACATGTAGTTCTGATGAGGTGTGAAGGAATCCCAGTTAGTTTTGATAGCCGCCTTCAGCTCGTCTGAACTGCAGGTCTTCAGCTTCTCATCTTCCTTTTGCTCACTGGTTCATAAACTTTTCTTGTTTGATCCCTCTTCTGTTTGCAATAAAGTACATATGTGCGTGATGGTCCCCAAAGCACTGACTCTTCACCATCTCTTCTCGTTACTTTTCTTTTTTTTTCTCACCAGACATTTTCCTTTCACTCAGCTTTCCACCAATATGCTGAACATTCCATTAACGAAGCTTTTTGCTTTATCTTCCTTGTTAAAGCAGTCATGAAAACAGCACAACTCACCAGCAGGGCTGGGTATTTTCGCCAAAGTTCTGAATCGATTTGATTTTGATTAATACAGTTCTAAATTGATTAATTTTGATCCAATCTGTTTTTACAATAACGAAAGTGGTTCAACTGTGTTTCAAAATACTCATGTATTTTATTTTATCCTGTCATATTAAACAAAGCAGACATGCATGAGCTGCATTATCTCCACTGTACAAACCATGTGCAGTGTTGTCTGCAAAAACTACAGGGTGTTTGCTGGTCAGCCCCCATTTGTTAATGTCTTCAGTCAACCTATTGGTTGTATTTGCAGCTCTCTGGCTTGAAGTCATCTTGGCGGTCTGTAGCACGAGATACGAGGCGCTACTCATTATCAATGTAGTTGGAAGTCACCTTAATGTCACATATCCAGCACATTATCTTTAGCTGTTTTAAAATCTATAATGGTTCTAGACATCATACTTCAGTTGGGACAGCTTGCTGAGCGGTGTGTTACTTGGGTCGGCATTTACACACGCCTGCTCATTTGAATGTGAACGTCACGCGCATCACTATAAAACTAATCGATCTCATTTCCTACACATCGATTTTGCAAAAATGTAAAGGAATCGATCCAAAATCGATTAAATCGATTTTTTACCCAGCCCTACTCACCAGTGGGCAAAGATTGACATTTGTATTTTATTCTGTTGCCCTTTTTAAGCATTTATAGAAGATTTCATATTTTAATCATACAGAGTATTTAAGCATTTATGAAGATTTCAAAATGACAATATAATAAAGAAACTTAGGAGTTAAAAGAAACAATAAAAATCTGTTTGTTATGAATGAAGTTAAGATGAGCCCTGATCCTTCCTTCCTTCCTTCCTTCCTTCCTTCCTTCCTTCCTTCCTTCCTTCCTTCCTTCCTTCCTTCCTTCCTTCCTTCCTTCCTTCCTTCCTTCCTTCCTTCCTTCCTTCCTTCCTTCCTTCCTTCCTTCCTTCCTTCCCCTGGTTAAGGCTATAACAGATAATTATGCATTAAAAATCCTTGTATCCAAGTCTAATATTTTGATTTTCGGGCGTTTTTAATATATTACATAAAAAATGTAATATATCGTTAAGGATCAATTTCATGTAACCTGAGCTTATGTGAGTTTTAATTTTGGAAATAAAGTACTTTAATAGATAAATGTTTATTTTAATTTATTGAGATGCACTTTAAGTGATGATCCTAAATGTATTATTATTCACAAATAAGGACTTTCTACTAGTGTCTACACATGCATAGGTATGTCAGAATGATAGTTAACTTAAAATTCCTTCCTTTGACACATTTCCATATGAAATTTAATGCAGTGTTTATGTTTTCAGGGGGATTCAGGCATTCATGGACGATCAGGCTTACCAGGGAGAAAGGGTGAACAGGTATGATAGATATCATAAAAAGAATGCAGATTGATTTTTTGCTGCTTGTTATGCTTTGTTTGTTTGTTAAAGGGCGACATCGGGCCTGCTGGGGCCCCTGGGATTCCAGGAAAAGAGGGACTTATTGGCCCAAAGGTATATGAAAATTTACTCCCAACTAAGAAATGGACCAAAATGTGAAACTAAAATGTTTTAATTTATGGATGTAGGGTGATCGAGGTTTTGATGGAGCTGATGGACCTAAAGGAGCTCAAGGAGAGAAAGGTGAAAGGGTCAGTATTGTCAGACCTGCAGTGGCAATACACCGCCCTACAGTGATTTCTGAGTGTTTTCTTATTATATGCTTAATCATAAACAGTCATGGGTCTGAATTCCTCCTTCATTCTTAGGAATTCACAAAAACATGAAATCCACAGAGAGCTGTTTTTTCCTGTTTTTCAACAGGGAGCATCTGGTATACCTGGTCCTCCAGGTCCCAGAGGGCTAGATGGCCCCCCTGGCTTGACTGGCCCACAAGGACCAGCTGGTGCGAAAGGCCCTGAGGGACTCCAAGGACAGAAGGTGATTCTACTCACTGTGGTTTAAGCTGATTGTACACCTAGGGCACACAATACATTTATGGGGACTGAAGCTCATGAGAGAGAAAAAGATTAAAAATAAACATATCCAAGAAGTCTTTTGATACACCGAAAATAGCGTTCCTCTGTTGTTGTTTTTTTTTTTTTAAGTTAGAGTTGACCAAACCTAATAATAGGTTTGAGAGTGGAGGCATGTTGTTAGGACTGATATAAAAAGATTACAGTCTTTTTGTATTTCTTCTGTCTGAATTTTCCTCTTCTTTTTCCACTTGTCTTCTTTTATTGCCATTTATTGTCAGAAGATGATTGGCACTTTGAAGGGCTCTCAGTTCGACTGACTTGTCTGGTTTATCATCAAGTTAATAAAGGAAGCTGGCGACAGGGTAGAGGGTCACATCGGGTGTCTGTGTTAGATGGCCGTCTCTTTCTGATGGAACATGTTGATTTAGAACTGTTCTCCCCTACACTATTCTAACAATGTATTCATTCTTCCAGAGGAACCTACAAGCTGATGAATCATGATAGATAACTATTAATAATTTATTGCTCATAAATGATAGTACTGCATCATATGAAGTACTGTGTTGGGGATTCAGAGCCCAACAAACCTCCAAATAATTCAGCAATTTAGAACTGATATAGTACAGTTTCCCTTGCTTTAACTTTTAAATTAATGTAAAGAACTTTGCATTGTCTCAATAATAAACTTGCCTTGCCTTGCATTCTATTAGCTCAAAATGTCTCCACATTTCGCACCTGTAAAGAGGTACAAAGGAAAAATGCCTTTCAATACCTTTGAAAAGTATTTACAGTACACCACTTTACTAATGCTTTTGTTTGTTTTTTTTAACTATTTTATTGTGATCTTATGTGACAGCCCAATACAGAGTTGTGAATACTACTAACTACACTATATTGCCAAAAGTATTTGCTCACCCATCCAAATTATTGGAATCAGGTGTTCCAATCACTTCCATGGCCACAGGTGTATAAATTCAAGCACCTAGGCATGCAGACTGTTTTTACAAACATTTGTGAAAGAATGGGTCGCTCTCAGGAGCTCAGTGAATTCCAGCGTGGAACTGTGATAGGATGCCACCTGTGCAACAAATCCAGTCGTGAAATTTCCTCGCTCCTAAATATTCCACAGTCAACTGTCAGCTGTATTATAAGAAAATGGAAGTGTTTGGGAACGACAGCAACTCAGCCACGAAGTGGTAGGCCACGTAAACTGACGGAGCGGGGTCAGCGGATGCTGACGCGCATAGTGCGAAGAGGTCGCCAACTTTCTGCAGAGTCAATCACTACAGACCTCCAAACTTCATGTGGCCTTCAGATTAGCTCAAGAACAGTGCGCAGAGAGCTTCATGGAATGGGTTTCCATGGTCGAGCAGCTGCATCCAAGCCATACATCACCAAGTGCAATGCAAAGCGTCGGATGCGGTGGTGTAAAGCACGCCGCCACTGGACTCTAGAGCAGTGGAGACGTGTTCTCTGGAGTGACGAATCGCGCTTCTCCATCTGGCAATCTGATGGACGGGTCTGGGTTTGGCGGTTGCCAGGAGAACGGTACTTGTCTGACTGCATTGTGCCAAGTGTAAAGTTTGGTGGAGGGGGGATTATGGTGTGGGGTTGTTTTTCAGGAGCTGGGCTTGGCCCCTTAGTTCCAGTGAAAGGAACTCTGAATGCTTCAGCATACCAAGACATTTTGGACAATTCCATGCTCCCAACTTTGTGGGAACAGTTTGGAGCTGGCCCCTTCCTCTTCCAACATGACTGTGCACCAGTGCACAAAGCAAGGTCCATAAAGACATGGATGACAGAGTCTGGTGTGGATGAACTTGACTGGCCTGCACAGAGTCCTGACCTCAACCCGATAGAACACCTTTGGGATGAATTAGAGCGGAGACTGAGAGCCAGGCCTTCTCGTCCAACATCAGTGTGCGACCTCACAAATGCGCTTCTGGAAGAATGGTCAAAAATTCCCATAAACACACTCCTAAACCTTGTGGACAGCCTTCCCAGAAGAGTTGAAGCTGTTCTAGCTGCAAAGGGTGGACCGACGTCATATTGAACCCTATGGATTAGGAACGGGATGTCACTTAAGCTCATATGTGAGTCAAGGCAGGTGAGCAAATACTTTTGGCAATATAGTGTATATCTGTGAATTCCTGAGATTGTAAAAAAATTATCTTGAGATGTTTTTCAGGAAACAAAATCTGATTTGTTGCAAGTCTATTACTGTTAGTATTATTTAGAATCACCTTTTGCTGTAATCATATTTTCAAGTTGTCTAAATTTGTCAAGACTACCGTTCTATATCCACAGCCAAAGGAATTTAACCATTTTCAAATGTAGTCAGATTGTTTGGAGAGTATCTATAAGCAGGAATTAGTCCCCCCCACAGCTTCTTATTCTTTTTTTTTTTTTTACAAAAATACATGACATGCCATAAGAAAAGCAGGAGTACTAGTAGTGGTAATGTTATGTGTGAAAATGGATTAAGCCTGACCTTATTCTCAGCCCTTGCTTAAAAAGAAAACCTGTTTAAGTTGAACCTCAGCGTGAGTTTGTAGTAGGGGTGGAACGGTTCACAAAATCCACGATTCGGTTCGGTTCACGGTTTCGTGGTCACGGATTTCGGTTCGGTTCGGTATATGTTGATTGTTAGCCTGACATGTTGGTCGTGTTGCTGTTAGAATAAACAAAACGTGTTGCACAATGCTTGCACACTGTTTTTATCCACAACTTTCTATCCTCCGTTATCATAGGTCACTCTAAATGCAAAGTGGTCCCATACAGCAGACCTATAAAGTGCTGCTGGCGCGTCTTCCAACTCCTGTTCTTTCTCACTTGCCATACCCACACAAAGCTCCAAAACAACTGATTTTTTTCTGCTACACCCAGCTTCTTCTTCTTGTTTACTATAGGTGGTTAGCTTTGGTCGCAGTACCGCCACCTTCTGCTCTGGAGTGTACACGCTTCGCCAATGAGAAAAAGGAGCAGCGCATGAACCGAATGCAACACACGCAAATCGAACCGAGACAGTTGAACCGAACGGTTCGAACGGTTTTCATAAACCGTTTCATCCCTAGTTTGTAGTGATAAAATTCTGCAAATACACTGAGAACACAATTTTCCGTTTATGCTATGTCCCCAAATTCATTGATGGGACTTCTAATGGTTTTGGTGTTGCATTGACTGTCCCTTCCTAAAGTCCAGGTTTGTTGAGCCTTTTTGGCTGACTATTAAATTTTGTCTGTTTTTTCCGCGGCCGTCAGATTTCCCATTAATTTTGGTCAAGGAAGGAGTAGCGATACCTTACAAGAATATTATTCAAGTAAAAGTAAAAAGTACGGCAAAACTACTCCTAATTACTACCCACCTCTGTTTAAATCCTAGGATGTGGATCTAACATGCCTTAGACTTTTTCACAACCGAATCCCTGTTTGTCGCTAAAGCTTCAAAATGAGATTATAGTCCTTATTAGTAGATTCCAGGTTCCTACTGATCCTAAAGTGGGCTGCTCTGGATTTTGTTTAGATCAGAGTAAAGATATTCTTTTTTATACAAAACATTTTTTTCTTGACAAGCATTAAATGCTATTTTTAATTATACCAAATTAAATCTCCATTAAATGCCCAAACACCGTGATACCAATGTGAAGAATTAGGTGTTGTAAAATAACACTTTTTGAACTATAAATCATTTTGGGATTCACTATAAGCATTGTGTTCTGAGTATGAGTAAACTAATTTAATACTTGAGCAAATATTAAACAACTGAGGTTTGTCTGAAATAATGATTTTGAGAGGAACCGAGCTGTTTAGTAAAATAACAATTCTTTCATTGAAATGGAAATAACATCTGCCTGGACTAAGTGAGGCATTGTCATCTCTCCCAGTGCTTTTCAGAATTGATAAGTGACAATGAGATTAAGATTGCATCAAGAAGGAGCCCAGAGCAATTATATAGCAGCTTTTGATGCCACAAAGTTCTCATAATGCTGCTTTCTATCTATCTATCTATCTATCTATCTATCTATCTATCTGTCTGTCTGTCTGTCTGTCTGTCTGTCTGTCTGTCTGTCTGTCTGTGTTATGAAGATTCTGTATTTATGAGTATCACATTAGAGATATCCCACAGGAGTAAAGTATTTGATTTCCTCCTTTTACAAACATTTAAGTTCACTGGCATCCTATTCTTACTCTATTGGGTTTAATTTGATGCAGACTCAGCCTTCTGAGCTATAACAGCTTCAACTTTTGGGTCAGGCTTTCCATCAGATTCAGTTTTCTTAAGGACATTTTTGACAAAAATTTAAAAATAAATGTGCCAGGTCAGACACTGATGCTGGCGGAAAGGCCTGGCATACCATCTCTGTCATAATCTGTCCCAAAGGACCCAGCAGAAAGTTAGTCATCTTTCCACATGTGCTCTAGCATCCACTGACAACACTGTAATTCTTCTTCATTGTCTGTCATTGAGCTGATTTCACATTTAGCCTCCTCCTCTTTACTTACGTTACATAACTGGATTATTTCACTGTCCCACAGGAGTTCCTGAAAGTGACCCATTCTTTCAGCTTATTTTTTATCAAGAATCAAGTCAAGACTTAAGAATATTTATTATTATTATGAAACCAAGTAAAATTTTGTCCTGACACCTGACTAACAGCACATTCAGCAACACTACTAGAAAGAATAGATAAGAAGCATCCTTAAATTAAACCCTTGAAAGAAAAACGCATAATCTTAAAATATATGTACAGTAACACCTTCACAGAAAATTTGAAAAAGAAACTGAAAAAAATTGGTAATATTTGATTAAATATAAAATATCACAGTGAGAAATATTTGTGGATGGCAATGTACAGTAACATGTATTATTTACATAAAGTGCAGCTGGTGCCAGAGCAGTCCGCTAAACGGTGGTTTAATGGCGTGGACTCGAACTGAATGTGATACAGTATACTGTGGCTGTTGTGCAGCTTTCGTGTGGTCGCGGCAATAACCCGAATCATTTAAATGAAACTGTACACTCACATCAGCCACGGTGCAGTGAGGGTGTGCTTACCAATGCTGTGCAGCTCACCAACATGTTAGTGCAGGGAGGAAGTTTGAATGGATGCCGTGATAGTCTCCTCTTCAATCTCCTGCATTGCAGATGCAACGTAATTAGGTAATGAAGTTTATTGTTGAAAAATTCTCTCGAATATGACATCATATGGCAAATGCTAACTTTCCTCTCTCCATAGAAAAAAAAAAACACAAACAAAAGTGTGAATCAAGCTCATTTCATGGTCAAACAGACAATTCTGCCCATATACAGTAAGGAATACATTCACAACTTCAATTCAAAAGATAAGAGTTTATAAAAAAATATCCTTTACCCAGAAGTAAGAAAATATTTCAGTTAAAACTCTTGACCAAAAACTGGCGAATCTCAAATAAACCAAGTTACTATGTACAAGGAAAAAGGAAAAACTTGGTTGAAAACCATAATTATTGAGATGATATAATGATATCGCAGTTTAGCATGGATTTTGTGTTAAGAACCAAATTTTATATTAAAGAATTTGGAATGTGATCAAATTAGTTTTTAGCTATAATTCAGAGCAACTTGATTTTTTTCAAACCAATTCACAATGCAAATTCATGAGGTGAATAATACAGTTTTTGGCCAAATAATGTTTTATTAAATTATTTGCTTAATTAGACAAATGACCTTAAGTTAATTGATTCTTTGCCATTTTTAAATGAGCTAGCATTAGCAGACATCATTATTTCCTTTAAATTACTTTTGGACACAATTTGGTAATCAAAATTTATTGAGCATATGAGAAAACACATAACGATTAATGTTATATCAGTGTTTAAACCCTTAGTGGACTTTCCATGATGGCTTCGTCTTCGAATGTGAATGCAGCTTTACGGAAAGAGAAAGTAGAGACAGCTGCTTTTGTCCTCAAGGCACCATGGTGGGCCAAGGCACACCTCTGAGGAGTGAGTTGTGGGAAGGTTTGCAGAAGCTTTGAGAGGAGAGCAGTAATGTGGGGCAAAACTTTCGCCTTTACCCCAGTGAACATATTAAAGGAATAGTACACCCAAAACATGATTAGCCTTCATTTTCTACTCACCCCCATGCTGAACAACACTCTGGAGTACTTTTTTGATATCTCAAATGCATCTGGAGATCTGGGAGGCTTCTTGCTGTCTGCTGACATTCAAATAATGGAGGTCTATGGTGACCGAAACAGAAAGGTCCATGAAAGTCCACAAAAAACGTGTCAATATTCCTCCATACTGCTCGTCCAATGTATTCCAAGTGTCCTGAGTGGGTAGCATCCAGAATTTACTCAAAACGAAGTCATTTAGAATGTTTTTAGAGCATAAACAGTAGTGTATAGGATTTCCTGAAAGCGCGCGCCTGCGAGTTCTTTCAGGAAATCCTATACACTACTGTTTATGCTCTAAAAACATTCTAAATGACTTCGTTTTGAAAGGTTTTGACCTTTCTGTCTCGGTCACCATAGAGTGTAGTACAAGTGTAGTACAGTCCTGTTGCACCGACTTTATGACTTGGAATTCTGTCTTTTGGGAGTGAGCCTGTTGCTTGGCATTGAATTACACACAGGTGGACTCTCATAAGTAATAAGCTGTCTTCTGAAAAGGCACTGGATTTTATTTTAAAGTATTAGGGGGAAAAATACCTAAATAAGTCTACCACTCTTTTTAAATACTTAAAAAAAAAAAAGAAATCACATTCAAATTCTCAGTTTCTCCCAAACCTTATATTTATCTATCACATAAATTTCCAATTAATTTCATCAAGTTCTGGTTCTTCTGACAAAGGATTGCTTTGAGCACTCCTGCAATCAACTATAAGTGTCTCACAAAGCCCACAATGTCTAAACGATGAGGGAAAACCTCTCCCCAAGGCAAGTTTTTCCACTGATTGATTGCTTTCTCCTCTATCGTAGGTAATTTTGCTTTAGATAAATCAGCAGTAAGAACCCAGAGCAGTCTGCAGCTATGTGGTCCAATAAAAAGCTCTTTGTGATGTAGGGTGTTGTTCTGACGCATATATATTGGAACTACCTCTGATAACTCAGGCCAGTATTTATTGGCTTTATTGTGCTTTGATGGTGTATGACCCTGTGTACAAGTTTTCTTGGACAACCATGGTGGGTACTGCCTAACAGCCCAGCTACTAAGATGTATATACTGCTCTATTCAGCTCATCAATACTACAAGAATGTTTATGTAATTTGTTTATTTATCTCATCTTTTAAATGTCTTTTTCTTCTTTTTACCTTGTATCAGGGGGAGAGAGGTCCTATTGGTCCTGCAATGGTGGGTCCTCGGGGTATCCCAGGAATCCCAGGAGAGAGAGGAGAGCAGGTTAGTATTTCATCCCTCTGTCTTGTTTATACTCTGCATTAACAGCACCCTGCTAAAATCAGGACATTCCTGTTAAAGTTTATTTATTTATTTATTTATTGAAAAGCATAATGTTTTAACTTATATTAAATGACTTTGAAGCTGTTCTGTATTTCTTCTGCACATGATGAGCTTAAGCGCAGCTCATTTAATATTTGTATGGGAATGTGTAAACAGTTTCACTATAAGTCACTCTTACCTATTTAACCTTCCTTTTTTGGTGTTGTTTTTCTCCAATGGGGTATCTGACTATGGTCTAAGGAATCATTTCACTCCGAGCCTCTCTATGGATCCTGCATGTCCTAATACCTGTCCACATTTCAGGGAGACATGGGACCAGATGGAGCCAAGGGAGACAGAGGAGAGCCAGGCATGACGGTCAGTGTGGCAACATTACCACTGGGTTCTGTGTGATGACAGGCCATGATATGCAGACACTGTCTGCTTTTTGTTTTAATTCCAGGAAGATGAGATCAGAGAGTATGTTCGCACTGAAATGAAACAGCACTGTGGTGAGTCTTTCAGCTTACATTGCAAATTTAAAACAATGTTGTCCTTAAGCTGAACTTCCTCTTCATTACAGATTGTCGCCAGGTTTACCTAGTTATTTTTAATCCATTAGTCACAAGAAATAGAAAAACTGCAGCAATGCTGCACTGCTTAAAACTAATCTGTGCTATTTCCTCTCTTTCTGAAATCCGTGGGTCTGTTTGACTGATCCCCGCAGCATGTGGAGGTGAGTGACCCATCCAACTGCAGAAAGTGAGACAGAAAAGGCTCTGATTTTGCTACACTGCTGTGAAAAAGTATTTGCCCCTTTTAGATTTCTTCTGATTTGTCTTCTTATTTGTCACACATACGTGGTTTGGATCATCAAACAGATTTCTGTTTCTGAGAAATATTTCCAGAGTAAAAGCAAAATACAGTTTTCAAATGATTATTTTATCGAGGTTAAAAAGCTATTCAAAACTATCAACCCTGATGTAGAAATGTAATTGCTCAGTACCAAATACACAGAAGCGCCACCCTTAGCAGTAACAACCACCATGTTTGCAGTAACAGACATTTATCATTCCTTTTGATATATATGTGAAGCACTAATTCATTATTTTCTCCTTTTTTGGGTTGGTTTAATTTAGCTGTATTTGAAGGTTCTCAGCACAATTTCTATTTTGACTCTGATTCTCTGCTAAAGCCTGATTTATGGAGGCATTCCAATGTGGACTTAGGGCTGTGCTTTGGATCAACAATCTCGCTGAATGTGCTCGTGCTTAAGGTCAGAAAACAGTAGCTGGACTTCTTCCTTCAGGCATGGGCCACTCCTGGTCTGTCAGTTGTGTCAGACTTTTACAAGTGCTGAAGCAGCCCATGACCTTTGCACTACCACCATTGTATTTGGCTGAGGTTATACATTGTTTGTTTTGTTTTTCCCTTTAATACTGTGTTAATTTATTCAAAAGATGTACTAGGAGACACACCTTCCTAAAAGTTCTCCACTGTTTTGTCAGAAAACATGAAATATTTTCCTAAAACATGGGTAATAATGAAATGGTAGTCAGGTATTTTAAATATGTGTTGGTCAACAGTGTTTTTTTGACTTATACCGGTAAGTCTCCTATGGATGCCCCTCTTGCCCTCGTATTGTTTAATCATAAATGGAACATTGACATTAACTTAGACAAATTAGTCCAGCAACACAACAGCCCCTCCTCGGAAGGTTCTGTACTGTTCCATGTTTTCTTTGCTTGTTTATACCATGGTTTACAGGTGTCGTAAAGCCAAATGTCTGAATAATCTCAAAGATTTTTCATCTCATCTTTTGTTTTCTTCTCTTTTTTGCGTCTTGTTTTTACATCAGCACATTATATATTGTCTTTTGAGATGGTTTTGTCTGTATCATGCTTTCATACTTTTTAACTTAATAGATGAAAGGATCATATGAAAACTGATTTTCGCTTTTACTCAGGTGAAACATGTTTTGGATGAAAATAAAATATGAAAATAGCTAAAACCTAAATTCTTAGGGGTAAATACATAAGCAGAGATGAGTTAATGCAAGCAATGTATAAACTTATTTTATATAATGGAGTCTGTTCTAGTTTTTTACTTGTGTATGCTACAGTGTATGTTGCATATTTCTTTAAACCAAGTTACTCTTCAGACAGTTCTTTAAGACCCATGTTGATGTCATTTGGCCTAATTTAATACCCCATGTGTTAATTATTTGCATAAAATTAAACCTCTGCATGTGTTGAAGTAAACAGATAAAATGCAAATTAGTGAAAACCTCCCAAATGGTCGCCTGTACCCACATTGAAGCTTATGTGTTTGTTATGTAAGTTGTTAATTAATGCAGGACAACAGTAGTGTCATGAATCAGCATGAAATAAGTGATGCTGTTGCAGGCTGCTAATGAATGTGCAGATAAATTAGCCAAAGTCAGTTTTTCCCCATGTTTGAATAATAAGTAATTTTGAAAAAAAAAAGAAGAATATTTTGTTTAATGATTAACACTCTTAACATAAATTCAAGTCATCGGTTTACTGATGACTTTGCAAGTCAAACTTAAATGACATAAGTCATTATAGTTGTGCCTTGAGTCTTTAAAGGATTACACCCATTTTCTGCAAGACTTTGTGTTAATCAGTCTTGAGAAAAGTTGGAGAATCCTTTCATCTGTTGTTTGTGTCAGATTGGTGGGATAACTCTTTTTGTGGTGGTTGGGGAAATCAATGGGTCATGTGTATGAAGGTTATGCAGCAGGACTTGAAAGTTTATAAACTCTTAGAATTTTCTTTTATTTTGGCATGTTTGTGATTTTTAAACGACATTTTCCAAAAAAGTCAAAGAAGAGTAGACAAAGAGAGGACATTAAACCAAAGAAAGGGGACAGAAACGATACATATGTTTTGTTTTTGTTTTCCTAATGGCTATATGAAGCTTTGCTTTTGGTGTACGTGTGATGCACACGTGCAGAAACACAGAGAAATAAATGTTTGCAGTTATTTTTTTTTGCTTGGAAGAATTACAGCCCACATTGGGAACAGAACACCTTTTTTCCTCTTTGGTTCTCCTGTCATAGAATTAACCAGATTTTTAACTTGCCCAGTGCAACAAATAAAATGTATAGATCTGTTTCAAGCTATACATTGTAGTAACAAATTACAACAAGAAAGAATTATGACCCAGATGCAGTGGTGTTTCTGGACTAAATCAATAAGGAGGTCAGGATGGATCCAGTGTTTCTTCATTGGGGCACAAAACAAATTTATTAAATAGACAAACAAAAAGGGTAATTGTTCATCACTTAATACATTTAGTGAGCCAAATAACCACTTGTTGGAATAGAACTGCAAGTTGGAAAGCTGTGACCAACAGAGGAAAACTAAACCCTTTTTAAGTGCGACTGAAGCTAAAAATGCAACCTTTTAGTTCTAAAATCTTTGTTAAAGAAACACTGTAAATGCCTTAAACTACTCCAAAGGGACCAATCAGTTATTGTTCCTATGACAGCATATATCCCTATACATTATAGGAGCCAGGACCAGTTCTGGAGGGCCCATTAGAACCGCCCATACCTATTTGTAATGAAACAGGCCCAAACAATGACAATTACATATGTACATATGAGATCAGCTCTCATATATCTTACAACAAATATGACATCCCTTACTTAACCGCTAATTTGTAATTAGTCCCAACATCTTTAAACCATTTCACTCAGCCAACTTGCCTTTTTTAAACATTTAGCAACTAATAGCAGCTGAAGAGAACTGTTTTTTCTTTTCATGTCATTTTTTCATAATAAGGGGAATGGCCAGACTTTTATAATTATATGAAATTTCTTGGATATTTGATCAGAAATATGCTTTATTTGACCCATAATACCAAGAGTTATAAGAAATGCCTCTAATTTCAATTTAGATGCCTAACCAAGAGGCTGACTTTATTTATGTCTGGTAAGATAATTTTGGTCTTAATTATGCTTATAAAGGAAATTATTAAGGGTGTATAGACTTTCAAGCATCAACACTGCCAAAATGTTCTTTCTTGCTGTTTTCTCATTTCACTTTCCTTGAGCCATTTTTCTTCCTTAAGTGTAACCTACCTGGTCACTCTCATCCTCTGAGCCTTCTTTTTGCTCCTTTGGGGCCCATTTTTCCTCCCCCACCCTCTCTGGCTCTCTCAGGTTCAAGCCCTGACACTCTGTCCCAGCCCGCATTCAGGGCTCGACCTACAACAGAGCAAGAACTGGTACTGAATGGTGAGAAGGGTGAGTGTTTGTTCCACAGCTCTGCAGCTGACTTCAGTCTCTTTGTTCGTCCTTAACCATGTGAAACCTGTTGGTCCAACACATGGAGCCCTCTAAGCATTGGGTGGTTTTCTGTACAAGAAAACAGAGGACTCCATGTTTGACCCACAGACAAACAATGTATTTTTTAAGTTATATTAAGACAGTTATAGCAGTAGGGGTTATGCCTATAATGACTTTAAAGTTCCAACAGAGCAATTTTATATATAAAATAAATTAAAGTTTCGATGTTAAAACTACTAAAAAGCAGGCTATAAGTAGCTCAAAATAAATGCTAGCCAAATATAAAACCTATCTCTTACTACTTATCTAAAGAAGTGAATCTATATCTATATCTCTCTCTCTATATATATATATATAGAGAGAGAGATATAGATATATATATCTATCTATATATATAGATAGATATATATAGAAATATACACTCACCGGCCACTTTATTAGGTACCCCATGCTAGTAACGGATTGGACCCCCTTTTGCCTTCAGAACTGCCTCAATTTTTCGTGGCATAGATTTAACAAGGTGCTTGAAGCATTCCTCAGGGAGTTTGGTCCATATTGACATGATGGCATCACACAGTTGCCGCAGATTTGTCGGCTGCACATCCATAATGCGAATATCCCGTTCCACCACATCCCAAAGATGCTCTATTGGATTGAGATCTGGTGACTGTGGAGGCCATTTGAGTACAGTGAACTCATTGTCATGTTCAAGAAACCAGTCTGAGATGATTCCAGCTTTATGACATGGCGCATTATCCTGCTGAAAGTAGCCATCAGAAGTTTGGTACATTGTGGTCATAAAGGGATGGACATGGTCAGCAACAATACTCAGGTAGGCTGTGGCGTTGCAACGATGCTCAATTCCCCACACCATGGCACCACCACCACCAGCCTGAACCGTTGATACAAGGCAGAATGGATCCATGCTTTCATGTTGTAGATGCCAAATTCTGACCCTACCATCCGAATGTCGCAGCAGAAATCGAGACTCATCAGACCAGGCAACGTTTTTCCAATCTTCTATTGTCCAATTTCGATGAGCTTGTGCAAATTGTAGCCTCAGTTTCCTGTTCTTAGCTGAAAGGAGTGGCACCCGGTGTGGTCTTCTGCTGCTGTAGCCCATCTGCCTCAAAGTTCGACGTACTGTGCGTTCAGAGATGCTCTTCTGCCCACCTTGGTTGTAACAGGTGGTTATTTGAGTCACTGTTGCCCTTCTATCAGCTCGAACCAGTCTGGCCATTATCCTCTGACCTCTGGCATCAACAAGGCATTTCCGCCCACAGAACTGCCGCTCACTGGATGTTTTTTCTTTTTCGGACCATTCTCTGTAAACCCTAGAGATGGTTGTGCGTGAAAATCCTAGTAGATCAGCAGTTTCTGAAATACTCAGACCAGCCCTTCTGGCACCAACAATCATGCCACGTTCAAAGTCACTCAAATCACCTTTCTTCCCCATACTGATGCTAGGTTTGAACTGCAGGAGATTGTCTTGACCATGTCTACATGCCTAAATGCACTGAGTTGCTGCCATGTGATTGGCTGCTTAGAAATTAAGTGTTAACGAGCAGTTGGACAGGTGTACCAAATAAAGTGGCCGGTGAGTGTATATGTTCATTATTGTTTGGAATAAGCAAAGCTAAACTAATTTTGGGACCTTTACATAAAAACACTACTGTTTAGAATGGAAAAACTTTTAATTTTTACTCTCCCCATAATTACCCATTGTTTTAGCATTTAGACTGCCTATAATAAGTCTAAGGGGCTTTTTTAACATATGTCTCTAAACTGCCTGTGGTTATCTCATGTGGTTGAATGGCTACTGCAGTTATATTTCATATTAGTTCAAATGGTATGTGCCCAGATCAATGTATATGCATCTGTCACCAAACAAAGCAAATAAACCAACAAAGCCTCCCTCAACCACTGGGGGAGATAAATCCTCCTCCTCAACAGATGTCTTAGTGACATAACTACAATTATCCCTCTCCTCACTCTCCATACCCCCACTAAACCCCCTCATCCCTAGACTTAGTCATGCCACCTCTAGGGGCTGCTGGCACTGGCCACTTTGGTTGCATTTTGAAAAATTTTGTCTGGGGCAAGTTTATGTTTTCATACGGGGTGAGCTACATTTTCAGGTTCAATATAATGAACATACTTTCAGTCCTGTTTCTTGACCAGTTCCTTAGACCTGAAGTAATATGTAGTATCTGACATATGATATTATTATTGTTAGATGAAGCCCTGCACTGGATGGGACCAAACTGTTTTTAATTACATCCACTTCTATTTAAACATTAATTATATTTTTATTACAAGATAAAGCATTGTATATGATAAAATATAAACATTACATTGCAGGGGGAGTTGTGGCCTATTGCTTAGGGCATAGAGCTTGGAATCCTGAGGTTCTGAGTTCGAGCCCCACTCCCACAGACTGCCACCCTGGGTCTCTAAGCAAGATCGTTAAAGGGGTACACAGTTGTTGTTTTTTACATTGGATCCTTGATTTTACATTATTACATCATGCTCTACTCACCCATATTAGTTTTGTGTCATTTGGAGCTATTCTTAAGATATTCGGTTTAATTAAACATTAAAAATAATTACAGGACATAAAAGTAGTGACATAAAAATCTGAAAACCTAAAAGACAGAAATAATTGTTATAGATTCAGGAACATGCAGCAGCTTTACAAGATTAATTATGATGGTAAACAAAATATAAAAACCAAGTCCAATATAAGAAGCAAGCAAATTCTTGGCTACATAAAGGGATTTTAACTAAAAGTTGTCATAGTGACCATAAAGTTTTGTTTCAGCTTTGTTAGCAAAAATATTGAGACCCTATTAGGAGTCTAGAAGTAGACTCGGCTGTGGCAAACTTGAAAGGCACAGAGCACACTCTGTTGTCACTGTAAGTCATCATTATTCTTCACTCTGTCAGAGAGTTGAAGAGTTTCAGAGTGAGATGAAGGATTTTGATCAGTGTGATGAAACCCCTGTGTCAGGACGGGAGCTGCGTGTGGTGGTAAACACCAATGACCCAGAGTACGAGCACATCTATTCCATTGAGGCCCTGGACGAACCCACGGACGACCTGCTCTACTTCTCGACAGAATCAGCCAATCACACTGAAGGTATTCTATTTTTTATTAGGTTTAACTACTTCTTTTTATGAGTCAAGTTTAAATAAATCCCTCTAATCCAAGTCTACATTTCTGTAGCAGCATGGCTTTAACTCCCTGTCTTTTACAATAAGTTGGTATTATATTGTTAAACACGGTTCTTATAATTAGTGAAATGTTAACAGGACTTTATTTGCTGTTTCTGTGAATGATTTCTGTCTCTGTCAGGTGAAGATTTAAAAACTGTTTTGGAAAAGTCTGCCAAAGTAGATCCAAATAAATCAAGCACTGCAGCCTTCACTGGAAAAACGTCTGAAAAAAGTCAGAAAAAAGGGAAAGCTCCACCTCTGACTAGGGAGAACTCAGGATCAGTCAGGCCCAAGAGGAGTCTGCAAGAGGAAGGTAAAACAAAATAAATTTTTTATTGTGGGGAAAAAATATCTTGTGTTGTTTTATTATTTTTCATTGGAAGCATTTAGTTTCTCTGCATCCAGGTATGAAAAGGCAGCAAAATTACCTTTGAAATAACTAAAATGTAGCAATCTTCTTGCCCAAATAATGTGTCGGTTGTCTTAACACCACCTATTCCACTGCTCCTCTGCCTCTGTTCCATTTTATCAGCAGGTTGTTCATCCCTTGTTCTGTTTGCATTCATGCTTGAACACCTCTGACATGTGTGTTGTTCTGCAGGTTTAACAGACCTTTGTCTGCTGCCCATGGATGAGGGCAGCTGTCAGAGGTACACCCTGCGCTGGTACTTCAACAGCCAAGTTCAAGCCTGCAGGCCTTTCATCTACAGCGGCTGCAAAGGAAACAACAACCGGTTCCTTCACCAAGAGGAGTGTGAGGAGGTCTGCCTCAGGAAGAACAAAGGTAGCGGATGGAACACATAGTGTTTTTGTAATTGAATTATAAGGGCTTGGATCTAATGAGGGCTTTGTTTTGCAGATATTCAACCATTAGAAATGCCACGGTGATTATGGCTACCTTTGCTCCACCACAAGAATGTTGTTGTTTTGTTTTTTGTTTTTTGCTGATTTTGTTGCAGATGTCAGTTGTTTTTTGTTTATTTATTGCTTCATCACACCTAGGAAGACTTGACGCTGCTTTCAAAGGTCCATATTACTTCCCAGTTCATTTTTTTCCAAACTAAATTGCAGTTTTTATGTTTAGACATAATCTATTATTCTGACACCGTGTTATTTCTATGTCTTGAACTTGAGAAACAAATCTTTTTATACAGTAAAGCATTAACACAGCTTTAAGGTATTTTAGTACCTTTCAGTATACATATTCATATAAGTATATGTAATACATATAAGTGCAAATTAAGCAAGGAGAGATTAAGAACAACTCAACTCACCTTATTGTGTAGCACATACAAAAGAAATATATTTTTATTGGCGTTTGGTTAAAGTTATAAAGAATATATTTACATAGAGGCTAAACCAGTGAGAACCTCTGAGATGCAAAATGTGTATTAACACATCAGTGTAATAATGACTCCCATATTAGATATGAAATTAAATGGAAGCAATGATTTAAAGAAAACTGCAATTTAGATGTAGAGCTAAAAGCAAAGTACAGAAAACTTCTTTTTTTTTCTCTTAACGAATGTTGCCATTATCCTTTTACACCAACCGCTTTCATTTCTGGTTATAACTTTGCTTCATCAGTTTATTTCTTCTTTTAGGTTAGTATTCTGCTGATTTGCATAGCTTAAAAAGTCAAAATGTTACAAGTAATTGAAGTTAGTGGGTTCTTCTCACCAGTAGCATTATAACACCTTGATCTTTTCTACATTTTGTCATGTCAACACTAAAAATGTTCATATGTTTTACAAAGATTTTAGGTGATAAACCATGGGTTGGTCATTCCATATTCCTTCCATTTTGGGAAGATGAATGGCAAACACTATATTTTTTTAAACACTCAAAGCTTTGGATATTATTTTACAACCTAATCCTATATCAAAGCAAAGGGTTTTCAAAATATATGGAGACCATCATTTTCAGATTTTGATTTAGAACGACAAATAACTTTATCCTTTGACTGCAGATTCCATCAGAAAAAAAGCTGTTTTCAAAAAGAAAAACAAAATTAAGGCGTTATTAGTTTCTTAAACAACAAGACAAACTAGAGCATATACTGTGGCTTGGCTGATTTTGAGAAGTTAGCACGGATATATTTCTAGCTTTAACTTTTCTTACGAAATCTTAAGAGTAATATGTTTCTATACTTTATGCCTTATTTTTATATCACTTTAATAATAGAATCAAATCAAAGTACAGTTTGTTTATTTTTCAAACAAGGAATTTTTCAGTAACATCAAGATATTATTCAAAAACAGAAAGTCCTTTTAATTCTGCAGCTATAGGCATTTTTTAATATATGCATCCATGTTAATCTTCCGATAAATCTTCTAATTCTGCTTTATAACTTTCACAGTAGGACTCTATTTCAGACATTTATGCAAGTCTTCTATGATGTTCCTGATATGATTAGTTAAAGCCTGGAAATCTAGGGATTCTTAGCCCTTTAGCCATAGTCTTCTAAACCGAACTTTCAGACCTAAGCAGTTACATTTTATACACTGTTTATGAGTTTTCAAAGGCTGATTCTCAGCCACATTAAACGAAACTGATGCATCAGCACATATTCTTTATGAAAAACATGACAGGGATGCAAATACCTCCCCATACTTCTTCAGACCAACATAACAATCATAAATATAATATTAGAAAAGTTGTAACAGTTGTTTTATAAAATGAAGAATCAAGCACAATAACTTGTTTATAATGCTGTGTTGGTTATTTAGGGGAAAGTTATGTCTATATTCATGACTGCATGTTTACCTGCCAGAGAAAAGGTGCTATTTTTAAAGGTATTTTTATACAGTGTGTTTAAGGTGTTGTGGTAAAAATCTGTGTTACGTGTTTATTATGTATTTCTAATAAAGCAAATGTCTCAGTGATATTGTTGTCGATTATGTTAATGCTGTGACAGATGTTTTAGAAACTGAAATAACAACAAATAGCAATCATTACCTTTAGAAACAGATTGTCTGAAACTAAAATCTGATATGGAAATAACCAGATAATTTCTCAGTGGAGGATATGAGGAGGAGGAAAATTATGAATGTGTCTGAGTGTAGGAGTGTGACTTATTAGTTGTTGTAATTTCATCAGCAGATTTTATTAATGAGAAGATTTCATGCCTGTTGGCCACGACTCCTCCTCCTGTGTTTGTGTCTGCTCTCTGCCCTCGCCTGATTTCCCTTGGTTCGTGGTACACTCACTCCGTATCGGCCTCATCTGACTTCATCAGACCTCATACAACTTTATCAACTCCTTTACCTCAGCCTGAATTTATTTCTTATCTAAGCCGTCTGCTCATCAACTCCAGCAGAAATGGGCTGTGGTACAGTGACAGAGATATGTCAGGATGAAGAGACAGACAAGAATCCATCCATCCATCCATCCATCCATCCATCCATCCATCCATCCATCCATCCATCCATCCATCCATCCATCCATCCATCCAGTTATGCTGCATGGATATTTGGATTTTGGTTATTCCCTCTTTTTTTTGTTTATGTTTTAAACGTCCTCCCAGAGTTTATTTCTCTGTATTGTTGTTTCAAAGGTTCTGCCATATTAGTCTATTCCTTTAGGTTTACCACAAAATAGGCTTAAGCAGAAACAACCAAGATATACCAGTTTATCTCAAAATGTTTCAACACCTATTCAGGAGTCTTTGTCAATTATTGCGGCTCATAGAACAACCTGTAGTTAATAGGTGTTGAAAGTTTTTCAGAAAAACTGAATGAAAGTCCAGTTGCCTTCAATTTAGGCCTATTCACCTGTTACCACCACTAATAACAGCCATTTAATCTTTTAACATCCACCACCCGATATCGGTGCATTTTTATGTCATATTTTTCTCTGCCTCAAATATCTCGCTCATATCAAATTTAATTCAATTTCTATTTAATTCAGTTCAGTTTATTTATGTAGCGCCAATTCACAACACATGTCATCTCAAGGCACTTTACAATTTAACCAGATCCATCCATCCATCCATTTTCTCTCACAGTTATCCCAAGTGGGGTTGGGAGGGGTGCTGGTGCCTGTCTCCACCTGTGTATGGGCGAGACACAGGGTACACCCTGGAAAGGTTGCCAGTCTTCGCAGGTCAACCGATCATGCAGTCAAATTGACTCAGAATTTTCTATCTAAGGAAAACCAGTTGATTACATTGAATCATCGACTAGAAGGCAATCCCTCAAACTAAGCATGCTTGTAGCGAAAGTGGAGAGGAAAAACTATTTTAACACAAAGAAACCTCCAGCAGAACCAGACTCAGTGTGAGCGGCCATCTGCCGAAGCCGACTGGGGTTCAAGGAGACAGAAGCAGACATACAGAAAGAAACATAGATATAAAAGGCAACTGTAAACCAGCTTCACAGGCAGCCATGTCCAGGAAACACACAGCCAGGCAGACGAGCTCTGATCCAACTCCCATGTCATAGGATGAAGAGAGCACAGGACTACAGTTAAAAACAGGCCTTTTTCGAACATCTATAAACAGGGTTTGATGGCAGCAGCACAGCTGATATTTCTCTCCAAACAGGAACAGACCACATGAAGGTACTATGAGAAAAAGCAGAGAGAGCATAGCATTAGAGATTGAACTAACAGATTCTGCAGAATAGGAGAATAGAGATGGAATGAAGCAGAATGATGAAAAAGGGGTCCCTATGTCCTCCAGCACACTAAGTCTATAGCAGCATAACTATAGAGATAGCTCAGGATAACCTGAGCCTCTCTAACCATAAGTTTTATTAAAAAGGAAGGTTTTAAGCCTAGCCTTAAAAGAAGACAGTGTATCTGCGTCACAGACTAAAACTGGTAGTTGGTTCCACAGGAGAGGAGCCTGATAACTAAAAGATCTGCCTCCCATTCTATTTTTAGAAATTCTAGGAACCACTAATAAACCTGCAGATTGAGAGTGAAGTGCTCTGTTAGGAACATAAGGAACTATCATATCTCTGATATCAGATGGAGCTTGGCCATTTAAGGCTTTATATGTAATTCTATTCTGAATTTTACAGGAAGCCAATGAAGAGAATCTAGGATAGGAGAAATATTATCTCTATTTTTAATTTTCATCAGAACTCTGGCTGCAGCATTTTGGATCAGCTGAAGGCTTTTAACTACAGCTTGTTGACTTCCTGATAGTAAAGAATTAAAATAGTCCAGTCTTGAAGTAACAAATGCATTGACTAGTTTCTCAGCATCACCCTTGAACAGGATATTTCTAAGTGAAACCCAGCATGTTATACCTCTTCAGAATCGGGCAAACCTAAGGAAAATGACCATCAACTCTAACAATTTGTCATCAACTAAGAATTCATGGTTTTCAGATCCTAAATATTTTTTCTGTCGTAATTTTCAAGTCTCATAATAATCCCCCAACATGTTTTTTTTGCCATAAAAAGTAAAAACATAAGAATAAAAACATATAATCCATCTCTGTAATAATACTTGTCTGCAGCTACATTGCGTGAACTACCTATTTACTCCATTCATCGAGTGTAACTTCCATTTGGACTATCCACAATACTATGGAAAATCCCTCTACGTAAAAAAAGGCACACATAGAATGCACGTGTTACGTAGTTTTTGTTCAGCTGGGGCTCCACAACATAGTCACCAATCAACTTTTGACTGACATATTTTGTTAGCCAATGATATAAGATGATATACCGGAAGTGTAAATATAAGTCTCATTTACCTGCATAAAGAGGGACAGGAGAAGATAGAGGTTATGCACGGAAAGGACTTTCACGCTTCAGCATTTGAAATATTGTATTAAAAGTGCTTGAATTAACATTTGTGTAAATCTAAACATAGAAATTTGTTGTTTTTTTTATGGTGTAATTGGTGATAAAAATTAAAATAATCCACTTTTTAACATTTGGTCCAACTTTGGCACAAATGTGCTGAATGGACCTTTTACATACAAAAATGGTATGTGTTTGACAATACTTATAAGTAAAGAGCTGAAATTTTACACACTTGCTGTCCACGTGAAGAATAAATGTAATAAGTGGGAGAGGTCAACTATGAATTATATAAAACATGACATAATAAAAATAGCATTTTTTTATTCGAGGGGAAAAAGTTTTTTTTTGGACATCTTGAAGTCAGACAGCTCTGGTTGTGTAAAACCTACAGAAACTAGAAGGTCTTAGCTTTCAAATGAGATACATCACAAGCCTGTGAGTTTTATGATATTATTTCACAAGCCAATGGCATTCTTTGGTATGCAAGATGTTTGTGCACAAGCTATGAAAAGGTGGGTGTTAATGTGATGATAACATCCGAAGCGGCTGACCTATTTTTGGGTTGCTATGACTCAGGTGACTGAGATTTTGCATTTCGCCTCCTACTAACTTGCGTGTCCTCTTTTGTGGGTGTCATTCTAGTTTAGACCATAGATAAATGTTAGTATCCCCCTTGGCTTCTAGTTTTCCATGATATAATAATTCACATTCCCTTAGTCTGTCAATTTACTCTCTTCCACAGCTGCTCCTTAATATAGTAATTTCGTCTGCATCTATTATGATTCTTCACTCTGTTTTTGAAGCTCACTGCTTTCCACTGCTTTTTTGCTGACGCATCCCATCAATGTGCCTGTGCTCCTTTTATCCAAATTCGTCCTGTAAGTCTTTCTTTATTAAAATCATCATTATGCTCATTTCAAATTCATGTTTATATTTTTTTGCCCTATTCTCAACTTATCAAACATTTCAATTTAGAAAATTAGTTACAAAGGACAGATCAATGGAAATGAGAGTTACAGACAAATTTTAGAAGCCTTGTCAAAACATGTTTTGGTGGCAAAGTGGTAATTGTTATTTTAGCAGTTTTTTTGTTTTTCTTTTTTTTTTTTTCTTGTATATCCTTTGCAGCATTGTTATCCACTCCACCTGCTTTGGACTGATATTTGCTAAACTTTTGATGGAACACACCTGAAACAAAATGCTGAGTTCCAATCTCAGCCTCCACTCTAGTTCTAGAGTTCTGCTAATCACCTGCTTATTTTTATTTAGGTGTGTGGAAATGACATGTTTAAATTTACAACACACTAGCTCTCAAGGACTGGAAATTAGACCCCTGCTTCAATAACTAAATTCACACAAATGCCCAGCTTTAACTTAGTGCTTCTTAGGTATAAAGAGAAGGTAATTAGGTCTTCTTTGTTTTATCATAACATCTAAAAGAAATTATTTTATGGAGAAAGCATCAGTTTTAAGCTCTCATCAGATGTTGTTGATGAGGCAAATTAATGAACAACTGCTCTTACGTTTTGATCTTTTTTATTTATGATGTCATATTTGAAATAAATAATGCTGGCGTAAAGCCTAAATTAGAGGCTATATTTCTGATCTAATTTCTTTGTGTTTTGATATTTTTTCTCAACAAGAAAGCTTTTGATGGTCTCCAGATGGCTCAGAACGCAGCTGTAAAGCTCTGGGGGAGAACCAATAGAAAAGCGCTCCAGATTCCTGGTCTATCCTTTTCATTATTGCTTTTAGAATTAAATTCAACTGAATGCATTGATAGACAGACCTGGGCATATGGGAAACTGTTTTAAATGTCCGCTTGTTGATTATTCTTTTATCATTGTCATGGAGGCAGAATTACAAAATAAAAATAAAAAAGCAGAGAGCAATAAGAACCAATAAGAGCCCATCAAATTCAGGTGGGAGTAATCAGGGGAAGATGTTTATGAGCAGAGCCACAGTTAAACAAGGAAGCTGAGAAAAGGAGACTAATGAACCTGAAAGAGTTGAACAGAGATACATAGAAACCCAGGCAGAAATCTTATATAAATGGCTTAAGTGAGCTAAAAGTGAGCTTAATATATAAAGTTAAAAGGCTAAGCACAAATTAAATTAATTGTCAA